TGTTAGTTATTATCTTCCATGGATCAAGAGTAAATTGAGTGCTGCTTAAGTACTTTTCCAGTTTTATATTGGATAAAAATCTTTTGAAATAAAGAAACAACGCTGAATATTAAAATAATTTGTTGTCTGTGAATCAGAGACGTATTTCAAGCCGCTGAGAAAACGCTTTCCTTTATGAATAGAACACTTTAATTAACGGATCCTATTGTTGCAGATCTCAGAAAATATTGTAATCCATAATACGTTATGTGTAAAATGTGTATATAGACATTTTCAAAGAATGATGATGATCTAATATTAAATACCGTAGTCGACCGCAAATTGATGAATTTTTACTAATTTCATGATGGCATATATTCATGAGTGTAAAAGACCATGCTGCAAAATCGAAAGTGCTTCTTGTTATAAGTAAGAAATAAAGTGACATGGTAATTTAACTATAACAGTAAGGGTACATCTCTATTTCGACTGAGAATTATTTTGTGTTCCATAATCAATTAAAATAAATTCTAAAAAGAATAAGACACGTTTCGCATAGAACTTGCATCGTCTTCAGAAAGTATAATTCCAATCTATTACTTTATTAAAACAATCGAAAGATTTAGTTAACGACACATCTATTGAAAGGTAAAAAAATTTCAAAATAAGAATATAATGTGACGATTTTAGATACAAGAGATGCTTGCGCTGATGGAACTACGCTTTATTTAGCTTCTTCATATCACAAATCGCATCGTTAACATCCACAACAAGCGTTTATATACGCAGCCGAGAGAGAGAGAAGGAAAAGATATAGCAAGATAAAAGATAGACATAGCAAAAAAAGATGAGAATAACAGAAAAGATAATCATGGCACATGATATATGTATTCCAGTCAACAGATAAGCAACAAACTAATCTTAGTTATAAACGCATGAACGACAAGATATATGTTGAAGAGGAAAAATCATAAGATAAAGAGTGATGTATGAACACTCTCATCATAGGAAGTCACATATAAGACAACCAAATTAAATTAAACAATAACTCGAACAAGTCAATAACATGTAAATATATATGTCGTTTGAATTGTAATAATATATTATAAAGATACTCAACTAGAACTACTTAAACTGTAATTGAAACGAGACGTATTTTACTTCACTATGGAACATACTCTTAGTCTCACATCACATCCTCATGATTTCACTTTTTTTTTGTCTTTGAAAGTAGGATTTTATTAGGAATGTTTTTAAATATTATCATGATAATTGTCGTTCACAGGCTGCAACAATGACAGAATGGCATAAATTAGGAAGAAAAGATCCGAAAACTGGATCAAGCATTTTGGATAGAAATCCTTGTCTTGTTTGGCAACCTCAGCGTTTGAAAAAAACAAATAAAACACAGTAGGTTATCTTGAATAATTAGTATTAGATTTTATCCTCGATTAGTAACGTCAGTGTGTTGCAGTGTTATACCGTGAGGGTGTGGGTGTGGGTGGCAGCGTCGGTTCGGTGTCGTTGTGGGATATTAGACGAGACAGCAATTCACACCCGTCCACACGCACATCCAGTCATATCCTAAGGTTCATCGCATTCGAATAAACTTGTCAAGGGTTTATTGGAGATATTTTTAAGTACTGGGGTAGATCATTACCCGGATATTTTATCAGTGTACTTCTAGTTGAACTAAATGAATTGCCACTGTTTCTCTTTTTCCATTTTTATTCAATAATGCACAGCACAGCACAGCAGATACTAAAATCTAAATAAGAACGATAAGAGTGTGGGTGTCTCTTCTATGAATTTCTACTGATTCACACCCCAAAGCCATTAAGCTCAAACTAAAATTACATAAGTTCTCTCCAACCGAACCGATCCCATCTCTGGTTCCTATAAAATTCTTCATGATGAACTCATTTTATTAATAACAAAAAGAAAATTTTGTTTAACAATTATATTGTTCACATGGTATTCGTTCACGAAATAACGAAAATGTTTCAATAAAAAGATAAGAAATAATGGAGCCAACTAATCCCCCAAATTGTACTTGAACACCAAACCAAAACATTCCATTAGGAGAATATGTTCGTATATAATTTGCAATAATCAAACGAGGATAACCCAACAATATGTAATTACTAAGCCATATAAATAAAATTAAAGCACTTCCCTTAGTTGTATCAACCCATGGAGGACACGGACTTTTGAAAGAAACATACATAATCAATGCAAATGTAAATGATCCAAGTATAATTAAAATTAATATAAAACATTTCGGTAAAATAGGTTTTATTATACCAAGTATCCAAACAAATGTCAACATCCATGGTGAAAGAATTGTTCCTAGATAAAAAATGTTATGCCCATAAGGCATTAAAGCATATGCGGAAATTGATAGAATCATTCCAAACACAATTGAACTGATATAAGCACATCCTAATGAAAGAAGAATGTAGCATGGCGTAGTTAACGATTTTTCTTTTTTATCAATTGTATTCATTATTTCCAATGATTCTTCCGGTACGATTTGATTTGCATTTCGAGCAATAGATGTCCATTGTAAAAGTACGAATGAGATAAATGAAATGGTTAACAGAATAAATAAACATAAAAAATAGATTGATACTGAAAATCGTGGAGGTTCATAAATGGCTTCAGTCGTATTTGTTCCACTGATTGTTTGAACACAACGAATTCGACCATTACCTTGTGCAATTGCCAATAGACTTGGTATAGTAAATGTAAGACTTTCACCAAGGAAAAGTGCACTCGTAAATTCTTTTCGAAATCGATGTATATAATCAGCAAATGAAACTGATGATGTACAATCGAGTAACGAAAGAAATAATGCAAGAGTTAATAATGCTGTACTACGTCTTACATTAGCAATGACTGTTGTATATGACCAAAGGAAAATTAATAAAAAACATGAGAGCATACCAATGAGTATAACAATATAATTAATTGGTACTGGATTAAGTGTATGCTTTCGGTACAAACATTTAATAAGAACAAGTATTAAGGGTGAAATATTACCAAAATTTGTAATTAACGCTAGATTTGCACCTAATTTCCAACTTTCAGGTTGAGTTAAAATAACTTGTGGCAGTTCTGCATACATTCCATTAATATCTGTCCATGATGAAAGAAAAACAAGTGTTAATAAAATGTAAGTTATATATTGATTTAGATTCCATTGATGGTCCATTGTCTGAAAATAGTTTTAATTATGGAACAATATTCAATTGAGACACAGAATTATTTATATGTTTAAAGAAAAGCATACATATTCTTGTCAGGACACATTATAATCTTTGATAGGTGTAGTTAGAATCAGTCACTGTGCTATCTTTTATCTATGAAAAAAGAGCATATTGATGAAAAGCAAATGAATAGGATGAAGACTCCGTATTAATTTTGCTTTTCAAATACCACTGCAATGAAATGTCTTGACGACTTCATATTTTTAGAAAGAGAAAAATATCGGGTGCAAAACTATATGAAAGAATTTGATTGAAGATGTTTGTCAATGGTCATACAAATTTTAGGACAAATGACGTTGGGCAAGTTTGCTGCAAGTTTAACGATAGTTTTCATTATCCACTATCAGTATTTTCAAGGATCCTATAGATGCAATTGTTTATAACAATGAAGGCTTTCGCATGATGCTAAAATAGTTGGCGTCATATAAAAGAACAATAGGCAGTCGGCGATGGGATTCAATAGCTTGATATAGTCAATTTAGGATTTATAAAGTGAAAAATAAGTGATTGACTGAATATGTCACAGAAAGCATGTGTCTTATTCAAAATAATACAGAATGACAGAGAACTCAATATGGTTTATTTTTCATTCAAACTTTATAACTTCTTGTAACCACTCACTCTGAATAGATCTCATTTTTTTTGACTGTCATCGATGGTAATAAAAAAAGAGTCGACACAAATGATACCATAAAATCGTTTGTTTTTTCCTTTGTGGAGCGTGTCTTTTCGTACAGGATTATTATTGTATTCATTCATTGTACAGTTCAAATTAGTCGAAATTTTTCTAATGTGATGAAATCTTTTCTAAGATTAAAAAAAGTTACGAAACAGTTTTCCATAGTGTTTTGTTCTAAAATTGTTATGGCCTTTAAAACTTTTCGGCGTGGGTGTGAATTGCTGTCTTGTCTAATACTCCATAACGACACCGGATCGACACCAACACCCACACCATTTCACGTATGATTGTAGATATACGATGGCTGATTAAGTAGAATGATGCCTCAACTCATAAAACACAGACAGCTGTATTGACTGAATCATAAATCACCAGTTGTATGTCTGGTCAACTGAAACTATCCATAGGGATGATTTTGTATGTAGCATAATTGGTCTTTCGGGTTCTTGTTGATGTGGTACTCTTCATCATATCCAGGCATACATCAATCGATACAACTCATCGAACTGCATCGAATGATATAAGTTTCAAAAGTGATACGCGCGAGGCATCGAATATATTCAGGAAATATTAAAAGTGTACATTTTGTCCCATGATGATAAATCATATTTTGATCGGTATTTCTTTTCCTTTGATGCAAAGGTAATTTTTGAATATAGCATTACATAGAGCTCATCGAATTCTATGTGGCACGCTACATTCAAGAAGTGACACGATTAATGGGACGAATCGTTTCAGGAAAAACTCGAGTCTGTCGCTAACTTCCCTTACATCTGAAGTCAGACTTTTCTTATTTCTGTGATTTTTTTATTTTCTTGATTGTAAATCAATTGATTTAAAATTAAAAAAGCTCGAAAAAAATCACCAATAAATTAAAAGCTTTAAAAGCTAAAAATATTAAATAAACTTAGAAATCAGAGCAATCTGTTTCAAGTTGTTTCAGCCTAAATTGATATTTTGGACAGCAGAGATTAAAAAATTTATCACTTATGTTAGATCGAGTCATTGATTCTTTTGATTTTCCTGATTATCCTGATTTTTTGAGTTTTTTTTGAAACTTCTGTACGAAAGTCGCAGTAGTAGCCCTCCCATAGTAGAAGTTCCCTTTAAAAAATTTGAACGCTGCTCAGTTTAGAAGTCCCATGGAGCTTCTATTATGGGACGGGGTATGCTTGTCGCTCATTTTATGTTGTCAAGAATATTTTTACAATTAACGTCAAAATAATTAAACCTGTGGATATACAAAGTAATAAAATCAAAGGTTAGATAATCAATATTTATTTCATTAATCTTTATTATGCGATAAGATATAATTCACAACATTCTTGAATCATGATTGTTCTAGCATTGTTTGTAAATCGGCTAATTGCACAATTAAATCTTCCATCGTTTTCTTCAAAGGAATATATGTAATGCCCAAGTCTTTTTGAGCCTTCGAACTATCAATCTCATAATGATCTGGAAGTGATTGACCTTTGATGCCAACTGGCGTAGAATTCTTGATATTGTCCGGAATGACGGTACTGCTATGAACGAGATCCGCTATTTCCTGAAAACTCCAAGTTCCTCCTGCTATTAGATAGCGTTCGCTTGTATCAGTTGATCGTTCTAGAGCTGCTGTGTGTGTGTGAGCCACATCTCTTACATCTACTTGGAATGGTACTCGTGTTTCGAGCATTGGAGCATCTTTACCGCTAGTGACCAGTCCTCGTACTGATGCATTAGAAGTATTAATATCATCCAGTGATCTGAAACCACCAGCGCGTGGTCCAAAGACCAGTGGTTCACATATGGTTGCGATTGTAAACGAAGGTTTTTCCTTATCAATGAAGTCCCATGCAGCGCGTTCAGCACATACTTTTGACGCACGATAAGCCGTCATTGGTTCATTTTTAGCAGCTGCTCCTTGCTCGTAGGTGACTGGAGACCAGTCTTTCTCAGTATATGAATAGCCAGGTCGTAGTCCTTTGCTTGGATCAAAGATCGAAGCAAATGATGATGTAATAACTACTCTTTTTATTGTATTATCATTGTTTTGGTTGTATGCGTGAGCTGCTTTCAGAACGCCAAGAGTACCATTGATAGCTGGCAAAATTAGATCTTTTTCTGGATCTGTGACGTTGAAATGAAATGGCGAAGCAACGTGAATAATGCCATGAACACCTTTCACAGCTTCATCAAATGAGTCTGTAGTAATATCATTAATGTGTACAAACGAAATTCTACTGTGATAATCCTTCGAAACACCATCAAGAACTTGGGCTTCTTTCGCTTGAGATCGTACTGTTCCGCGAACGCTGTAACCTTTCTCAAGAAGATCTTGGACGATCCAAGTACCGATAAAAGAATTAGCGCCTGTAACAAGAATTGTTTTTGACATTGGGATGAAAATCTAGAAGCAAGACAACAAGTATAAAATATCACTGACGATTGCAGATAAAATTATCTGTTTTTTTTACATTCAGTTAACTATACTAAAACCGTTTTATAAAAAGAGAAAGGTAGATAAGCAAAACAAATATTTTATCATTTGAAGATTCAGAGAACGCTTTTCTCTACTGTAACATCAGTTCATTTTGAGTAGTAAAGATATGGCATGTCAGCACCAGCTAACAGAGTCAAGTAGCCTGCCAAATTATCTGGAACATGGTCATAAATAGTTAATCGAAAATCTAGGAAGTTCTATAGAACTTATCTTTTAAGATTTATATCATACGTATACGGGCGCATCTGCAGTTGAATGATAAACGAGCTGCTTTGAAAGATTTTTCCGGATTATGACTACAGATTGTAACAACGAATGATATCTATATTTGATGATTGTTGATACAAGAAGTATCAGAACGATGTGCTCATAGTTTGTGCTGTGTCTTCACAGCATAAAACTTTTCGTGACGTTGAGGAAAACCGTTTTAATTTCTTTTTCATATTATCTGGTTCCATTGTTTAGTTGTTCCCGTATTGATTAAAGAGTTTTGTTTTTGAAGTTTTTACAAAGAACGCTTCAAAACATATACTGGTTCCGTCTTCAATTTATATGTTGGTATATAAATAAAACAAAACTTAAATAGAAATTTAAATTTGAATTTTAAATTTATAGATCAATGCATAAACTGAACAAGAAAACAGAAGATCTTCGAAACTTCTTTATTCAATATTTCAAAGTTATGCAAAGATCAAAAGATAATACTGAAAGAATTAGTCATAAAAAGGAATAGGTATTGTTATAAGAATAAAATAATTTTGTTGAATTCTATGATTGAAATAAGAAAAAACTAATATTATATAATATAAAAGTAAATACTCAACAAAATATTCAATTTACCAGAGACTACAAACTAAACCTACAATGGCTTAACACAATAGACTTTTCAACAAGAAGCTAACACATACTAAAAATTTTATCAACTTAATTTAGCAGCATAACTAGTAATAATTAAAAGAATTATGAAAATAAGAATCATCCTAACGTATAAATGTATCGTCTATGGCGTTCGGTGAACATCAAATTAAAATAATAGAAAAAAAAGTCTCAAATCTATGTCAACACCTAATACATAGAATATAACTGCTGACATAATCAATAGCTAAAAATGAAAACCTAACATTTTTTCCAAATATTAAAATAGCAACAATAAATGAAATAATAACTCTCACTTGAAGATGGAGAAAAAACTAAAGTATAAAAAAATCTAGCAAAACTATCAAGAAAATGTTAAGGAATATTCAGTACTTGTGCAATGAAAAAACATTTCACATTTGACTTTAGCAAAATTAAAGAATTAAGGAAAGCACTATTTGATATGCAGACATGTATTTTAACATTCTACTCACAAAAACTGTACATCGCAATAAACAGAATAGATCAGTCCGAAACTTTCATACGTGTTTCATTGACAATGTCAAAAGTTGAAACAAGGATTGCTGACAAGAATATGTCTACCATTGGGTATTGAAGGCATATGTATATTGATGGTTTTACGAAAAAATATCTTAACAAAATCAACATCCTACAAAGACTTCGAGAATAAGTAGGTGATATAATTATTATTAGTACAATATATACTACATTAGCAAGAGATCAAAATAACAATATAAAAAAGAGTAAATAGTTCAGAAAAAAAACAATGATACGCATATTATTTACTTATATTTCATGGCATAATAAATCGATAATAAAGAATATCATCTCTAGCACGGCATTGAGCTTTAAAGGTACATTGAGAAATACTCTAGAATAAAAACAAGATACTAATAAACTTGTAAAAAATCGTACTATATCAGAAAAACCAAAAAACCAAAATTCATCCAATAATTACAACTAGACTATTAATAAACAATGGTCCAAATCCATCCACCAATAGACATTCAAAAGAAGTAACATCTTCTATCATCTTATTTTATACACATTCTATAGAAGTTTTAAAGCGAAGATTAAAAAGCTACGCATCGATTTATTGTGTTCGTACTCAGAAAAGCTATAAGCGCATGTAAACTTACTGATAAGAACGAACAGAAATTCAATTGCAGACATAAAATCGAATATGAGTGTGGAGTCGATGTATGTAGGTGAAACGAATGTTACATTGGTAAAGAGGATAGAGCAACATTAAAACATTCATTAAAAATATTGATAACAATCTAATCCAAAAAAGATAGTATTGCGCACAGGCGCACAATAATCACGACTGATTCAAATTGGAAATTTCTTCAGTGATTATTTATAGATGAAGAAACGTGTTGTAAGAATCCGATGTTTTTACCAATCATAATACTCAACACCCAACCAATAAAAAAGAAGATTAAACTGGGCCAAAAATCAACAAGAATAAAAATAGATAGCGCCCTACGACAAGACGGTAATCAGTGCAACAGAAGTTAATATGTAATTGTATCGTCTAATATGTTTGTCGTCTCATTCAGTTTGACTATCAGGAAAGAGTAGAAAAGTAGAAATTTTCTATTGTATTTAGAAGAAGAACAAGGCGAAAGTAATGGATTGCAATTTTGCGAAAGTTTATGAAAATCTCAAAGATCAAACGGAAATCTGAGAAATAATGTAATTATCTCATAAGTAAACTATATGGTAGGGGCGTAACCAGAAAAAAATTGTAGGGGGGGATAAGTCGTTGGTCAAAGCCATGGTAGGGGGGGCTAAGTCGTTGGTCAAAGCCATGGTAGGGGGGGAANCTGGTTACGCCCCTAATATATGGGCTTGTGTAGCACACTGAAATTTAGAATTACTCTTATGAATAGAAAATGTCATATTTCGTGTGTAAAAAGCTTTGAAACTCATTGCATCAGGAAACCGGTAGCAGTAGAGACATACGCAAAGTAACTTGCATTCTTAAAAATTGAATGCAGAGATCTTTTCAATTATGTATACCGAAAGCGAAATAAATGACCACAGGCCTGTAATTAATTGAAATTTCAACGAATGGAAAACGAGTATAATACACATTTGCTTTTCTTGATATAAAGAACTAAAGTTATACTTCATTCTTTGGCATTAAAGTAGAACGCTAGGAGACGTTGGTTTGGATTAAGTTTTAAATAGGATCTTGGAGGTGAGCGGTCGACTAGTTTTAACATTTTGATTTTTTCAAACCCATGGTTGCCTAAGATAATATTCATTCAATTTTTTCTTCATAATTATGTCACTTCATAAGTCTTCATTTAATAAAGTCTTGTAATTTTTTTTCTTTTGCATTAGTTTTCCTAGAATCCATCTGATATATTGTTGCATTAAAATCATCAGCAATGAACTTTTTTCTGTTTCGGTTTTATATAATGGATAGAATTTATGTGATTGTTTCGTTTCAGTTTGTACTGTTAAGCCTTCATTCGTTTTTCTGTTTTGTTGATGATCTTATGATATTTAATTATGTTCAATAATTACTTTTAGTACATCGCCATCTAGTTTGTCTATTCAATCGTTTCTAAACGTATTGTCATCTTCAAGAAAGAACAGATGTTCTTTTTCTAGATTAGATTCTGTAATAGAAATGATTTCATTCTCTTATTTGCTAAAATAAGTAGTTTTGACATGGCATACATTAATGATCGGGTTTGCCCATTTTCCTGTTCTTCTTATCGATTAGTGATTGAACTCATTGAGCTATTGTGAGAACGATTCCTTTTATTTATTTTTTAACTGGTTGATTAGTTGCTGATGAATATTCAGATATTATTCCTTGAATTCTTTTATCTCGAGGGCTGACTTGACTCAGATTGGTTAGAAAAGAATCGTCTATGTAAATATGATGATTAAAGACAGTTTTCTTTTTCTCTTTTTTTTATCACATTTTGATAAGAGACACAGCACGGATCCGTGCAAGCACACACATTTGTGACAACAAACAAACCATGTTTCATTCCCTAAACCATCTGTCTGCTTTTGTTATTCTCTTATTTTATTCATCAATTTGTATCGAAGCTTTCGATCTACTTCGTCGTCACCTCGCCAGCATTTCTCAAACTCCATTTCTACCAGGGGATGATCCTGGCGAGCCGCTCTTTCTGACACCTTATTTAGAAACAGGTCAAATCGATCTAGCTCGTAACTTAAGCCAAGTACATTTACAACCAGCTTATTCTTCTCTATCCTATTCCGGCTATTTAACTATCAATAAGACATGTAATAGTAGTCTATTTTTTTGGTTCTTTCCTGCTCAAAATGGTCATGTTGATTCGCCGTTGGTTGTTTGGTTACAAGGTGGACCTGGTGCATCGTCTCTTTTTGGTCTTTTCTCCGAGCATGGCCCAATTCAAGTCGACGAAAATGAGCAGCTTCATCCAAGAAATATCACTTGGAATTCTAAATATCATCTTCTCTTTATTGATCAACCGGTTGGCACTGGCTTTAGTTTTACTGCCGCCGATCAATGCTATGTGCATACTGAAGATGAAGTAGCACGTGATCTTTACGCGATGCTCATCCAATTCTTTCAAATTTATTACGAATATGCGTCGTGTCATTTCTATGCTACTGGCGAGTCCTATGGTGGCAAATATGTACCAGCTATTGTTTATAAAATTCACACAGAAAATCCTCAAGCCAAATTAAAAATCAATCTAAAAGGAATGGCCATCGGTAATGGTTTGATAGATCCTTATAATCAATGGGATTATGGACCAGCGATGTATCAAATGGGTTTGATTGATCAACGACAACTAGAATATGTTAATTTATTGACAGCATTAGTGCGTGAAGCCATCCGACAAGGTCAATATCAACAAGCTTACTCTATTTTTGGCGATCTTTTCGATAGTTTCTATCCAAATAAGACCGGTATGATTGATGCTGACGATTATCTTCGTACCAATTTTCCCGACGATTACTTCTACTATATTCCTTGGGTGATGGCAAGTGAGCACCGTCGTCAAATTCATGTAGGCAATATGACATATAATGATGGTGAAAAAGTACAGATTGCTCTTCAAGATGATGCGATGCAGTCAATTGCAAGCAAAGTAGCGATGATAGCCAACAATGACTATAAAGTATTGATTTACAATGGACTGCTTGATGTCATTATTCCTTCTTCAGTGACGATGAATTGGATTGATAAACTCGAATGGAACTATGCCGATCAGTTGCGTAGTGCCGAACGCATTGTTTGGAAAGTGAAAGAAGACGATCGAGAGGTAGCTGGTTATCTGAAGCAAGCACATTCTTTCTTTTTGGCTTGGGTTCGGAATGCTGGTCACTCGGTTCCTAGTGAACAACCACGTGCAGCCTTTGATCTCATCGATCGTTTCATTTCTGCTACATAATCATTTCTGTTTCATCCTCATGGAAATTTTTATTCTCGACTTGAATTTTCCCCATAGCTGTACTCAGCTATTTCATCTTTTTTGTAGTGTCTTCAATTCGACTATAACAAAAACGAAGGCCTATATATTTAACAGAAAATAAATCATATTGACAACCTTCTTTAATCTGCTAAAAAAAGTGCCAACAGCGTCTTAGACGAAATTAGTTTGTAAGACAGTGCATTCTCTCAAATCCTTCTCATCTCGTTGTCGTTTACCATCTTATTATCGGACAAGCTACTTCTATCTTACACATCTACCAGTTTGTTTTTAAAGAAGAGTATACAAGAGTTGTGAAACTACCTGCGCAATTTGTTTGACTTTCTAGTTAGAGATCTGGAATGTATCTATGAGCAGTTTCCGAGAAAGATTTGAGAGTGACGATAACTGAGAGTATGGCTATCAGTTTCTAAATAGATGTTGCTTTTTCTCGATGTGAATGCAGGATGTCATTTTTCTGTACAGAGAACTGGCACAATCTTACCAACACTCACACCGTCAAGATATATCTTAAGAAAAAAGAACTTTTAGTGGTATTCGAAAACTTCTTCTCAAGCTGTGAGCATGCTAAAAACTCGTCTCAAGGTTTCAAAGTTTTATTTTTACCGATGTAGAAGTCTAGAAGAGTTCGTAAATTGAGCGAAATCATTAATCAATCAAACGTAAGCAAGGATACTTGAGCAACATAAAAATAAAAACAAACAACACCCAAATCAAATAAGCATTAAAAGCAGCATAGCATTCATAAATAATACTAGTGCGAGTCGAAAGTAGCGATTTATTTTTGATAGATGTATACAGTGTTTGAATATGTGACTCCTGATATAGTTCGAATAAATTTCATGCATATTGACACGAAAAGTGGTCTGGTCAGTGTCAAAATTGTAATCATAGCACCCAGAAGTGTAAACACTGTGGTAAAATGAATATAGCATCATTCCTAGTGTTCACATCATACGTGCATTGGAGTGGTTGACATTCTCTATAGTAATTTGCAAACATAATCAATGGGTTCCATTGCTCGATCACCAAATTATTAATTATTTCTCCAACCGTTGTATTTATTTCATATTGATATAGTAATGAGCAGTTAAGAGCTTTTTCATTCATCACCATTGGTGATTCAACATAGATTGATTATAAAGTCACTCGAGAGTTGAACTAACCAGTGATTCAATCACATAACATCCTGCATAGAGACCGACTACATTAAACAATATTTTCCGCGTACTACTCTTGAAAATACTTGAACGTGAAACGCACGATGCGGTACTATAACACCAACAATTTGAGTGTCCTTGCACATATGTACTTATAAAACCAAATGCTGGTCAATCATAGAGATAGTAATTTGTTAGAAGTGGCCACATCAAAGCATTTGCTTCTGTTTTTGTACGAATCATTTGTAGAGATAAAAGAAATTCCTTTGTTGTTGATGATATAATTTGATTAATTGTTGCTTGAGTTTGTGCATGAAGCAAATCTGAATTCACTACATTCGGACTGAAATACTGAATTGAATAGAGATGAATCAAGTTGTCAGAAATAGTTTCATTCACTAAATCACAAAACATGACAAATGATTGAAATATAAACGAGCCCACAGTGCGGAAATCGTTTTTGTATGCATAACCTTGAAAGTATGTAGGAGCGAAAACTTCAATCCACTGATCAGCGACGAAATCACTTGTTTATAATTGATGGAAAGTAAAGTTAATTTGAAGAAATTTTTCATACTCAATTGAAAGCTTGCTGCACGGACACCTCAACGTACTTGGATATTTTGCATAGAGCTGTGAGTATTGTTTGAAAGGACAGGAGCGTATAAGATACCCTATCGGCCTATTGCGATTTTTTCAACTGAACCTAACCAAATTATATATGAAATGAAAGATGGCGTTGAGATAAAGTTATGGGTACAAACAAAAGTTGACTATTTCTCTTGGAAACACTCTTCCATTTTCGACGCCAAATATATCACAATAGAACTGCTCTCTGATCTACCATTCGATAGACATTTTTAGGCGCTACAAAATATGATAACTAGACAAGTAAAGTACCTGATGCACAACCATGTGGCAATTCTATACGAACTGTGCACGACGAATACGGTTCAATGTTAGGATTACAAGAATTTGCCACATCATCATCATCAACTGTTAGAATACTCTGAACAGTTGCCTATAACAACAGAACAATGGAAAAAGCGAGAGCAAATCACATGGTACGCATGTAAATGAGAAATGTAACACAAGATTGAATAGCTTTCATTAAAAATCTGATACGACCGAGGCAGAACAATGATGATAAAGACAAGAAAAAGAACGATAACGATAACAGATGCAAAAGTATTCACATATCTAGTCAGTACGGGTGGAATTATTACGATTGTGACTTGTCAGCACTCTTCAGTATGATAAGAGGAAAATCGCGTAATTGCGTAGAGTCAGTTAGGATTGCAGGTTAAGAAGTGGATCAGAGAAAAGTATATCTATTTTTCGGATATTCTGGCAATAGTTGTACTGCATGATCCTATCATTAATCGAAATAATCAATATGACCTGTATCCAATAAAATGATGAATTTCTTCAGAGTCGATTCAAACGCGAAACGAGCAAGCAAACCTGCCATATCACGTGACTTATTGGATTAGTATCAAACATGCATTAGAAAATTCAGGACCATCATGATTTAAAGCCGATTGAAGAGAATGTTTTATTTTTCACTCCTTCTAATATATTCTCAATCGTCAAAGTAGTTGATATCCCTGGAAAATTCTCACACTGTCGTTTTAGCATTTTTTTCTTGGCCCGTGCTTGTTCACATCCACACCCTTCAAAACTTTCCTCTCAGGCCCCGCAATATGCCTTCGAACAGCATCACAAAATTTTCAAATTCTGTAAAACTCCACTGCTTTGGAATCTATATTTCTGTTGCATTGTGATTATAAATTACATCTCATTTCTCCTTGCTGAATAGTGACAACATGCACTGACACCATCTGCTGTTAGCTCTCAGAAACGACTGAAGTATGGTTATTTAAAGTATTTTCAGATGCTTCAATCTACTCATTCGTCATTCGACAAGAAACTATGTTTGCAAGTATCATCACTACTACTCTGTTCTTCTGGACTATTAGTGTCACAATATCCTTGAGTATGAAGTCGAAAAATAATCGCATAATATTATTTGTTTTAATTCATCAACAATGCTTTCTGTTTGATAGGGCCGCTGTTCATTAATCAGCAAACGAGTAGGTCTACGTATTTTGTAATTTTACTTTATATGATATTAATTTATAATGCATTGAATTTGTGTTCGAACACAAAGATAATAATTGATTGAAAATTTCATCTTTTCTATTTCTGACTAATCAAGTGTAGATGTTCTTAAGCAATCGAACACATTTTCAAACAGTTACTCCATTTTATTCATTTATGCGTGTCATCTTCGACCCGCTTTAAAAAAAATAGTTGAATGTTATTCAATAAATAATAATGCGATAGAAAAAAAAACAAGTGAAGATCTGCGTCCTGCTTAAATCAAATGAGTATTGAAAAAGAAATTCAATACAAAATATATCAGTTAAAATTCAAGTCGAGAGATGGTTTTTCTATCATGAGTTGAGAGGGCTTTTAGAATAAATTTATTCTTTATTTCATGAACTGTATAATTTAGACGTTTTACATCATTTTTCAAAATATTTACAAACCTAAAGTTCTTTTAGAGGCAAAAATATTGAAATTTGGTAGTTAAATCAGAGATGAATTTTTCTTATTTGTAGCTTTTTCAGAACGACGCTCATTAATAACTTTTGATGACATAACAAATACTACTGATACACCAGGAGTTCCAGTACCTAGCAACTATGGTGGTTTAAATTGGGAAAATGTTTTGGTTTTGAATGGTTTAAATTTTAGCAATCCAGGTACTGGCTATAGAACGGGTGTTGTTAGTCCACCGTATCTTGCTTTTAATGGATATGGTAGTCCAATGACTATCGAAAGTGCAACTGCAAGTACATTATTTACAGCACACTCATTTTATTCTTGTGCAGTTTGGTACGATAACATAACACTGGCAATGGTTGGTTCAAGATCAGGCACCATTTTGTTTACGAAAACAGTATCACTATTTATACAAAATAGAACCTTGGTTGAACTCAACTGGCCCAGAATCGATAGCATACATTTAACTTCGATTTGTGATTGGTGCTGTGATGCGAAACACTTCACAATGGATAATCTAGTTGTTACATTCTAAAGATGAAATCTTTCTAAAGGAAACAAAGATTACTATTCAACGAAAAGATTTACTATTTCTCTTCGTGGATTATGTAGTAGTTCAACAGTTGACAACACCCTCAAGAGTGATATTTGAATAATAATAATATGCAGAGATCCATGGAAACCAGTCAACTAATAGCCAAAAGTTATTGACGACCTCCTAGAAATAGAAATACCATCAATAGAAAGAGCAATTCTTAGTAGGAGCGCCACTCAATAAGAGTCAAATCCATCACAGATTATATGATTGATCATGCACAACGAGACCACAGATCATTTTCGTCGTTTTGTACAATGGTTGAATGCTCTAAAGCATCAGGCATTTAGTTCAATGATAAACAAGAGAATAGTCCCAAGTAAAGTTTTCATACTTTTGATATGTTTTTACTGATAACTCGTCCAACGTGTGTATCCAATATTAATTTCTTTAATGTACAAATGGGAACACTGGTTAATGGGCAGGCGACCATGTTCTGCCTATTGAAGAATAATTGAAAGAACTATTTTATTAGTGTATTAAGAACAAAGGATTCCCGCCGGTTTTGGCTGTCTATTTGTCATAAATCTGCTGACTTCACAATGACTTTGAATAAATCAAACGAGTTCACGTGATCTAATTTAACTTGAAGTCTTTGTTCAACTTTTCCATTTTAAAGAACGAAGAGGGAAAATTATTTTTTGATATTTTCAAATCAGTTCTGTTTTTTGTTGATCATTGGGATTTCTACTGAAATTCAACAAAAGCAAGATTTATCAACCAACGACACAGCGACTAGTAGTATAGCGATAAGACAAGATCTCACGATTAATCATGAAAAGTGCGGCGATTTCTAGAACATGGAGATTTATAGTCTGCATGATGCTTTGATGAAGTTTGACAGGGAAAAAAATATTACGAGACTCATCTAGTTTAACGAAGTTCGTTCTATTTTCTCGACTGAGGACGACAGCAAGTATGTATTGGAAGAATCGTAGTTAAAACAATAAAATTTCTTGTGTCAATGCCGTTGAGTGACATCTATCTTCGCTCGATTTTTGACATGTTATTCTTATAATCCAATCGAATCAAAGTGCTACAATCCTACTCGTGTTGAACGCGATGCATGCAGCGCATCACTTCAAAGTACTCGCCTGCTGTTACATGTATGCGTTGTCTATCGTTTTTTATTATTCTTCCGGGAAGCAGAAGAGTGTTAGTGCGCCTTCTTTTTTTGTTATTCCCGTTCTTTCTCTCTTCATATACAGATTGCAATCAATATTGTGTTCGTTTACCGTGTTCTGTTCATTACCGACATTCTTCTGCGAATAAAAAACAAAACAAAAACCACGTAAACTGCTCATGACTGAATATAAGCTCGTCGTCGTCGGTGGTAAATAAACAAACAGTAAAACAAACTGCTCATTTTTTATTTTTTTTTGTTCTGACTATAGCTGGCGGCGTGGGCAAAAGTGCATTGACAATTCAGCTGATTCAAAATCAGTATGTATATTGTCTAAAAAAATTAAAATGATTATTTCCTATATTTTGTAGTTTTATTGATGAATACGATCCAACTATTGGTATAACACATATATATATATTAAGTGTCATATTTGTTTTAATTATATATTCATATCTTCAGAGGATTCATATCGAAAACAAGCTGTGGTCGATGGCGAAACATGTCTACTAGATATTCTTGTATGCTGAAATATTTGTTTTCAATTTCAATTTATTTATTTGTATTTATAGGATACTGCTGGCCAAGAAGAATACAGGTTTCAATATTTATTGTAAAATTTTTATAATATTAATATATTTAAATTTCAGTGCTATGCGTGATCAATACATGCGTGGTGGTGAAGGTTTCCTATGTGTATTCGCTGTTAATAGTGCAAAATCATTTGAAGAAATAAAACAATATCGTGAACAGGTAAAAATCATTACTGTAGTTTTTTTCTGTCGCATGAATTCAATTGTAAATAATTCATTTAGATCAAACGTGTAAAAGATGCTGACGATATTCCTATGGTTTGTAAGTACAATTCAATTATCGGTCTTTTTTGAATTTCGTAAATAAAAAATATTTAGTGGTGGGAAATAAAATTGATTTACCAACACGAACAATTGATTTATCCTATGCAAAAGATTTTGCTGCATCCTTATCCATGCCATTTGTACAAACATCAGCTAAAACTCGGCAAGGTGTTGAAGAAGCATTTTATACACTTGTTCGTGAAATAAGAAAATATGTAAATAAAGAATAATTGATTTTTGTTTTCTATTGTAAAAGGAAATAATTTGATTTGTTTGCTTGTTTGTTTCAGAAGGAACGTACACGAAAGGATCGAAAAGGTCGGAAGAATAAAAACGGTGGTAACGGCACAGGTGGTAGTGGAAATAAGTTTTCATTAAAAGATGGTCGAAGTCAAAGTGCAAAGCGTAGCGGGAAACGAATGTGTACGCTCATGTAGAACGTAAATTCAAGTCATGCTTAGCAATATTTTTAAAATCGATTTTTTTCCTCTTTATCTAATTCATATACAGAAACGGACGTGTTTTTTTTCTTGCTTTTCATCCCTTCTTCTCTCCCTCGATGTCAGATATTTGTTGTGTGTTTCCGAGAAACAAATTTTTGTTTGTGTGTGGTGTTGTGCTTTATTTCTTCGATGTTTCCTAGTCAAACAAATATGTGTCTCATAGTTGTGATGTGATAACACACAACTTTCATTTTCTTCTGCTTTGAAACGTATTGTTTCTTCTTTTATTATTGTGTGTGCAGTAGTTTTATTTCGGGAAATCAGAAGAATGAATAATCTTTTCTTCCCTATACAAAGAAATATTGCGATTTTAATTTTTTTGTTTCAGATTTATATATTTTTTGTTTGTGAATGTAAATACGGTTATTACAATGGCGACTACAAATATCGAGACAACAGAAACAGTGACAACATCAAATATTGAATTGAGTGAAAAGAAAGATGATGGGTTAACCGTAAACAAAGATAAGAAAAGAACGGTGAGATTTGAGAAAATTGGAATCGTATGAATCAAAAGTAGATTTAATTAAAAGTGAAGCGTCCTTTAAATTGATTGGTGCGTTCTTGGCGTTTTCGAAGAATGAATAAGAGACAAAATCAAACTTTCTGTCGTTTTTTTTCTTTGATAGCCATAAACATTAATCGAATCATCAAGATAAGGAGTGCCCTAGAAAATGTAGGCCTCTTAGTATTTTATCACTATCTTCATTAATAGTTATATCTTTGCCTTAGAGTTCTTACTAAAACATTTGCCTTTCAGTTTTGTAAAAGAAACGCCAATAATATATTGCCATAAAATACAAAATAAATAGTCGAAAGAGATTCTACCCTGAACACTGCACAATGTGCGAATAACAGATGTAGGAGCAGTGTTTGTTTTCAATAGCTATTCTTCTTTTCTTTTTGACTAGACATGCGCTTAGCAATTCTCATCTTCTTTTGAATAAAGGTGACTTATGTTTTGCGAAACAAGAACAATGCATGCATGCCATATTATTTTCTTACTAAAATTTTTATACGAGTGTTACATGTTTCTTATGAACCATAAAATTCATACCGGGATGTTGCGGAGATTAATCGAGCAAAACCTTTCCCCCATAATTAATGTAATATCGTAGCATCAAAGTTTAGTGTGCGACATTCGCACAGAAAACTTTCGTTATGTTCACATTGACAAAAGTCTGGCTGTACGCTAATCAAACCATGAAGATGAAATTTGATTAAATATTCATAAAGAGCTTTCTAAGAGCTTTTGAATAGATGATTAGTTATATTTGTATCTGACATGTCCAACGGCTAAGAGAAAAGAAAACGGCAGACTAATACTAAAAAATACATTATGTAAGTTTCTTTTATATTCTGTAACGTTGGCTGTTTGACTGTAGAGCTTTTTTGATGTGAATTCACTATTGATTCAACGAGAAATCGATCGGTAAAACAGTCCCAATTCATCCAGGTAATCAACATTGATGGAAGTATTAGTGAAATACCGGAAAGCATTTTTTATTCAATGTCATGCGTAATATTTGAGTGAATAATTAATGAAATACAATATTTTCGCTGTCAACTTTATTGATTAAGAGATTCAGTTGACTTAAATGCAAATAACTCTCTTTCTAATCATTAGATACATATTCGGTAGTATGCTTAAACTGAATCAAAGAAGATAATGGAGCAAAAGACTCAGCATTCGAAACACTTTTAAGAAGTACTATTTGAACAAATATTATCGAAGTTTATGTCGTATTTTTGTCCCTGTACTCGAATATAAGTATAGTAAGTGAGCTCTTGTTCTTTTAAAACTCATTAGTTTCTAGCAGATGGTGGATATTATAGGAAAATAGTGCATAAAAAACAACAATAATAATAATGTTATATTTTTAAAGGTATCCTTTCGAAGTTGCTCGTTTACGCTACTTTAACTTTAAAATAAAAACGATTCTTTTTTTCTAGTTTTTTCCTCCTGTATCTTCAATTGTTATTGTAATTAAACAATGATTCTATTTTTGTCTTTTAGCGCTTCAGAAGTCCAGTCAGGTAAGGCTAATACAATGCGTATTCAGAACTTCTATTCTTGAGTTGCCTATCGTGAATCGTATTGATGCCTGCGACTTATCTTTGCATTTATTCGAAATTATATTTATACATATATATATATTATTCTTTAGAAATATCTTCAAGTCAAAAACTGAAGATGACAAACCCTCACCGTATCATCGCCTAGAAGAAGAAAAGCAATATTCTGATTTACAAGTTAGATTCATATTTATTATTATGAAATATAATAAGAAAAGAAACTTTCAAACTTTTATTTCGTTTTAGTTTCAAGAGCCACAGGTCAAAGTACCTATTTTTGCTATTGTTCTAGCTGTTGTGCTCTTTCTTATCGGTTCTGTGATGATTACCTTAGGGGCGTTAATGTTAACTGGTCGCATAGAAACACAAGTTTGTAATTTTCTTTTCGATATGACTTTATACTTAATTGTTTTCTATTTTATGGTATTGTAGTATAGTGATCGTACGTGGCCATTAATACTTATTGGAACATTAGTTTTTCTGCCTGGTTTTTATCATTTACGTATTGCTTATTGGGCTTGGAAGGGAGACCGAGATTTCTCGTTTGCTGATATACCAGATCTTGATTGGTTCTGATGAGCAGCTTATTGATATATTGTACAATTCATTTTTTCTTATATTTTTCTTTTTTTTCCAATTGATAAATAATAAGTGCTTTGTTTAATTGTTCGATATTTCATTTAACTAACTAACTGATTAAATTTCTCTAGTAAAAACGAAGTTGTCAAAAATTGTCTTTGAAAACATGTTTTGCGAGTTTCTAATAGTTGTCACGGCAATCATAAAGGAACCAATGGTAGATAAGCAACAGCTTATTTTGACTAAGAAAATTCTTAATTAAAAATGATCATGTAGATGTTACAGCCAACACTTCGAATCTAATATAGCATGGCATGTTACAAGGAAACAGAATTGGCAATTTTTACGTCTAGAGCAATATTATAAATATTTCAACATAACCACTGGCCTTCATAAAACTATATTTTTGTTTTCTGTGTGTCAAACGTCACGTATTAGAATTACTATGATAAGTTTTGAATGAATTTAATCAATTTTCTTTGGTCTAATGCCTCTATTCATAATTTTATAGAATCACTGAAATATTTTTCCTGCGTTCTTTTTTTTACATGATTATCCTTCAAGAGTATCCGGTTCAAAGTCTGAAAAATTTCAATAAAATCTAAGATTTCATCAGCTAACTATTTCTCATAAGGTGTTGCCTAAAAATCTATTATGCCATTATGTGTGCTGCAAGAGCAAATTTTTCTTTTTCTTCCGACTGCATCGCATCTTCTTCTGACATACATCGAAGGCTTTCCTTTCGCCCGTCTCTTGTTACTCATGTCGATAAAGCGAGAGAAAAAAGGGGGGTGCCGGCATTCTCTTTTTTCTTTTATTCTTCTTTTTGTAGCAATGTATATAAATAGAGAATATAGTGGAGTATGCTACGACAAAAAAAACACCAATATATATTTTTTTTTACTATTATTTTATACCGCTTGAGCAATGTGCATGAAAGTTACTTGTGACAAATGTGGCAAGCCAACATGGCGAGGCTGTGGTCAACATATTGAACAAACATTAAAAGATGTTCCAGTCACAGAACGATGTCAATGTCCACGAGATTAACCGGCAAACTCTACTGGTTCAAAATCATGAGAACAATTAAAATAGCTTTTGTTTATTTCTTTAATATCCGTTTTCTTCTTCTTTTATTTCAATAAATCTAACAGAATGAATTTTTGCCCAAAACATTTCTTGCACAGAATTTTCTTGTTTTATGAGAAAACTATGAATGAAAAGCTAGTCCTTTTTAATCTGAATCATTGGGTACACTTCAACTATTTGAAAACAATATGACCTTATGTTTTATAAAGTGCATAGATACGAGCGAACATAATTATAATAATCCACTTCATGTAAAAAAAAATAATTTCTTGATAAAATATCAATTCACTGGCGAAATGCCACACCTGACAAAATCTTGAATATATCAAGTTTTTTTATTTCAGTTTACAAAATATTTTTCTGATCTATGATCTAAATTCCCTATCTGAAATCTTCTTCATTATTCTCTTATATCAATTTAATTCATGAATTATTCGAGAGATACATAATTTAATACTCTTTTGCAGAAGAATTCATCATGGGGCTAGATATAATTATTGTTTAATGAACAGTAAGTAGATGCTCTTCTTTTCTAATATTTATATATATATATATATATTCACCCATACGGCAGCTTAGCGCTTCAATACTTTCACGCACGTTCTGCAAAAGACATGACATTAAAAAAACATTACTGCACATCTTGTGGTATTGCAAGGCAAGAGCTTTTGAGCAGTGAAAAAGCATCCATTTGAGCCATTCATAACTTTTCTAGATAAACAAGACCTCGACATCGCCTACCGTCTGATGTGCGATATCTCAGAGTTTTAGATCACTTAGCCGAAGAGGGCGTGGCCGATCGGTACTAGAATAAATTTACGAGCGTTGCCATTGAAATTTAGAGATTACTCACTGATAAATCTTCTATATTTTTTTATTGAGTTTGATCTCAATTATTTTATTTTTCAATGAAATTCTTTTCGATATCTACCGACATCTTTGTAACTTCGGAGTGTTATCACGCGGAAAAAATAGCCATACAGAGTATTACTCATATCGTTGCTTTATCACAGCTGTTTTTTTTTCTTCGAGAGTCGAATTTTTCTATTATACACTTTTGTTTTTAGTTATATTATCTTTCATTTAAAAAATGGGTAATATATGTTCATGGTGTGTTAAAAACGAAGATCAATCACAATCGAATGGTAGCCTTAATGATACATCAGAGATACAGAATCCGCAACAAACTTCTGTATCTGCACCCAAAGGCAGCGAACGAACACCGTATGTTTTTATGTGTTTTAAATAAATAAAGTTCTATTTCCTTTTTAAATAGACTACTAAGTAAATCAGGTAATCATAATTGCCCGCCAACGACACCAGTGACTCTCAGTTCACCACTAAATAGTGAATTTTTATCAGTAATTCCACCTCCAGAACAACCTGTAGCTGATCAAGGCAGAGTAGAAACTAGAACAGGTGAGAATATTCGGGAAAAAAGAATTTAGCATTAAATTTTTTGGCTGTTTTTTCTTCTTAGACAGTCAAAATGCTCATAACGAAATGGCACGTATTGTTGAAGGTATGTTTTCCAAATTAATTGATGTTACCGGTGGTGGTGGATCTAATATTCGTCAAAGAAATGCAAATGCATACGAAGTCAATTCAAAAAATGATTCATTAAAACAATTATTAATTAAATCTTTGTCATCACCAAAACTCTTAGCTATACCAGATGCTGGTTTAAATAATCTTCCATCGTTGCTTTCTGGGCGGCCCGTATCGTCTGAAGTGTGTCACTATGTTGCGCATACAGCCGGTGAACTATCTAGATTATTAGTCGATGAAATAAGAATTGTTCATAAAGAACAACTTGTGGTCGTCTTCGAATAAGAACTAAACGATGATGTATGATTGTTATGCATTTTAAAAATGTTGCTTTTCTTTTTTCATACATTCATAGAATTTAAAAACTATAATATACACACACGTCTGTCTTGTGATAAGTCAGTTTTTCTTCTCTAAATCCAACAATAATGATAGATGAAAACAATTTTGTTAAAATAGCTGTAAGTTTTTGTTTGTTGGTGTGTCAGAACTTTTAATTTTTTATGTACCAGAATAAAAAGTAATCAACAAAGAAAAGGTGATTAGAACGAGAAACTATCGCTCTGTTTTAGTAAAAACATATATATTTATCTTATATCTTTTATTTAAGATTAAATCGAACATCGAACACGATGATAGGATCTGAGTAATGAATGTAGAAATGAAATATAAACCCTATTGAACATCATGCCAATATAATTCACGTCCACTCGCTGTCACGGGTATGCTTAACAGTGCTTGAAGATTATTTTCTTTTTTCTTCTGTTGTCTATTTCAGTTCGTTTATTTTGTGCTTTCTATCAACTACCATTTCTTATCTAGGTGAATAATGATAAAAGGTTTTTTCCATAATGAAATTATTGAATGCTTGTTAATAATTATGCTCTTTGGACATGGAATATAATATTGTGATCAACTGAACAAAAGTAAGACGAATGTTCTACTTACTTTCTTCGATCGAAATTCGATAATATCCGCCCAACTGTCCTCTCGTTACGTCAGTCTAATTTAATTTGAATAAATCAGCAGCTCAAAGATAAAACTGTTTTTATGTTGCATATTAATTTTTCTCTCATCCACTAATATGCATGTTGTGATTAAGTAATATATATATATATATGCACCTTTTTTAATGGGTAATAAAAACAAACATTTATCAGAAGATATAAATCATATTTTTTACCTATTACTTTTGTAGCAAAATGCGAGCGTCTTCTGTTCCCAAAAATAGAAAAAGTCGAAAAAACTGTGTCTAAAATTTCTATAATCTTATTTGAATTAAATCCAGATTATGAAAAATTAAATAGATATTTTTAGAAATAAAATTTTGCAACACTAACGAGTAATCTATTTTAAATAAAGAATTTTTTTTCAAGTGTTTATGTGTTCCAGTGGTATCAACTTTGAAATTTGATAGAACATAATTTAGCGTAAAAGCCATTTATTGTTCTGAGTAAATAAAAGAAAAAACAGAGCAAGAAAAAAATCTGACTTATTCATTGGCAACTCTTTGTTTCACTTCCGACAAAAACCCGCAACGAATATGAAAGGAAAAGCTTTGAATGGTAAATATGTATCATAAGAATTCTTGCCAAAAGCAAAAAAATGAAAAATCCAAGCAGATGAATTATTATATGAATGCTAAGAAAGAATCATTTTAATATTGACCTAATCGTTAAAGATAATAAAAATTCTCTCTCGTGTTACTAACAATAAGACGCATGTTACATAGACCGGTGGGCGTGGCTGAAAAAAGAAATTAATTTTTATCAAACAAATCTAAATGAAAATAAAACAATACTTAAGCGAGATAGGACCAAGTCAAGTATAAATTTTCATGCGTCCTCTCGCTGATTTTTACCGTACGAACAAATCTTGTTTTCTCTCTAAGTACGATGTTTTTTTCAAAAAAAAACAACATCCTCGAGTTCTTAGAAACCTAGAACGCGCGTAAGTTTTGGTTTATTTTTAATGCTCAAACTACTTTTTTCCGATGTTATTATATGGTGTACATTTGATCACGAGTATAATGAAACTCTTTATGACGACTATGAAGTTTCCGCTGGATAAAATGATTATTATAAAACTTGCAAAGGTTGACTAATATTTTTTGTTTTCACTTTCAAAATAGACAATCCGAATAAATGTTGGTTTATGTTCATTCAATGAAGTAGAATAAAGTAAATTTTTTCTATTATAAAAATATTTTTCATCATTGATAATGTTTTATAGGAACTGATTAACCGACATACTATGAATGCTATTCCTACGAACCCATGCTTTTTATCATCTATCGCAATGATCATTGAACTTTTTCGCCCATAACAATACTTCTATGGATATGTTTTCATAGAAATCGGGGATAATATAAAAGATGTGTCAACATTATTTATAATAAATCGGCTGTTAGTGAGCATGAGAGAGGGAAAAAACACATTAACGAAATCTTTTTATTTAACGATGACCTTTTGATATTTTCTACGAAAATTAATTTATTGTAGATTTATTATTTAATATGAGCGACCAATCACGTGAACAGATCTTATCGGACTTTCAAGTAAAACTTAAAATCTAAACATTTTCATATCGACGTCATTTGTTTTTTCCTATAGAGTTGCACAGGTTTAGAACATATAGACGAATGTATTCACGTTCTAGAACAATATGAATGGATTTTACCGGTAAATAAAAATACTAATTCTCTATTGCATACTAAATATATGTTAATAATAGGCTGCTGTTCAATCTGTTCTTGACAGAATCGGATGTGCGAATGATAATGAAACAACAGTACCAAATCAAGACACAGTTAATAATAGTACATCATCAGTAGCAATAAATACAACGAATCAAAATGTTAATAATAAACGACAATCAGATTCAAATGACATTGATGATTTAGATCAACCAAGAATTATCAAAACTATACCTGGTAGTCAACGAACGACTACAGGGATTATCGGACCAGGTTAGTCAGTTCATAGTATCTTATCGATAAAGATTTCATAAGCCTCAGCTGCTTTAACTTAAATGCTATTCGCATTTCCTAATTCAAATCGAACGCGATTTGTAATGATAGTCCAAACAGATGTGCAACATGCAAAATAAGACTAGCGTCTGACAAGAAAAGAAAATTCGATTTGATCGTATAGTGAATGTTAATAATGTTCAATTGGACGCAATTGAATTCCGGAATAATTTCATGTAATTTCTTCTATTTAGTAGTTCGTGATTTAAATTTTACAATTGAATGTCGTGATCGGACAGAGCAAATAACTATGTTTGATAATGAAAGCGTTTGTATGTCTATTTCTAATGTTTAAATTTGTTTTCTTAAAATCATATTTCTATTTTGTATGAAAGATCAATTAAAAGCAAAAATATGTGAAAAAATTCCTATCCCACCAAACAAACAAAATTTTCTCAATTGGGAAACGAAAAGTTTTGATGATCACGTAAGAAAATTTTACTTCGTAGATTATTCTTGTACTAAAATTTACTTTCTTAGACAATTTTAAGAGACCTTCATTTACCAAAAGAAAATAAAATACAACTTTCGTCAATAGAAAATGGATCTGCATCGTAAAAAATTCACTTTCTAGTTAAATAAAAATTGAAAACTTCACTTATTCTAGTCGAACTCAAACTCATACAAGTTCAGAGGAATTTCCAATAACAGTGCTATGCGAAGATCAATCAGGCAACATGATACCATTTAAACTTACTTTACAATCAAATACAACCATTAATGACGTTAGTTTTAATTATAATTCAAAATAAAAATACCTATAAAATTTTTTGCTTTCATTTAGCTGAAAAAGAAAATTGAACATTCAGCTCACATACCACTACAAAATCAAAGTTGGCAAGGTTTACTAGGTGCAAAAGACTCGGTACTTTTCAACTGAGAAAAGTAGATACTTATTCTATACGATGTTTTTTGATTATAGGATGAATTAAGTCAAACATCTATTACCTCTCAAATACCTTTAATTCTTCATCGTTCAGACAGACAACTACCATCAATAAGAAAAGAGATCAAAGTAAGTAGAATCGTATTGTCTTTGATTTTTAAATAATTTCATTGTTTCTAAATAGTATTCAGTAACAACAAACGACGATGAACGAATGGATATTGATCATGATAGTAGTTTAGAAACATATGAAGATGATAATCATGCTTTGTCTCAAAATGAAACTAGCCCACAATTTGATGCAACGACAATAGCAAGTCGAGTTCCACTTAGTAAGTTTTAATCGTACTCAACATAGAAAATAGAATGAAAGAATGAGATAAACGTTCATGCAGCATCTCTGCTATTGTGTAATTTAAACTTGGTAAGGGTTATATTGATAATGGAAAAAAAAAGAATACATTTTTATCAGTCAAAGTTTAATTTCGCAAGATTATTAATAATGTTTAAGAATGACGGCTCATACTAACGAGGGAACGTTCCCAAGTGATTCGCACGATTTCGATTCATCTTTTGCTGGTTTGTAGGGCTCATCATATATGTGACAGGGTTCGTGCCATTGCTGCTCGGTTTCAAAGTTATGAGCGAAACAGCTGCTTTGATTGATGGTGCTACTATCTATTCATTAATGTTTCGTTCTTCCGACCAGGTAGCTCAAACATACTTCTCGAAACTTTTTTCGTTCAAGCAAGTTGAGACATGTTTGTATTATATACATCTATGGGGAAAATCATCCTCTAGTTGAGATATGAAAAGAAGAAAAAAATAGCACATAGAAGGTGGCACCATCTATTCTAACACATGTTCCGCTCACAACTTTGAAACCGAGCTGCAATGGCACGAGCCCTTTCAGGTATTTCATATATACGACCGGCCCTACAAGCCAGCAAAAGATGAATCGAATTGGTGCGAATCACTTGAGAATGTTCCCTCGTAAGTAACCTGAAGATTAGTCCTTTGCTATGAACGTAGCGGTCTGATTCACAACCATGCTGAAAATTTTTTGATATGAAACCAAAGTATTTTATTAAAAAATGCGTTAAAGAATTAGCTCATGTGTCTACCTAACGAAATAAGATTAATCCGTATTGATAATTTATCGTTTGAAAAGATTTTCATATCATCTATACTTCTCACAATCGAAATTTTACTTATAATCCTACTTTACAATATTAATAAATAATTACTGATGATATTCTTTTTTTCTCTAACATAGTTCCTGATGAGTGTACAGATGATGTATCTGCACTGGAAAATTTCGCTCGTGTTTTTCATGCACGCTATGGCTCAACAGGTCCCATTCTCTACATTGGCCCCTTAGATCAAGCAATACAAGATTCAGTTTATGCATCAATACATAATGTAAATATAAGCATAAGAAATTCTGTTTAAAAAAAACAAAATTGACATTTTTATCTATTGATAGCGACGCCCATTAGCCATCTATCTTCACAATGATCAATCGGTCTGTGCCAATGTATTTTGCTCTCAAGTCTTAGCTACTGATTCAATTGTTGAATATTTAGCAAATAACTATGTTTTTTGGGCTTGGGATGTAACATCGGCTAGTAATCGAACACGGTAACAGCTTAAAACATGTCGTTACAAATTCCATATTCATCCAGAATTACTTTAGATTATTTGAAACAGTTCGCCGATGTGTTGGCAATCAATGTGTTCATCGTGTAGGTTCAATAGAAAATGATACATTTCCATTGATACTTATTGTTGTACGATCTCGTGGGTCACTAGAGTTAGTAAATATAATCGAAGGAAAAAGTACACCAAGTGAAGTTTTACTTAATCTCATTCAATCACATGAATCATTTGAAGAACAACGATTACGTGATGTTGATGAAGAAATAATGAGAGAAAAACGTGAAAATCTAAAAAAACAACAAGAAGATGAATATGAACAATCTCTACAAGCAGATCTAGCTAAAGAACGAGCGCGACAAGAAGAATACGATGCCAGCGAACGTTTAAAACAACAGAGATTGGTATGTGTTATTTGATGGTTGTAGAAAACAATATTTGATTCTTTCATTGTTATTATTATTATAGCAACAACAAGAAGAATCTAAAGCTCGTCTACCAGAAGAACCAAGTGAAACAGAAAAAAATATTATTCGATTGAAAATTCGTCTACCGAATGATGAAGGTGTACTTATGAGACGTTTTCATATCAACGATAATCTTCAAGTATGTTTTTCAATAATAGAAAAGAAGAGAATCTCTTCAGAAAAAAAACATTTCTAACTTTTGAATACCGTGAGCTCGTTACTCTTGACATTTACGTTGAGCGATTCTTCGCTAGTTTGAAGAAGAAGTTAAATCAAATTATTTTATTAGTGAGCAATTCACATCTGATCTATTTGTGAGAGACTTGTATCTGACCGTACATAGTGAGTTACACAATGGCGATAACATAAAACTATCACAAATCAGTATTGGATAACCGATACAAGTGCGATTAGTCCGCATGGAAGTGTCCGAATATCCAAACTCTAATACTTCTCGATTCATTTTTTGGAAAATTTCCGATTGTCTTGTAATGCATATGCAATTAATTTTGTTTTTCTTCTTACGACTTAGGTGTTATTCGATTACCTTACAACTCACGAACGTATGCTTGGCGAGTACAAACTTTTGACAACTTATCCTAAACGAGATGTATGTGATTTCTTGATTTGTGCTTCATTTCATATCATCTTTCTTTATTTTGTTTCTCTTTAGCTAGCATCGCTGAATGCATCAGATACGTTTGAACAATTAAAATTGTATCCTCAGGAGCAACTTATTCTCGAATCTCTGTAATATATCTATCAATATCTGCGCAAAAGTGAACTTATAAATTAACCTATCCATTTCTTTCCTCTTATTTTCAGTTGATAGTACAAAAGATTTCAACATCGAAATTATCTTTTGTCTCATTATGTTTATTGCATTTTTTCTCTTTGTTCAACTGTTAATTTTCTTCTTTCATTTACTTCGTTCTTCTAAAATGATGACGTTTTATTTCTGCAAAGCAATAAAAAGTTATGTTTTTGCTTCAAACAAAAACCTCGGATAACATTTAATTGTTTTAAAAAACATAACCAATGCATAGTGAAAAGGATTGCAAATTTTTCATTCTCAGAAAGAAGATAGATGCGAACGAGAGGTGCTCACAGGATTAAACTGTTTCGAACTTTCATATTGATCTTATTTAAAAGAGATGTCCTATTCACGAGCATACTGTGCCTTTTGATGAATATAAAATGAATCGATTCGACGGTATTAGTTGAGCAGAAAAACAGATTAATAATATTTCACAGATGCAATATCATATTAAAACTGGGAGCGTGGGTGTATTGTTGGTGAATTTTCAATGCCGGATGGTAAACGATTTGTATTGATAATATTTGAGCCATTATCAACAAGGCAAATAGGAGTATTCATGATTGTGATGACTCGATTAATAATTTCTTCTGCACATAGAGATGGTTCCTTACTCAATAGTTCAGTTACAAGAATTTTAGCCCATTCAAATAAATCATGATGCTATAATGAGATTTTCAAAAAAAAGAAGAAGAGAAGTTTAATTCGATGAATACTCCAATATACTTCGTTCGGATTGATTATACTTTCTAATTGTTGTCGAATTTGCTTAACAAGAAAGTCAACAATCTAAAGGATCGATAAAAACAAATAGATTTTGTTTTCTTGAACTACATGAAATGAGATACTAATTCATCGGCGTCATATTCGGATAGATTTTTCCGATGCATAATTCTAAATATTAGCTTTTTCTTTACATATGATGCACATTTGAATAAAATTAAGTGATACTCACTTAATCGCGTGTGCGCTGCATTTTGGAAATGCATTTATCGTACATTCATGTTGACGTTGAGACCGAGAATATTGTACATCGAGCCAATTCATAAATCGTTCGTGTCTTCGATAGATCTTTTCTTTGAGTGTATCGGGCATACAAGGTGATGCAGATTGACGATGATAGAATGAACCATCGAAACAGAACGATTTGATTTAAAAATGAAATGAACAACTATTCATAAAACTCACAATCTTGATTGATCGTTTGAAACATTTCCGAAGAATGTTCAACTTGTGCAAAACGTGTTAGTAATAGTTCTTGAGTCGGCCGCCAATCATCATGTTCAATACAGTAGTTAGAAACGTTCGATTTCAATGGCGCATTAGATAAATATGGTGGCTCACATTTCTTCACTAGATTTCAACATGAATTCTATTTATTTTATTTCATAATATATCGCTTACTACTCTATTAGATTATTCAATTGATCAAAATAAAAATGTTGTGCAAATGCATAAATCAAAGTTTTCTTTACAATGAAGCGCTTTAATTTATAATATCCCAATCAGTTCTTTCTCCTATTGAAAAAAACATTAATTATTAGAATCTCGAATCTCGACCTTCGTTCTGTACCGCTTGCTTGTTGTTCGGTTTTTAAAATGCACGAATTAATGTAAGTAATCTTCGATGTAATCATTTCGTAAATAAATACCAAGAATTGAATTAAAAACTACCTATCACGAACTTGAGTATAATGTTGATAAAGATACAAAAACGTTTAACAGTTAATCATTCGAATTCTAAATGGTTCCCCGTTACCCCCCCCCCCTCTGCTTTAGGAGAGTTACTTTTTCATCGAATACTTTTATTCAATAAACAGATGGATCAGATATTAATACACTACGTAAAAATCAACATAGATCAAAAACAGGTGTCGTGTCAGGAGATATCTGTCCTGCCATAAGTATGTTCTATCTTTTTCTCTCGGTTTCATTCTATCACGTTTACAATCATTCCATTCTTCTTCTCGTATCTATCCTATTTAAGTGAGTGTTAATGTTTAAAGAAGGGGATTACTTCTTGTGAGAATGTAATAATAACAAGAAGAAGATTGTACCAACAGTGTAGAATGATTTTTGGACGCCATCTGAATTGATCATACCATGGTAATAATTACGTTTAAAATTTAGTTGCAGCCAAGACAAGACACGGCTTAGACATCGATTATTGTTCATGTATGCCTGAGTCGCGAGTCCTGGTATGAATGAGGCTTTTGAAAATAAAATTATATAAGGACTATTGTACTCAGAATAAGAAGATACTGAATTCTAATTGAAGAATTCAAATAGAGCCAAGGGGGGACAAACTGACTACTTGATTTCCAGTGATTTCTAGTATCTCTGGAAATTCTTATTTTTTGTTGCTATAGTTTCGCGTTGCCTTTTTTATGCATTAATGTCAGTAGAATTATGAATATGCATGTATTTACAAATATGCGACTTGCATTTACCAAAGTTTATATAGCGCACAAGGAAATTTTCCAACATGATAGATAAATATGACGTTTTATTATTTAAACAAAAATAGTTGAAAAACGAAAACCATTGTTGTTCTTGAACATGTGACAACCGATCAGCGTGTAATGAACTCACATCTTTCTCCAGAAGCAAGCAAGCAGTCTGTTTGTGAAGAAATTTATTTTCCTTTCTAACTGCAACTTGAAAGCAGTGGCGGGTCCAGAAAATTAGTAAGGGGGTGGCGCTCGTAGTCAAAAAAAACAGTTTTGGAATCCCATTTAAATCATTACGCCTCTTTTCTGTTTCATTTCTGTTGCGAAAATCGAAAAACGTTTCGTAAGGGGATGACCGGATGGTCGATATGGTAGATCCGCCTGTGCTTGAAAGTTTGTTTAAGAAAGCTCTTGCTTTCTGTTGTCAACCACTCGTACTGCACAATTTGAAGACGTTCCAACATTGTTTATAACCTTGAAGCCAACATCGAATGCTAAATACTCATCGCTTAGGGATGTACCAATACTCTCGGCCAGTCTCGATCTTAGTCTTTGTCTATTTCTTAACATCAAATATGGCTGCATTCAATTAGAAATGTACATTCAGTGCTCCTAATGTAACGACGCTTAGCTATCATTTTCCCGAATAACGATGTTTGATGAAAATTCCTCATTGATACAAAATAAAGTTAAACTTGGTGTCGACAATAAAAGTCGTATCGATGTTGAGCGCTTTTCATACTGGTATGGTATACTTGGCAAATGCATCATTATTTTATTTCTGGGGTACCCGTCAGACATTCGCGAAATGTTCTTTTCATCTCTGATGTTCACAGATAGATAGAATAAGATGTATTGATCACAAACATTGCATGTTTCTAGAGGCTTGCCTCTTCGTACGAGACATATGAACCACATTTGAAAGAGCCAAAAATTAGTTTCTACTGGGAGAGACCACAAATCTATGTGAATGGTTCACTAAAAGTGAGCCTCTCCGGCGCAGAATCATTTACTCTACAAGAATATGGGTGAAGATCTACATATAAGAATGCTCCTAGATTGATAATGGTCAAATACCGCCCCCAATGGGTTCAATGCTGTAAACAGTGATTCCTTGGACTGACAGAACCCGTGACTGCATGAGTGAATCAAAATGATTTTCACTCAAGGCTGATAACTCGGCAAGTTCTTTCTAACGGGCCTTTCGTTGCCACTTCTCAAACAACTCTTACATGCCTCGATGAAAGATAATCGACAACAATGAGTTTAGTTTAAACGATCACTAAACTCTCCGATAAACTGCTAAATATGATCTGTATGAAAAGAGCTCATCGATTTATCTATTGTAAGTGAAAACCACATTGTTGTCTTCTCGTTTTCTGTTGCACCATAAGCTCACTGTTTATAGCATTGAGCCCATTGGGGGCGGTATTTGACCATTATCAACCGATGAGCATTCTTATATGTAGGTCTTCATGCATATTCTGGTAGAGCAAACGATTCTACGTCGAACAGGTCCAATTTAAATGAATCTTTCACATAGATTTGCGGTCTTTCCACTAAAAACTGATTTTTGGCTCTTCCAAAAGTGGTTCATATGTCTCTTATGAACAGACAAACCTTCAAAAGCATATAATGCTTGAGCTCAACACATGTTATTCAATCTAACGGGTGCGCCAGGATAAATGTCCCTCTCAATTGTTTGGCTATAACTTGTTTTCTTTGTGCCCTATAGAGCTGATTGTTTTTCCAAAAGATGCGCCGTGAAATTCTCTACAAAACAGTAATCAAACATGTTCCTGAATAAAGTTAAGGGAAAAACTTAAACGAAGATTATCCAACACATAAAAAGTACCCAACTTTCAAAGTTAGCAAGTGTTCCATCAACAGTCGGAGTTTGTACTTCTTTTTTTCATCATCTAGTAAGTTTATTTTAAAAAGACAGTATATCAGAAGATGCAGCGTGAAAAGCTCTACATGTTACATTAAAAACCTTATGCACTCTTTCTTTCAAAGTGAGAAAAACTTTGTCAGACCAATTTTAGATGCTGCGAACAGATCATTTATTGGTCTCACGGAACGTTGCTTATTTTAAATAACAATCGTGCATATACATAAAATAAATTGTTGTTTGCAAATTGTAGAGCTTTTCGCGCTGCATCTTTTGGTATATTTTCTTTCCTTTTAATAAAACATATTAGGTAATAAAAAGGTGAAATAACAAAAAAACGAATTCGTAGTGTATCAAAAAATGATCTTGTTCGTAGTCTTGAAAATTAGTCGCATAGAATTTCGTTTATTTTGATAACAAAGGGTACATATATTAAATAAGATTTTTAATGTAACATGTAGAGCTTTTCACGCTGTATCTTCTCATATACCATCCTTTTAAAATAAACTTAATAGATGATGAACAAAAAAGATACAAACCTCCACCATGCATTATGAAACACTCGTTAGCTTTAAAATTTGGGTACTTTTTATGTGTTGGATAATCTTCGTATAATTTTTTCCCTTAACTTTCTTCAGATATGCATTTGATCCCTGTTTCGCAGAGAATTTCACGGTGCATCTTTTGGAAAAACAATCAGCTCTATAGGGCACAAAGAAAAAAAGTTATAGCTAAAACATTGAGAGGGACATTTATCCTGGCGCACCCGCTATTTGTGAACAGCAGTAATGGAAAAAAAACTTTTTCACGAGTGCATGAGGATACTCCAGAAACGTAAAAATGATACTTTTGCAAAGTATACCTTACAAAGATAAAAAGTCTCCGGATCGATACGGCTTTTATTATTGACAACAATTGTAGCTTTATTTAGCATCGACATTTCTTAAAGAAACCGTGTCCTTCGGTCAGCTATATGACAAAGAGAACGCATAATAAGAGACGTGGCCCATCATGTCCTAGATATCGAGGTTGAACGAACACTATGTAGTAGTTACTATTCAATCATGTTTCATTCATCTATAAGATTTTTCGTACTAATTTATGACTACTTTGTGAAATAACGAATATAAGAAGCTTTCAGTTGTTTTACAATTAAGACTTCTAGCAACTGGCTGCCGAGCGAGTACTAATTTTGCGATAAATTTAATAGAAATTGAATAAGAATAAAAGAATATTGTATATTTATCTCTAATGTCTAATAATTTGAAAAAGTTGAAAAATGTAATATAAAATGATCTCTTATGATTTCTAGCATTAGAAATCAGTTTGTTCCCCATTGAATAGAACTTCTATAGACGTTTGACAAGCAGAATAAATAATGAATTCGAATTATACTTGATAATTTAAAAAGAAATGCCGTATAAGAACGATACAAAGACGAAAAGGAATATTCAAATTATGTGTTTAACAACGATAGAACAGTAGAAGAAAAATGCTTTCGATTTGTCACTCGGAAGTTTTTATTTCTGCTCGAGGTAAATGTAAGCCTTCTTTTTTTTCCTCTATTCTTGAATTCATTTTATGCAAATGAACGGTCATATATATTCGAACCCCAATCAGGTAATTCAAGGTTAAAAGCGAAGAAAAGAGAAATATATTCAACCTATCATCAACCGTACTCAGAAAGTGCAGTTTAATAGAAGGATTCAAATTATTTTTCAATACAATGTTTAGAACAAATTGCATATCAGCAACTAATATAAAAATAATATGTGACTGAAAACGTGATTTCTGACATGCCCAATCAAATATTTATAGTCGGAAGAAATGGATACATGTTCTAGTACCGGATTTTTTTATAGATGAATTTCATTCTTAAATCTGATATTTTCATTAAGAAGGACTATTAGAACTAGTTGCGGTAGATTCGCAATCGCGAGTTGATAAGGTGGCCCAATAACTGCGCACTAAACAATGAAACAAAACGATGTAGAATAGTAAATGTCGATGAAGAGAATGTCAACTAACAAATTTTGATTGAGAAAATGTCGACAGAATGTATATACGCATGTGCTTGATCGATAAAGTAACATTGGTATTTTAACAAAGGTGTTGGTGTGAGCGACCTCCACAGCTTACAGCATCAATATTATTTTATGATAATATCTTGCGGCTTTGGACGATTTCTTTGTCTTTTCTTTTGGCTTACCCTTGCCTAATACGCATTGTGAGATCGTGAGAAACCTATCAGTTTCAATCAGATACAGTTGTAGGACATTCCTAGTTCGCAAACGACTCTGAAAATATTTTGCATTGAATCAGATCTTAATCGTTAACTCAATAGGATAGTCATTCTATGTGATTTATTGCTTCTCTTGATTCGTCAGAGCTCTCGCTCGATGGATAATTTTTGTCTTAAAATATTTGCGCAGCGTATTTCAAGTAACTCGTACACATCTAGACCTTAAAATTACATACTAGATCAGAGTATTAATTGAAATGTAGAGAAAAGAGTTAACGAATATGGGACATAAACATAAATCTATGCCATAGACTGAACAAATAAGACGACTACATCGAACTAGAAAAAAAATGCTTTAGAGTCATACTTGAATATGGTTTTGGAATGTAAAAAAAAGATGATTTCTTATTGTTTGACCTGTGTCAGGTTCAAAGATGAATAAAACTGAAAGAGCGTTTTTATATATACTCTAGCAATACATAATGAAAATAATTGACCTTGCAAATCTATTTTTACGCTCTTTCTTCACACCGTAAGCACGCCACTCAGAGTCAGAGAGAGAGAGGGAAGAAAATCAAATTAACGCAGTGTGACAAAAAAATCAGAGAAAAACAAAACTCAAGGAAAATAAGTGAAGCATAACATATAACACATGTGATTTTCTACTTTATTCGAGCGACGTACGCCGTTAGTTTATTATCATCGAGTTTCTGGATTGTAGAATGCATACAAATGCATTTTTCTTGCTATTTTATTTTACTTGACGCCCACGATCAGATTGAAGCTTTCATTGCGACGATATTGGAATTTTTTAAATATAATTCAAGTAAATCTACAGGATGTTCGTCATTCGATGGGGCAGCAACGTTTTAACTCTTCTTTATGGTGACTGGATTAAGACCATCAGGTTGCAGATGAAAATGTATTTTTCTTCACTTGAAACATGCTTTTCTTTTCGCGACTATATTTTAAATTTCGAAGATCTTGATGTGTGTATGCCAATGGTGGTCATTGTTTCAAAATTCGTTAGTTTACTCGAGAAACTTTCACGTTGACTCAATTATGCCTAGTCTAATTGACTGATCGTACTAACATTGTGTTTATTGGTTTCTATTTGTAGATTAGCAATTTATCACTGTTAATATTTGTTTCTCCTACTCAACATGATGCATAGCGAGTTAGATCCAGCACTTCTGAGCCACGAAAATGATGGTAAGATCAGTGTTTATTATTAAATTGCTGTCTATAAAATTCCTTACGAGAGTATCATATTCGAATGATCGATTTGTTTCTTTCGTATTCGATGGGTTCTCTTCTTATTCAAAAATCAAAGAGTCAATGATATAAATACAATCTCTTTATTGTAGGCCCACCTTCGACTGGATCGCATGTTGGAAGAGAGAGCAAGCTTCTATTAGTAGTAAGCCGTGATCCGGCCGACAATAATTCAGATGCTCATGGAGACAATAATAAAATCATCACTGGAATTCTTCCTCAGAAGAGGTCCAGTACGTTATTCAGTATGCGCACTTTTGTCTGGTTGGGTGTCTTGGTAATGGCTATCATTTTCATATCTATGATCGTTATTGTCTATACGAAAGGGAAGACAAGTATTCAAGGATCACGAGACAAAGAAGACACAACATCAGACAATACAAGTTCAACAGGTAAATACTTTGCCAGTACAGAATGTTTACTGAGCTTCTCTTAATGAGAACAACAACCGATCTATGAATAAAGGGTCATTGGCTTTTGCTTTAGATATATTCCGTCCTGGAAATATCACTATTCAACAGATGACCAAGAAAGTGTTGTTCATTATCGCAGATGGTATTCCTGCCGATGTTATTGAAGCTGCTTCGGCTCCGAATATTAGAAAGATCTCTGACCTTGGAACATATAAGAGAGCATACGTAGGAGGCATCAAGGGGTCTTATTCAGAGACACCAACCGTTTCTGCTCCAGGTTACATGGATCTAATTACTGGAACATGGGGTAACAAACATAATGTGTTCGATAATGATGTCAAAAATCCTAACTATCATTATAAAAATATTTTCCGATTGTTGAAAGAACAAGAACCACAAAGGGAAATCGGTATCTTCTCTACTTGGTTAGATAATCGTCTCAAACTTGTGGGTGAAGGTCTACCACAGGCTGGTCAAATTATTTTCGATTATAAATTTGATGGATATGAATTAAACCAACACGCTTATCCACATGATCTAGCAGATTACTATATTTATAGGATCGATGAACGTGTGGCAAATGAAGCTGCCACATGTATCCGAACAGCAGCACCAGATCTATCATGGACTTATTTACAGTATACTGATGATGTGGCACATCATTTCGGAGACAGTGAACAATTCAATCAAAGTGTTATTAGTCTTGATAATCAAATTGGTCGAATGTGGGAAGCGATCGAGTATCGACAGAACCACTTTCATGAGGACTGGCTGATAATTATTACAACTGACCATGGCCGAGATCCGACTACAGGTCGCGAACATGGAGAACAATCCGACCGAGAACGTACAACCTGGATAGTGATGAATACACAGAATACAAATGATTATTTTCGTAATTTTCAGCCTGCTATCGTTGACTTATTGCCAACAATGGCACAATTTCTTAGTATCTCGGTCCCAATAGAATCGGCTCGAGAACTAGACGGAATTTCATTGATTGGAAAAATTTCATTAGCCAACTTTGAAGCACAATTAACTGGTGATCGTATCAAGTTTAGTTGGCAAGCATTCGATGATGAAGGCAATGTGACAATATGGCTTTCAACTACTAATTCATTTCAGAAGGGAAAATCTGATGATTATCAGCTCATGGGAACAGAGCATATCGCTTTGAAAACAGCTGAGATTGATGTCAAAAACTATCCATCGGACTTCTATAAGATTGTACTTGAAGGTCGATATAATATGGTGAACAAATGGCTATTTCGATTAACCTAAAACTATTCACAAATCAATGTATAAGCTTTTCAATGCTAAGTTATAGAGAGGAATTTGGACAATAATCTATTTATAGTGTTACTTTAATCTTTACTTCGTGTTTGGCACAGAGATAATTTTTTCTATGCTATTTGATCTTTTAGATGCTGTGCATTTTGTGCGATATGCTTGTGGGTGAGCGCAGACGAACAAAAAAATGTATATGAGTAACGATAAAATCTACATTATATTGACCATTTGTTTTGGCGTTAATAAAACGAACAAAATTCATTCATCAAAAGAACGTTTAGTCACAATTGATTGCTTGAGTAAACATGTGCGTTCAAGTAAGCATTCATCAAAACAAGTTCAAAATCGCACATGGCTTGATTTCGAATAAATATTTTGTATAATTTTTGTTTAGAAAAATATTAGCCTATAACGATTTTATCTATGGTCGTCGAGTTTCTACATAGCTGAAATTAGATTGCCATCGGACATTTCCTTCATCAAGCAGCTAATCCTGACAGTTTCTGTGAACTATTTTGATGAAACATAGTTTTAAAATACTCGATTGAATTATCCTGATCTATCGATCATTCAAATTAGTATAATTCGAAAATTATTTTCTAAATTGTGCCTTTGTTCATGCGAACTCGTTTGATTTTAGCAGGGAAGTATTAAATTTAATTCAATCGTGCAAACTAATCTTTTTCTTGTTTCTATAAAAATAACTCAATTCTATTTCAAATTATTGTCCATGAATTCAAACAACTGATTAGATTACTACGAAGGTAGTCACATTTTCAAATAAAAGCTAATAATCATAAATCATTCCTTGAGATGATCCATTTTACATTTCTGCAACGAAATAACCTTAGCACACAATTAAACCATAATTAACAATTATACGTATGTTCGATGAAGTACTCCACATCAGTGCTCTTGAATATATTGTAGCACTGATGAAATACTTTCTAGTTCAACAAACTGCAGCCAGCCATTTTCTCATTTCGAGACCTTATTTATTATTTTGAAAAATGAATTTTTACAATCCTTTTAATGATAAATTTATTGAATTAATTTTTTTATGCAAATGCATACGTTTTATATTTAACGCGGTGGACGACAATTCAGAGTTGGTTTAGTAACATGTAAGCCCTGAGGAGCAGCTTCATGTGACGTAACAAGTGTATAATTCTCCATAATCAAAAGGTTAAATAAACCCGAATTAGTTGTAAATATATTCGGAGAATTGTTATTTTGATCATAGATATATATTTTATTAGCGCCTGCTTTAACTACCCATAACCGTTGACAATCATCAACAATGATATCTGACACCGTCGTAGAGCTACTAAAAATAGAGTTACTGTCGCTCCATGTATTATTCTGATCTTTCATATATAAACGAACATTTTCGCTTGAATCTGCCCAGCCAGCATAAAATGCGCTGTCATTAACGATATCCAAAGCATGTAATTGTTTTCCAATTGCGTTCAGTGCTGGAATGGCTGCACATTTGTTAAATATTTCTGGTTGCCTTTCGCAAATAAAACCACCTGCTGTAGCTGCGCCTACAAGCATTTTTGTATTATTGCGACGACGAATACTTGTTAAAATACCTCCTAATGTAACAGTTGTTATTGGCGAATCGATTATCACATTATGAACTTCCATTGACCCGCCTCTTCCAAGATAATAATATTTCCCATCGAATCCAACCGTTTTAAAACCATTTCGAGTTGATTCATAGACCTTTTCAAATGTATATTTATTAAACTTAATTAATTTCTCTTGATATATTGAAGCTATCGTATTATTATCACCGAAAACAAGAAAACGTAAAGATTGTGTAAAAACACGTGTTTTATTAGTTGATGTTGACTGGAGTTGTTCAAGAAGATATGTTGTATTACAGCAATCATCTTTTTCTTTAAATGTTTCATTTTTCATTAAGTATATATTTGTATTATTTCGATATCTAAGTTCATCTCTCATCGGCATAAAATAATAAAATTGACATGTAAAATTTTCAAATTCATTACCAGTACATGTTAATAGAAATACGCGAGAATCGTTAAATGCATGGCAAAGACATTGATTACAAGAAAATTGATTGTCTAGTCTATGATAAACGTCGTCAGGTAAATCGAATGGAATTTTAACTGTTGCATTATGAATTATTCCATATGTATAAGAACCTGTAGATAAATATGTACGAATAGAAAATATTGCAAGGCAGACAAGAAACGACATATTATTTTGATGATATATTGAACAATAGGGAAGTTTTATAGATGGAACTTGAGATTTTATGTTGATATTTAAAGAAACAAAGTAAAGCTTATTAAGAATTTGTAATTGTCACGTTTGGAAATTTTCATATAATAAATATTAAAAGACAAGAAATCGAATCTCTTTTTGGCACGTTCATGTTAATTACTTTAAAAAGTAAAACTTATTATTTTTTATTAGAGAAAGTTATTAGCACAGTTGTTGAAGTAACATCATATATATATATATATTAATCTGATAGAAGCTTCAATGGATAGCTTACAAATTCTCTTTTAATACGTTCTTATTAGAGACGTCATAATTCAGATGTTTTTTTTTCACCTTGACAATCTATATTTAGATTATGCATCGTTGTGTCTTTATTTTTATTATAGGTAACCCTGGATGTGTATGTTTCTCTGTAGTGTTAGTAGGCCTGGATATAGTGTCATAAGTGTTTTTATATGATTTTCTATTGAAATAATCTGAGAAAAAGGCTTCAAAAGAATATCATCAGTTACTAGAAATGTGTCAAGTTTGCTGCATGCTTCAGCATTTAAACTGTTTTTCACTAGTTAAATTATTTCTGTCTCTCTGATATTTCTTTATTATTTACGACTAACATAGTCGGATATTAGACAAAACATCGTTTTAGTATACTTTTTGAAAATATGTAATTCATTTCAGTATTTTTATCTGAATTGTTTTTGCTTTTTAGCTCAGAGCTATTTTCAAAGAAAAAGAATTAGTGTTGTTAGCATTGACTTGAATTTATTAGTAGCTCGTCCTCTTCAACCCTAGGTTCTAACAACTACTACAGATAGGAAGAAATAAATAAATAAATTTTTCGTAGCGATCATAGGAAGAGACTTGTGATTGTACAGGAGATTTCGTAAACTATACACGACTACCAGTGTCGAACTCCTTTCGTCACGTTCTCTACCAACTCCAAAGTTATTCGTGATACGAGACAACGCCTGAATTCAATGTTTTTTTTTATAAATTTAACAATATTTCTAGAATTGCATAGTTGTATCTGATATTATTCAATTTTTCTATACAAGATGTGCATTTATGTTTACCTGTACTGCTTGTTGATGCGCTTTAGCAATGTATTTTATTGATCTATTTTCAATAGTTGTCAATAATATTTAAAAATAAATATATACGATTTATTTATAAATTGATTATTACATTTATTAAAAATAAAAGCATATCACAAACAAGATTTTATATACAACATATACGTATATGTCATGCTCGAGAATAAAATCTCAACTAAAAATATATCTAATAGAATTCTATTGTATGTCACCGGCCATATGTTTTTGCTACTTATATGAGATCGAACTGAAATAAAATAGAAATCATTTGAGATATAGAAGAATTTGAAAATCTATTCTACATACAAGATCTTCATCGTCACCATCTTCTTCATTAGTTCCTAGTGCATTATTGAGCATTTCATTGGCTGTTTCTTCTTCGAGAAATTTCTTGGCTTCTATTGGTATTACATTCGATTCAATGCATTCATCACTTGTGATTAAACTGATGTTTTCTAAAAATAAATATGAATGAATATTTTCAAAACAATTTTAAGTAGACGTAAGGGAATCTAGCGGAATAGGATAGCAATGGAACTAGCAGCACCATGAGCATCATTTATCTAGTTAAGCTATTTTCCGATGTGTATGACAACTCGATTCTATTTTCGATTTATGAAGAAAATCTATTCAAATATTTTATTATTTCCAACCTGCTGTTTTCGACATACAAAACGATGCTCTAGACTACAGTTAAGTGAAAACTACGGTGTTCTAAAAAATTTCTGTTTTCTAATGACCATTTCGGAAATTCTATTGGCAGAATCGAAACCATTCTCAATTTAATATGACACACATGAGCAGTGTGTGTCGCTCGACTCTCTGATAGAATAAGTACGATGTTTCATCAAAAACTGTTGACTTTTTCCTGACATACCATCAACAATTTTTGCCCAAAAATCTTTTCTTCCATCAATATTTGCTGCTTGTCTTTTAATAACCATCTGAAAGTCATTAAATAATTTTGGTTCTAGTTTTTGAATGCATATTTCTCGTAGAGATTGAATACATTGTAAAGCTTTTTCGAACAACGCATCACCACGTGAATTATTAATGAGTTCAAGTATAAGTGTAGACATTTGTTTGCACACATCAGTAAATGATGGTGAACCTTGTTCAATTAAAATCTTAAAATCTTCCACCGGTGTTATTGTACCAATCGTACGCATGGCTGCTTTCTTTTTAGCAGCAGATTGTGCTTCGAATGATGTTGAATCTGTTGTCGGTTCTTCAATGTTTTCATTTTCTTCAAGACGAAGTTTTTTCGTTAAACTACAACATAAGAAAATATTCGTCTAGTGCTTTTCAAAATGATTATTTTTGTCTTACTGATCATCGCTACCAAAGAGTTGATCACCGGTAGTTATTTTTTGTCGACGTTCAGTTTCACGGAGAACAAACTCTTCATGAACTGTGTCCAACGTTCGTTTACTCTTCGCAACAATTGATTGAACTAATGTATTATTCATTTCCTCAATTGTGTTCGATAATGATAACGGTTCGTCGGGTGTAACAGCACGTCGAGCGATACACTAGAATAAGTGTTTTTTTCTTTCTGTCTGAGATAACAACATAAAATATAATGCGAAATACATACTTGAAACATTCGTTGAATGTAAGGATTAAAAACGACTTCGGGTTGAAATGCTTCTTCGCTGTTAATTAATTGGATCTTATTTTCTTTTCTTTTTTCTTTTCTGTTTAATTCTTACCCTTGGTCAGCATGAGTTAAATCCATAGTTGTAATTAGATTATCAATCGTTTTTAGTTGTTCATCGCTTGGTTGATTTCGTTTAATGACGTCGAGATTATCAAAATCAAATCCACGTAAATCTTCTGCGAACGGTAATTTGACATAATACATGCACTACAGAAATTTTTTTATCGTAATTGAAAAATAAAATTTACTTTGACACTTACCATATGATCATGAGCAATGTGTGGACGTAAAAATCCAAGTTCAGGTGAACTTCGCTCACTAAAGCATTTGCGTACTATCGCGACTGTATTCGTATCATACATTGCTTGAACAATACCAGCAAATACTTGACCTTCTTCCTAATAGAAAAAAAGAAGAACCTAATCACACACTTTTCCCTAAGGGATCATCTATATATATATATATATATAGGAAAATCAGACTGAGAAAAAAGCTTAGGATAACTGCATATGATGATATTCCACACTCTTGATACCATTATTTGCGATTTTTCTGAGAATTGGATCAACTATCGAATTTATCAACAATGATCGAAATTCAATATCTACTGGTACCAAAAAAAGAAAATTAGCTACTCTTACTTCATAGGCAGGTTCGGCAATAACTTCATAAACCGTATCACCTAAGTAAAGACTTCGTCGCATCTAGTGAAAATAATTTCAAATAGAAGTTGAGTGAAACAACAAAAAAAATGAAACCAACCATATTAGCATCAGAAAATCCAATAATTGAAAAACATTTTTCACTATGATACTTCATATCGTCAAGTGTTTCTTTATTAATAGGTACAAATGTTGTACCATAACGAAACCCATCGGTCAATTCTTCTTTTTCAATTTCACGATCTTCTTCATCTTTTGTATAGCGACCACGATCCACTTTTATTTCCGTTGTTGGCTGACGTGCATACACCTTTTTTAGGCGAAATATTCCCGGTTTATTGTCTTTAACCTAATTTAAAACAATAAATCATTTTTCAAATATCCGTCAAAATAAATGTGGAAACTTCGGATTTCATCCGAAAGTTATGTGTGCTGCAAAAAGTGCATGGAATGTATGAGTCATTCTAGAATGTCTGAACACCAAAATTATCATGAGAAACTAGGCAGTTTGATTTCTGGATGCTGTTTTTGTGCATTTTGAGACGTTTTTCAGGCGATGTTTCATCAGAAAACTACGGTTTAGCTCAAAACTAATATCAGATTCGGAATCAGCGTTAAAAACTGAGTCGATTTATATATGTTGTGAATAATTCTGAGAAAGATTTATTTTTTGAAAAAAATTCCCTGTACTCCTCCTCAGGGATGGCCTGGTCAAAAATGACAATTTTTTCGATAACTCAACCATTTCTTGAGGGATTCTTCTCATCTTCGAACTCGACCGAGATATTCATGAGATTGAACTGTGTGGAAAATTTCATCACGGTCTGACTCTCCTTTCGAAAGTTATCGTGCCTACGGCCGGCCGGCCGGACACACTGACCGATTCTAGAGTGTACTCCCTTTTTGAGTACACAAAAAGTGCAAACTGCACAGACATCACCGGTCTCCTCATTTTTAATTCTAAAACTTTTCTTATCATCAAATGTTCGTATGCTACTCATTGTGTAGTCTGTCGTTTTTACATGGGCAGAATATTTTCAAACCTGAATATAAGTGCAAATGTGTAGTTTAAGATCAGCTAATTGCATAATATATTTTGTTGGTGTTGGTCTAACAGTTTTTGATTGATGAACGCTGAGAATAGCTAACGCTTCGCTAAAATAACAGAATTAGTCTATGTCGATATTGAACAATTATTTTATACCGAAATGTAAATAAACTTCCTTCGGTTGTATTAACGATATCGTTTATAATACGAATACCAGTTTGTTGCTGTTGTGTTAATGGTTTTTTCGGACTGTTTAGATGATGACCATTGGTGGTCGGATGATTATTAGCTGTATCTTCATGATTATCAGCATGTTCACTCGTGTGCATCGGCGAGTCTGGTCGATCATTTTCATCATGTTGATTATCGTCGTCTTGTTGACCCCATGTAGGTCCAATTGCATCAACAATAATATCTTGACGTCGAAGGGATTCTAGAATTATTTTTAGGCTATGATCATTAAATGGTGTGGCAGCGTTGGTAAACAATAGAACACGTTTAGCAACAAAACCGCGTTTGCCTCTAAAGTAAGTGGAGTTCATTTTCGAATATAACGCTTTTATCTTCACTTTAATTACTCAGTCTCACGACGAAGATGATCAGCAGCAACGACAATGGCATCAACCACTAAAAAAGTTATCTGTTGTTTCTCGTTTTCTTTTCGTCTCTTATTTACTTACAATCAGCTGGAGCATTGCCTGGTTTGATTTTTTGTACTTCTTCAAATAAATGCCAATTAGCAGGTGATAGAGTAAAAGCAACGTTAATATTTTGATAATTGTTTTCATCGGCTAAATCATTATTTGTTTCATCAGTACCATATAAAATCAATGCTAATTCATCTTTACTCTGTTGAAACATCTATTTAAATAAAAAGCTGAAAATTATTCATGTGATTCGAAGAAATCACAATCGTAGGTAACTATACAAATTTATATGGGCACAGATATTTGTTTTGAAACAAGAATTAGTAAACTGATCACATCTCATGATATTCTATGTTTAATATTTTTCAATGTCTGAAAATTTCTGTTGTTATAAAAGACTTTGGATGAGTTAACGCTTTCATCAGAACTGTGAAACAAGATAATTCTACATGTATGAAGATGTATTCCTACGAACAAGTTCTAAAACGGTCTGAGAATTTTCAAATAGACGCCATTTCTCATTTTAAAAGATTCAATTCTTGATCTCGAAGGGGTGAGGCGCATGATAACAACAGAAATTCGTATAATAGTTTGATTTGCATTGAAAAAACTCTTAGTTTCTTTTAGATGCTACATTTCATATAATTTTGATAAACTCCATAGTTGAAAGCGAAGCGTAGTAATAATGTATTTCAAAGAGAAAAAAACAGATCATTAACAGAATTATATACACGTCTAAGATTGAAGTGGTTTGCTTTATAAATAGGTATTCATTTTCATATGTTCTATCGAAGTAAGTTTCCCGATAGGATATTTTTCACCGCGCACCAGAGAAGACAAAAAATAAATGCATGACATACTTTTCTCTGAACAATCATTTGAAGTACATCACTTGCTATTTGTAGCGGTGAATCGAATCCAGGGGCTGCCTCGGACATACCAGCACCAATATCAACTACGAGCGCCATTGCTTCCTATAAATCGAACATTGAAATCATCAGAAGTTCAATTATAATTGAACTACCTTATTATTAGCCATGCTGTTGATTTGACCAGTGGTTATCTGTTTAGTTTTTATGAAATCTGAAATAACTTTGTCATTTTTTCATTCATGCGTGACTGACTATGTTAAGTGCCTATTAATAGAGGTGTGTTGAGGGAGTAAAAACTCTTTTACATAACAAAACGTAGTACAAAACGAGAGAAAAAGACAAGAGAGAACTTTCCTATGTTTAAAGCTACTGGATGACAAGATAAGACTTCATGGATGAAGTTGTTTTTTGTTTTGTTTCATTCTATGCATCATTCTATGTATCAATGGATTGAAAGCTAAAGTAAGTTTTTCTATAGAAAAAAGTAACGAAAAAGAGCCATAATGCCAGCTGAAATGCCACCAGTAACAGGAACTGTGACAATCCATGCAACAATAATATTTCGAAATAAAGACCAATCGACACTTTGTCTTGAACGAACGCGACCAATTGCTACGACACTACCAACTTTACAATGCGTTGTACTAATTGGAATTGATAAATTCGATGCTACAAGTACTGTAAATGCAGTTGAGATTTCAATTATAAAACCACTGAAAGAAAGTCAAGAGTTTACTTCTAAAAAATCTATATAGTAAATGTTTTCTATACCTTGACGGTGTAATTTTAGTTAAATCTTCACCGATTGTTCGAATAACACGACGACCCCAAACCCAAAGACCAACTGATATTCCAAGACCGCCATAGAAAAGAACCCATAATGGTGTTGCTGATTTTGCAACAACATTTCCTTCGACATAGATTAACCAAAGACCAATCAATGGGCCAATTGCATTACTTGAAAAAAACAAACACATTGAATCATCATTGTAAACAAGTTCTTTTCATAAATTCATCTTTCAATAGTAGCTTTGACAGTTCACAAATAAGAATCGTCCGTCAAAATTCCATTCTCTGATTAGCGCACTATGATACAGTTTGTTTAATTTCTACACAATCACTCATCGATGAACAGCATTCTGAAAAAATCATATGATGATGATATGGCATTCGAAAGCTGAACCAGACTATTTTTTTCAACTAATTTTTAGGATGCAATTTCATATTAATTGGTTACATTGTGCGAAAATTTAAACTAAAAAACAATAAATAAAGTTTTCTTTTACCTGACATCATTTCCACCATGGGCAAATCCACCGAATATAGCTGTAAGAATTTGTAAATATTTAAAAATACTAGCAATTTCCAATGAGTCATTCGTTGTATCAACTTTTTTCTATATAAAAAAAACATTCAGTCATAATTTTAATCATCAAAAAAAAGCAAACCTTCTTTGTTGGTATTTCTGGCATTTTGTCTTCGACTTCATCTATATCTTCGTTTGAACTCAAATGATTTGCTGATGTTGTTGAAATATTATCGTCATCTAAGAACGAATTGTTATTGCAAATAAAAATGATTAGCCATGCGAGGAAAAAATTTGTTTACCAGAAGTAAGTAATAAACTTTTAACCTCAGTAGGTGCTGAACCGGAAATCACTGGCGAGTTTGGATATTGAGGTAAACGATAAATCTTTGTTTTCTAAAAACATCATGACGTATAATTTATATTACTTTTGAATTCAATTACTTCACGAATAGCTGGTTGATTAGCAACATTTCGATGTGCCACTGTGTTCGGATTATCTGATGCAAGTAATTCATAACGAAAACGTTCATTTTCTCGACGGCCACGACCAACTGCGCTATAGACAGAATTTGATGTTTCGGAATCTTTTCGTATACGTTGCATTTCAACTATAAATAGTTCATTTCAAATAATAAGAAAAATAGCAATTATAGAGACTTTACCATAAGGACGAAATTGATCGGGATGTTGTTGTTGATAACGTATTAAATCATATTCTTTAAGCATAGATATATGATCAATTTGTGTTTCTTTATCACTCGTATTGACATTTTCAAGACGAGACACTAAATTTTAAATTAGCAAATTGAATTTTATTAATATTCTTTGTTTTAAAAGTATGATGCAAATATAAATGAAATGATTCAAGCGATTTAAACGATATTTTCAACGTTGCTTAGACACCGTAGCAGTACATAACTCCATAGTCGATTTCAAAATCATATGCGCATTAAGAATTGACTCAATATTATCATTTATATCGCTTGAAATATTCAATATATTTGCTTTTATGATTTTTTATTACTCCCGCGGAAAGCATATCGCCCAAGACTTTAAATTAAGAGCTGATCATGAAGCGTTATGGTTAGTAAAATAGTTTGTAATCACTGATATCGTACAATTACTCGAGAATTCTGCAATCGCTATTCTTTTTTTTAAATCAATAGCTTGAATAATCATCAACTTACTTTTATTCTACAATTTTTATAAAAAAGATTTTCGCTGTCAGAAATGTTGATTTCAAACAAAAACAATATTTACCAGTATATGTTTCAAAACGACCTTCAGTTTTAGTTAATTGTGGTTTCTCTTCTGAATTGTGGTCGACTCCACGTTTCTTTCTTAATGTTGCTAAAACAAAAATAAACAAACGAATCAGAATTGCTTTATTAATCCAAAAACGAAAAAGCGAAACACAATTTTACCTTCAATGCTTCGTTTTAAACGTGGCTTAACAAATATCATAACACCAAGACCAATGATAAGTCCAACACTAATTGTTATTATGAAATTTCCCCATAATGGAATACGATCGAAATATAACACTGAATTGATTAGTAAAATAGAATTTTGAAAATCAATTTCTCAAACTACAAACTTGGTGGTGCTGAATGAATTATTGAAAAAACGTTAAGCATGATTGTTACGCCATAGAAAATAGGTAGCCAACGAAGACCCACAGTCATTGAATTCTCCTAAAGGAATAAAATAAAAGCGAACTGATTTAATTAATAAAACTAAAAGTAATTTACTTTTTCAAGAATAAATTTTCGAATAAGAATAAAGAAAACTACTGATATAATACCAGCTAATGCAGGTGAAACAAACCATGAAGCCCCTATTATATTTCATAAAAAATAGAATCATCCATGCATTATTTTCAACATACCAATTTTAGCAAAGACACTCCATTTTATACTGTTTGATCCTTGAGAAATGAGAGCAAAGCCAATGGTTCCACCGACAATACTATGTGTACCAGATACCGGTAAATTGAAAAATGTGGCAACTAATAACCAAATGCAACAACCTACATATATATATATATATATATATATATATAATGAGTCCTCTATATCTAAATATTTTATTTACCAATTAATGATGAAAGTTGACCAAGCATTAATTCTTTAGGATTATCAAATGTCGTTGGATCAATAATACCTTTCCTTATCGTATCAGATACTTTCGCTCCTAGATAGTCGAATGGAATAATTCAATAGAATTCTAGGGAAAACTTTTCATGATATACCAATTAAAATTGATCCCAATATTTCGAATATTGTTGCTAGAATACATGCTTGTTTCAATGTTAACACTTTACTACCAACACTTGTACCAAATGAATTAGCTACATCATTCGCTCCAATACCAAATGCTAATACAAAGGCAACAATGAAACCGACTATCAATATCCATAGGAGATCGACTGAATACGGTTCGACAGCTATCATAATGTATTCTGATTATTTATATTAAATACTAATACAAAAAAGATTAGTTAATTAAATTAATAAATATTTTATTTGTTATTTCTTACTTTCAGAATATGATTATTGATATGCGATGTTTCCAATGTTAACTTCTCAATACCTGGTTAGAAACGATTCACAAAAATTTATAATGGAAGTTACGATTATTATTATTGCATGTGAGTGATGAATGAATTAAGTCTATTGGATAGAGAGAAAACCAAAGCGTGCACAACGACGCCTATTTCAAGATGTCGCTACATTCTAAAATAATAGTAATTCGTGTCTGATTTTTCTATGCTTAACCGAGAATATCTGAAACCATGAGCGAGAACAAATATGTGATTTAGTAACACGAATCTTTTTGTGCAAAAAGAAGAGTTCAATTTTTATATTTTTTTCTTACGGAACATCTTTTTCTTGTTGCATTATAGAGGGCAAAATAAGATATCTAAATAGTAACAGATACGTGCAAGCATGTTTCACGTTCTAAACAATGCACATTTTATCGTCCATCACATTCTTTGATGTACATGTGAAAGATAAAATAATCATTTTTCATTTATAGATGATAACTCGACAATAAATTTAAAATAAATGATTAGTATTGTCTAATTAATAAGTTCTTATATGCCAAATACGCTCGTATTCGAAAAGTTGATTTAAAGAATGTTTGCATCGATGCTATGAGTCAAACAACGATAAAACAGAGAACAGATCGACATCATAAAAGACAATCAATAGAACTAAGTCGAACAAGAATTACATTTCAATGTTAAAACCAAAAGAAAAGCTCATCCGATAGTCAATCAATATATTTGATGGGATAAAGATTTGCATGCGTTACTTTTAAATGGTAAAACACTTGATGATACAACGTACAAATTGGAATTTTCATAATTTTCGATTTCGATTTTCATGATGGTTCCTAACGTCTAGAAATATCTTAAATATTCGGTCAACGAAAAACAATGTGTTAAGAAGCTTCACTGCTGAACTATAAATATATGTCACGACCGTGAATCACTTTTGACCAACATTCTTAACCTTGGTCATGTCAATACTCAACAGACGTGCTAATCGATGATTGATTGCACATAGTAGTTAACTACCAATATTTTAAAAGAAGTTAAGGATGCCGAAGAAAAATTGATGATTGACGTATAGATTATTCGTGTTTTTAACAGTTACAACTTTAGTTCTCTTGTCACATTTAATAATAGCAAAACATGAAGATGTCATTTGTGACAAAATGTAATCATTTCATGAAAAACAAATTGAAGTCTAGTGTTATTTAGATTTAGTTTTGAGATCTACGTTGTAGTATTTTACTTGCTGAACAGAAGGCAATTTTAGTATAAAAGAGTCAACCAGAACCTTCGGCAAAGGTACGATTCAAGATTGTAAGTGACGCAACAAGTATGAAATGATCGATTGATTAATCGCATCCGAAAATGTATAGAAAAATCTATGCAACTTAATTCCAACTATGACCTCTATGCTGTAAATAGAAAATATCATATATACCAGCAATCCACTGTTGATAGAATCGCTCAATAGAATAGTTTTAAAGCGTTTTACTGATCGCTTAAAAAAATATCGTCACTTTTGAGTGAAATATTTCATTGAATTTTTAATAATACGGTTCTAATTCATTAGTTTCGTTCGTGATATTCGATTGAATCCTTGAAGCAATAATAAGAAACTCATCATCGTCGTTTTTTTTTGTCAACCGCACTTTACTTTTGAAGAAAATAATTTTCACAATCAGTAAATCAATTCAAGGCTCGACTCCATACGCATGCCAGTCGAATCGAACCCTAGTTTCTAATAATTATAAGTTACATCCTACAACAATAATACTGTTAGATGTTGCAAACACTAAACATCAATATGTTCTTGATGATTTATATTCTTAAATAAAAAAAAACTCTAATAAAAAGGCAGAATGGATCTTTATAATTCCATCGCTTCTTTTCTAACAAAATAAATAAGAGAAATCGACGCTAGCGGAATAACTCGATGACAACAAGAAAAGCCCATGAGAGAAGCTTAGAAGTTTTCATCTATTCTATCGTGACAATCCAATAAAAAGAAACGTCGAGAATATTTACAGAGAATGGCATTAGAAACGATCAATCATATTGAACAAAAAACCAAACGACGTCACTGGATACAGCTGTTGAATAAATTAATGATAAGATACTTTTAAAAATATGTATCTATATTTTCAGCAAATAAGCAATACAGTTTTCATAGAAAACGTTTTCGATTTCATATCTACTGAACAAAAAGAGGCAATCGAATGAAACTCATTCAGCGAGTATGACCGTCAAATTAATTTATATCATAGATCACCAGCGGAGTGTGACTGGTATAAATATAAATCTATCGCAGTTAGAGTACACGACATATAACGAAATACTCGATTGTTTAGATAAATTTGCTACACTGATTGGTTAACCTTGATCCGATGGATTCAATCTGTTCTTGCTACTGTATTCATTACAATGGCTTCTACTGAAGCAAAAAGCCGCAATTATGTCAACATAACTCCTGATAGCATGCGAGCAAGTGTCGATTAATTACCCAAATACGTTGTCGACGATGTCGTTATGAGTCATAGGCTTAAGCTAACATGCTTCGACAAAATTACTGCTATAAATTATTCGCCTGTATGAATATTGATTTCTAACTGTGGCCACGAATACATGATAATGGATTTGTCAAAACACCTGTCACATGTAGAATAACGATTAGGAAAATGCGAATAGAGTATTCAGTAGAGTAAGAAGCTCTCATTATTATTACTTTCCTTTGATGAATAATGGTGCTTACTGTCATAGAGAATGTCACTACGATTGTTGAGTTCGGCTTTCAAAAGATGTGACATGCCATAAAATTACCCAAAAAAAAGCAACGATGATTAATTTTAGGATTTTTCATAGAGAGTTTTTTATTCTCGGAAAATCCCGAAATATTTTATCTGCTAGTCAAAAGTAAAATCTATTTACCAATTGATCAAATATTCATTCTTTGTTTTTTTTTTGATAGTTTTGTTAATTATAAAGAAAAAGAATAGATCGACATGTTTGTGTGTGTGTGTGTGTGTGTGTCGACATGCTGTATTAATTATGAATAATAGACTAATCATACTTCGCACATATACAAATAAAAAAAAAGACAACTACTGTTCTTGTTAGACTGTCAAAACGGACATTCATACATAAATTTCAAATCATTTCTTATTGTTTGAGATTTTGATCGATCCAATGACTGATCACTGCATGAAAATACTTGTTTGATTGCCGGTACTGTACTTATATAGAATGCTGTCATTATTTCGGTTTTACTTTGAGATTTCGGTACGGATGATGTTGAATAAGTATCATTCGAGCATACACATGCAACGTAATCCTTCATCGTATTCGATAAATGATTACATTCCGTATGAAGAAAATTCAGTGAATCATTCTCTGCAGTTGTTAAAAAATTTTCAACCCATTGATCAACTTCTTCATACATTGTTTGTCGTTGACCTTCTTTTGAATCGACAATGGACAAATCGATCGATTTATCGTCATCAAAATTTAAATTTTTAATCATTCGAATTTCATTTTCAATTTCTTCAATGTGCCTTAATATCGTACGTGAATTTGTTTTTATTAAATTTGTTACCGGTGGCGGATGTAATATTGATAATGAAGATGCTAATTTAACATTGGTTTCGTCCAATGGTAATATAAATGGACTTTTTCGTGTTGGAGATTGCAGTTTATGCGGATATGCATTTTCAACGATTTCTTCGAATTCAATTGAAAAATGATCATTTGACAATCGAGGCGATGAACTATGTGAATGATGGTTCTGATCGGCTGACCGTTTCGGACTAGTAGATATTCGTGTATTTGATGAACGTTGAAAACGAGCTTGAGCAGATCTCTTTATTTTTCTTCTATTATCCGAAGACGTTGCTGTCTTCGAATGAAAATATTGTTCGGTTTGATTTGTATATAAAACATTTTGTTTTTCATCAAACAAAATCCCATCAATACTTGTATTATCAGGTGATGACGATGAATCGATAGCTCTCGAACTTGATAATGAAAATCCATGGCCACTGTCACTTTGATGAAATTTTACATTCGACTGATTTATCGCATGAATATTTCCATTTGATATTGTTTGTGGAAATGATTCCGAATGTATAAGTGTCGATAATGATGATGGCGGCTCATAGATTGAATCTTCGGGTTTTGATATTCGACTAGTTTGAATCCATGGATTTGTTCGAATTCTTGAACGCTGTCTTGTTTTTGTCGATATAGAAGTATTACTCGATGATATAATAGCTTGATTTTGACATTCTCGACTTGGCTTACGTGTTGCTAGAGTACTTGAATAGTGACGACTTAAATATACATTTGGTTCTTGTATTGGATGAAATAATCGACAATTAGAACATGATGTACTACACAGATTCTCTTGTGAACGTATGCCAATAATTGTATTGACTAATTGAGCATGACGTGTGAGAAGCATTTCCGTACGAGTATAACGATTATCAAGGGGATCATTATTTGTTTCTTCGTATCCACATATTTCATAATGACAATCGGTTGATGATATTGATTGATGATGCGCCTTTGGTTTATGATATTTTGACGATGCATTACTTTTTCGTCTTGAGACAAGAGAACTAAAGTATTCTTTTAATTTCATTGATAGTTTTGTTTGAAAAAGAAAAGAACTAAAATAAATCTAGAAGACAACACAAAAAAGAGTATAACCATTTTCAGTTTTTTTGCATCACCTCTTCTCCTGGTGCTTGAATAAACACAGTATGCACATGCAGATTGCTCGCACTTCTACGAACAGCGACAGCTGGATAATGTTCTTGAACTAAGACTCAACTTTGATTAACCACTAGAGAGAAAGAGAGAGAGAGAGGCGCTAAACTATTATTCTATGAATCAATATTCATTATTGCTAGAAAAGTACAAGGTTCTCTCTTAATTTATATAATAATTCTAATATATTCAAGTTACGTATGCATACATAGATTGATAAATGAAATAAGATGACTAATGTTTCCTCTAGATACCTTAGAATTCGGACACTATCTTTTATCAGCTATATATATATATAGCTTATTAACGATAAGAGTAACATTAATAAACGCGTAGGATCAAGATTACTATAGGTTCATGGTATCAAAAATATAAATTATAGGTAATTTCCTCAAAAAAAAAATGAATAGAAAACGAACATGTCTTGAATTATAAGACTTACTTTATTGGATTGTAAATGAAGCTCTTTTTTTGTTTCATAAAAATTTTATACATTAACAGAATGTTTCATTGACAAATATATGATCGATGGGTCGATGAACATTTTACAAAACCATATCTATCTCTTTCTAGTCTTTCTATTCTATCGGATCTCGAGAAGTAATGAAAGAACAATTGAAGTAATAAGGAAAAAAGTTTCTTTTACGATCCGGAAGTAGCTTTCTCTTGCTCCATATAGAAGGATGATGAGGATGTCCTTGGCGTGAACCGCTGAAGACGACAATGTTAGGAGAAAAGGAAGAAGGGAGGGAGAGAGAGAGAGAGAGAGAGAAATGGAAAAACATATTTTCTTAATTGAAAAAATAGGCCAAGCAAGAGCTGAAGGCAGATAGAATCTATAGAGTAGGCTTGTCGAAAATAGGAAAATAACTAAAGAAAATAAGAGACAAGAACATGATGCTTGTTTATAGCTAAGCAAACAGATGAAATAGTTGACAGAAAAGAAACATCTGTACCTTGTTTTCAACTTATTCTTAGTCCGATGCGACACAAACGTGATGTAGTCGTAAAAGATATTCTCGTTGATTTAAATAAGGTGTTTCTTTTTTTATTCTTTTTTTTCTAATAATGCACATCAACCTGCAACAAAAACAACCCGAATGAGAACAAAAAAAAAAGAATTTCTATTCCGACCAAACAAAATTCAATTCTCAAAAGCGATAAAAGAAGAGAAAAAAACTCAATCCGCCGAATAAAATAATTGTAATGATCAATTTACTATATCCGTCTTCGCTCCCAACAAATATCTACATCTACATATATTTATCTTGATGGAATCATGTTTATACTCCCTCATCGTACTCAACATTTGCTAGATATACATATACTACATAGTAACTTGTATAGAAATATCGAGATTATATTTGTTCTACGTGCTCTGTATCTCACATAATCTAATCTGTCATATGTGTTTAATAAAAGAAAGAAGTTAGAGAGTAATGGGGATAGTAATAGTGGTAGTAGCATACATACGACGACTTTTGACCATGTTCGTATCAACCTACAGAATTTAACCGCCCGAAAATAAAACCGGTCACGATTAATAACAGTCGATTAACTCATTTTAATGAGCTATTTTCGACAACACAGCACTGTATGTAACACTCTCGACCGATGTTTTCTTTCTATTTTATAACTAAAAAGTGTTTGTTGCTTCTCTCCTTTCTTCAAATGTATTACACGGTGTGTGAGTCACCTTTTGAGTGGTATTAAAGACTTTTCTTTTTTCTTTTCTTTTATAGATCGTTCAATGATTTTCTTCTTCGTCTATTCTCCTTTCTCGCCGATCTTCATCTTTGATTTATACATTATACTAAAGCGGAATAACATTTTCTCTTTATTTTTTATTATTATTATGGTGGGGCGTCAGTTTGATCCTCTGTGTTAAAGAAGACCCACCAACTTAAGTAAACAGAAGAGATGCTAAATTCTTGTTAATAAAAAAAAAAAGAATGTCTGCAAACATCCAATCGAGAAGAGGTTAAACTCAATGACATTTTCTACATTATAATCATGAAAAGAGAAAAGAAAATAATTTACTGGTCTGAAAACGCTGAATTGCTCGATTAAACATTGTCAGCTCCAATTTATTCGAGGACATTAAATGAAGTATTTTCATATGTTTAACACACCTATCATTTAGTTCTTCCGCCTTCGTTGATATACCAAACGGAAACTATTAACAGGTGCATTCTTCGATTTCCTCAGAGAAATAAGCTATCGATATTAAGGTCAACTTAAATAAACCTTTGACTTTTGTCTGCACTTTGTATCTATCATGGGAGATAACAACAATTTTCCCATGAAACCTTAATTCAATTTTATTTTTCTTCTCAAAAAAAAGAATAACACAATATATAAATACCATTCTCATCAATGACATTAAAAACATCAGAGCAAAGAAAAGGTTAATGATAGGATTAATTGACCAAACCATAAATCAACTGATCTAAATAACGACTTTTTTGCTTCACTGGCAACTATGCAACGATTAGATGAAACGCAAGAATACAACATATAAACAGTCAATACAATAGTCACAAGCATTTTCTATAATACACACATACAATTAACCTTGAATACGACAAAATATACGAGATTGATTACAAAACTAAATATGAGACAACAAAATCTGTGATTGAGCCTATTAGAATGTATGATCAACAGGATAAACAATTGTACATGACTAATGAATATTTTGCATCGATCATTAATTATTCGGCTTCTGTGTTTTGTTTTTCTTATAATAAAAATCAATCGATTGACATTTTGATATTCGGTATCCTACATATTGTTGATTTTGAAAAATAGTTTCTATGATAAAATTACATGTCTTATCACATAAGATAATTATTTTCATGAACGCACACATATATTTATGTCTTTGTGACATTTATTATGCGGTTACTTAGATGTAACTTAAGATAGAATAGTTCATATGAATGACATCTATGTTAAGTGTCAAATCTAATGTGATAGATAACTAAATATTCGTATATAAATTATTATCATAACACTTGTCAATAGTCGATTATGTTCAAGGATTTGAAGATTTATTTATTTATTAGATGCCGTACGCATTCTTATCCACTTTGAAAGGAGTGCTTCCGTAGTATAAGTGATAATTTGTGGATAAGAATTTCTAAATGAATATTAAAGGCGGAGTACTATTTTGAATAGTAAGTTTTTCCGTATGCTTTTGTTTACAGCATTGGCGAGAGCGAGAATTCATTCTTCCAGATTATGAATCTCTTAAAAGATTCAGCCAGAATGTATTTAAAGATAACGATCATTGTTGAGTCTATGAGTAATCGCATTCTTATCTATCTAGATTGCACATCGCATTTACATAAATATATAGATCAACTACTAACGGAATGCATCACTATAGTTAATTATTAAACGATAGGATGAAATTTCATTAGTTTCTGAATAATATTACATTATGAAAATAAGCTCGACACTTACGTATTTCATGTCATTTTTAAATTAGAAATTCATTAATGACAACAAGAAGTCTATTATAAACTGAAAATTTTCTATTACCATTGGTTTTGAAAGATTGGCTTTACTAAGTGTTTTCAGAGTTCGAGTCAAGCGGCATCTAGATAGTCTTGGATACCTGACGAAACCAGCAGCCAATCATGCTGATGCTGTTATGAAGAAATATGTACGTCATGATTAGTGAGCATGACTATAATTATTACGAAATTCCCTCGATATAAATACCGAATTTCCGTGTGCATTGAAATCCTTGACTGCAGCCAATCATGCTGATGCTGTTATGAAATATGTACGTCATGATTAGTGAGCATGACTATAATTATTACGAAATTCCCTCGATATAAATACCGAATTTCCGTGTGCATTGAAATCCTTGACTCCAGCCAATCAAAATGGCATCATCATTAACAAAAACAGATTCAAATTTACTGAAAAATCATGTAAGAATATCTGTTGACATGATTTATAAATTGTTTGATTATCATTTAAAATAGACTTCTGATCCTGATCGGATTAGGGTTACGAAAACTAGTTTACGCTTTGCGGAAGAACAACGGCTTCTTAATTCTAAGTCACACGCATCGAAAACATCTGCTAAAAATCAAGTCTCTCAGAAGAGTTTGAACAAATTCTGTAACCGAGTTCATCAAATGACCCCGGAAGAGCTTGATGAACAACTAAAACGACGAAAATTATCCACAAGGTAGTAAAGAAGAAGAAAAAAAACATTGAAATTTAATTCGAGCCTGGCAGCTCAACTCGCATGTATTACGTTGAATTGAAAGAAGCTTTCTAGGAAATTATTTTATAATTGTATTAGACTTTTTTTCATCTAGAAGTGTTTTTATCGTAATTGCAGTTCTATTTTTAACGTTGAATTCTATTTCACCGCTTAGTATTTCATAATGAATGCTTAGTCTATTATCTCACACGTGTTCATGCATTTTTGTTCGATAGAAAAATTCATTCTACGATGAGCTTAGTGATCTACTCGCGTCTATGACTTCATACCAATATAATTTCCATTTAATTCCTCGAGTTATATTTTCTTCTCTTTGATTGCCATGTTCATAGAATTGAATCGCTTCGAGTTCTAACATAACGTGCATATATAGACGCATATTCTCAAAGCAATAAATAGGTCAGATCTAGAATCAGCAAAAAAAGGACTTTCGGGAATTCACGAACTAGCTTCTTTGAGAAGGAGTGCTACTGTTAGTTAAAGAATGAAATCAAGTATTGTTCAATTCATTTCTATTTAGAATGAAGTTTCCGTTTAAATGTGCAAAAAAATGTTGCCTATTATTCATTCTAATAGGAGTTATGCAAGGTCAGATACTGAACTTCTCTCGGACAAATTTGCATGTAGCAGTTGAGTTGACTTGGTGGGATTTGAATTTAATTTGTTAATTATATTTTATGATAAATAGTGGCGAGCTTGATATTCTACGATGTCGTTTGAAACATCATTATAAATTGGAATTAACGTTCGGATGCGAAAATCCATCAACAATGATTGAACAGCCGTTTCAATATATTGCTGTTCTGGATTTTGAAGCAACATGCGAAGAAAATCACGACGATAATTATAAAAATGAAATAATTGAATTTCCCATTGTATTAATTGATGTAAAACAACAAATTATTGTAAACTACACTGAAAAACTTAAGTTTATTTAATAATTATATTTGCCTGTTTTTTATTAGATCGATAAATTTCAATCATATTGTCGACCAACATTGAAACCAGTTTTATCCACATTTTGCACACAATTAACAGGCATTAAACAAGTATTAATTAAAATAATGTCAGAATTTCTCGTCTATGAGTTGTGAATCGTTCTTCGCACAGAATCATCACGGATCAATCATTTCAGAATACAAAAAATATAAGTATTTGAGAGAAACATTTTCCATGGGAACACGATCTTTTTAGTCATGCCGTTGAAATTAGCTATACCAGATTTTTTTTCAGGATGTATGATGACCGAAATTTTGAATTGATTATTACAGATGTAATTAAATAAGATATTAGCAAAAGAGCATGCGATGTGTAGACACGTAGCTACTCTATTCGATTACAAACTATTTAAATAATAGCTAACATTGAGATAAGACAGTATTATCGACAAGTGAGAATCAAAAGCTTCGTAGAATTTTTGTTTCGAGTTTAAAGAGTGAAATTGCTCGCGCTGCTCATTGGTCGTTTAATGTTTACAAAATAAAATTATGCGAAAATATTCCTAGTTGTTCGATTAAACAGTTAGATAGATGTAGCGTTTTATTTTTTACTTGTTTGAAAACTTTTTCTTTAGCATCAAGTAGACAATGCTCCGACATTCGTTGAAGTTCTTCATAATGTTGAAAAATGGTTAAATGAACGAAATCTTCTATCAACATCGAACGGACACAAATTAGCATTTTCTACTGATGGGTAAATCAATTGAAACTTTAGGTTCGTTTTGTTCTTCTTCATATTGTCTTGTCTGTATGCTAGTCCATGGGATTTTACAAAATTCCTTCAAGTGCAATGTCGTCTGAGTTCAATAGTTTATCCACAATGGGCTGAAGAATGGATCGATATTCGAAAAGAATTCTCTCGATTCTATTCCGTAAGACGAGGCGGTAAAAAATTACGAAAGATTAATTGTTCCTATCTGTATAATGTTGGACTTTTTAGGTATAGAAAAGATGCTGCATAGACTTGGTTTAACTTTTGATGGTCGTCCTCATTCTGGTATAGATGATTCAATTAATATTGCACGAATAACTCTCGAATTGTTGAAGGTTTGTCATCTTTAAGATTAAGTTGTCTCAATGAATAAATATTTAGGATGGTTGCGTTTTATCATTCAACGATGGTATTCGTACCTCTGGTCCGAAAGCTACGACAATGGCTGATAAAAAAAATGAAGAAGAGGATTCGATTATGCTTAAAGATTAGTCAATGTAAATTATTTCTTGTTGAACAAAATTTCTTAACCATGAATAAATAAAAAGTTAGTTTTCTAATAAATTGTTGGAATCAAACTTTTTTTAAAAACTATTGCATGAATATTTCAATTGATTTTAGTCTCTAGATTTTTCATGAATACATATTGACAATGATCTTAGAGTGTTTATAAGTCTAATTCAAAATTTTTGATATATTTTGAATTATCTACGCATTTTTCAGTTCTACATTCAATATGATTTGATTTTAGGAGAAAAATTTCTAGTTATACGTTGTCAATGAGTGTAGCAGACAGTCCAATTGGGAATCAAAATGAGAGTAATTAGATTGAGACGTCCTGCATAGCAAGAAACAGTATTTTGTTCTGAGTAGAGCAGCTGTTATTATTATTTTGTTGTTATTATAATTGATCATTCTAAGCATCCTCGTGTGTGCTGTATTGAAAAGTTCATCGGATGAATCATGCAAGAATTCATGTGTTAGACTGTGAAGAGGAAGTCATGCGCGGTCGCTGCTTATCTTTTAGATGAGCAAATTAAATAATATTGTTTATTGCACAAAGCAAATTGTTAAGGGATTATGAATAATCTAGCATTAATAGAAAATATTTTTTTCGATGGATAATGTTAAAAGTATTAGTTTGTTGAATTGTTTCAGGCGCATAGAAAAATAATGACCGACAGATTTTTCTATGATCCATACAGCTGAAATATTTTTCGTTAGGCAACTGTTTTTGATTTCTGACCGTATTTATTATACAGTTTATAAAGAAAATCAAGACGGATACTGCTGGCTTGAGAAAGTTTAGAATGCCATGACGTCGCATGTCAGAAATATTCTTACTCATTATCTTCAATAAAGCATATCATAGCATGGACTACTAAAACGATAGTGTAGACAGCATCTTGTCGATCAATTAAATTCGTCTTTCTGATTTTGAAAAGTCCTACCTGTTGCACCAAGTCCGAAACTGTCAAAAAGCAAGTGTTTCTGAATTACGGTAATTGGTAGAATCATTCTCCACCAATGGAACGTTCGTTGTTTTCCGTTGGAAAACACTCAATGAAACTGTTTCTTTGCAATGTGATTTAGCGATAGAAGGTAAGATCGCAATTATTTTGTTTTGTTCGCTAAAATCCTGACATAATCCGAACGTGACTAACTGACTTTTAATTACGGAAATTTGTTTAAAGGCTTTACGACATTTTACCCGATGCCAGGATTATTATTGTTTTCGATATATATATATATATAGACTGGGTTGTTTGAAGCAGATTGCAAAAAAAATGTGTACGCCTCCTTTACTGATAACAAGTTTTCGGTGCTGTGGTTTATCATAATGCTCATCAATGTATCCGAGATCGGATGAAGATTTCTTGCATCCGATTCAAGCATGGATCTAACTAATAACTATCGGCCACTGTAGACACATATTTGCACGTAAACTATGACACTCCTGCTATTTGAGAGGCAGTATATAATTGTTTTTTACCAAAAAAGGAACGTTCAAGGCTTCTAGTGAGCAGCTTTTTCAAAAAGCCTTTTTGAATCATACAAGAAAAGTATATCCTAAATTAATTTGCTGTTCCTGCATTTGTTCACGCTAAGATTACAAATACAAAGATATTCTACTTTCTCTATAAATGCCTAGTCCAAATATTTTCCAGATTCATTCATGCAGACACAATTAGTATACGTTAGATTAGATAAATTCTCGGAAAATAAAACTCCGTCGCATGGATTTAACTAAACGAAAACGTTTTGCACACGCAATCTAACTTCCATTTGAAAATATTAAACTGATCTTAAACAAGTTCGGCAACTGATTAATTCATCGAGTCGACTAACTCTTCAAAATTTTACAATAATTAATATATCTATTAAACGAATACCCGTTATTTAAGAGTACTCATATTTCGCACTGATAATCGATACAAATTAGCTCAATTTAATTAGTCTAAACTAGCACTCATTTGAGAAACGTTTACCAAAAAACATAGTTTTCTCCAAAATTTACAATTATTATTCGATGAATTGTATATTAAAATCTAGTTTTCAAAAAACATGATAAAGAATTCATCTGGTACATTCATGTTAGCATATTTCCTATATGAATAATTGTATGAAGAGGAAAAACATTCCTGAATCGATAAAGTAAATATAAATGATAGTTAATCTACACAATTTCCCTTGAATTCTCATATCGATTCGACATGAAGGCCTATCAATTTACTTGGCAATAAAGATGTGATAAACGTAACAAAATGGTTTCTTATTACGGTAGAGAAAAAGAATGATTGAAACATGTTTCTATTAGAAGTTTAATCGAATAAGAAAATCTATTCGATATTTATTAGTCATACCGTTTATTATATGACAGAAATATAAACTAAATTAATCAATAGGCTTATCACTGTGTAATCTTTGTTGGAACCATCCATTAATGTTAATATTCTTAAAATAACCGATGATAATGATAGACGGCTGAAAAGTACGCGTGCCTGTGAGACAGATGTCTAAAAGAAGAGAACAGCAGTCTATACATCTTCTCGTCTGTAGAGAATTACTAGCATGCATTATCATCAGCTGCTACTGTAGTGTGTTTCAATTTGTGTGTGAGAAAAAAAAACACGAATGTTAGCTTAGATTTATATATAAAACTGTTATGCATGAATTCGGGCATTATTGGCAATACGTTGCCCATCTGAATGGATTTGCATTGATAGACAATTGTGAGAGTCGATTTTCAAATGATCATATATATGTAATGCGGGCAATTAGAAAGGAGCATGTTACTGTTAAACTGTTCATACGAAGTGCTAACAGGAAAACAATCACTAATCCTTTAGATCGATTCTTAAAACTCTATATGAAATCAAAATATTCAATGAAAATTGTCTTTCATATTCAATAGTTATTATTAGGATAAACATGACATAATATGAAAATATAGCAAACCACAAAAAGCACACATGTGTCAATAAATCTCTATTCATTATCTACCGCTAGCAAGTGTGGTACATAGTTAGCATATCAAATGTACTACATTAGCCCGGTGATAATGAAGAAAGCTTTGCAGCTGAAAGATAAGTATCCTAAATGGATAAAAGAAAAGAAGAGATAAAAATAGTGGTTTGTTGCTTTTGCTCTTCTACCCTTTTGAATTTCATATCTTGTTTAACCTCAATTTTACCGAGCAGGACGCTAGTGAATAGTAGCTACGCTTTTCGTGATAAATAACAGAACAAACAAGAAACGTACAGTAACAGTCGCAAGACGCAGTATTATTTTGTAATCGACCAATCAGAATTAATCACTTGTCCTCTATGCGGAAATTTACCAAAATTTAAGACTGAAAAACGCAAATGAAACTAATCGAACGCAAAAAATCATTTCTCTTCTCTTTGTTGAATAAAAAATAGTTCGTTTCCGACCAATCACAGATTGTTCTTTTCTTTTTCTGCCTGTACAATTCTCATCGTACATACATGCAATAGTACGAATTTTTTAGTAGGCGATAAAAAATACATAATGTCGTCGACTTCATCATCTGATGATGATAATGATGAAAATCGTCTTGATTCAAATAATATTCAATTACTAGCTGCTCAAAAAAACTTAATTTATAAACATCCATTATTTTCTGTACTTGTCTATGTACTTGAACGATGCGAACAAGCTACATCAAATCCACCATTATTATTAAATAATAACGAGTCGTTTACGCCATCATCATCATTTGAACATAATTTAAAAATATTCTTATCGAAAAATCCTGACCTATTAACAACACCGAAACATAATGATGAAGCATCGTCAGTAATTGATAATTTTTATATTGATGCAATGCAAGTTCTTCGTATACATCTATTGGAACTCGATAAAGTCAATGATTTATGTCGGGATTTTTGTCAACGTTACATAGCTTGTCTTAAAGTTAAATTAAATGCAAATAACATTTTTACCGATGATGAAGATGACGATGACGAAGATTTTCAATCGAATATTGATGATAATTTTGAATCGAGTGAAGAAAATGATGATGATGAATTTACAATTAATGATAAAAGTATTTTAAAAGAACAATATTATGGGTAAGATTTCCCTTTGGTTTTTGTCTCGAAAATAGCAGAACATGTTTCATTTATCATTTAATCCTTTCTCTAGTTATTGAACTGAAATATCTTTATCGTTTTTCTTCTTGTTTCTAGTAAACAGTCAGTAGTGCACAATGGTCTAAATCCTATGTCCAATCCATATACAACACAATTCAATGGTCAAACACCTTTTTCACAAATAATGTCTAGTGGTCCATCGCATGACATTGATTCTTCCTCGCTGCTATTTGATTCATTTTGTACAAAGAGACGAAAATCATCAATAATGGTTTCATCGTCATCATCACCGTCGAAACGTGGTGTTCTTCCTAAAAGTGCAACATCAATAATGCGCAGTTGGCTGTTTCAACATATTGTAACTAACTGATCATCCGTTTATTTCTAAAATTCTATATTTTTTCCTTCTCTTCATAGGTTCATCCTTATCCAACGGAAGATGAAAAACGAGCAATATCACAGAAAACGAATTTATCTTTACTTCAAGTAAATAATTGGTTTATAAATGCACGTCGACGAATTTTACAACCAATGCTTGAAGCATCGAATCCTGACCTAGCAGCTAATAAAAAGAAGAAACGGTATGAAGCCGAATCAGATGATCAACATCATCATCATCATCATACTCCTAATCGACAAATATCGAATATAAATCGTTATTGGCCATCAAGTTTAGCTCAATTTAATACGACAACAGGAGATCAACGTGACAAATAACATATTCATGCAGTATCTTACACATCTATCCTCTGATTTTAATGTTCTTTACACTGAATGCATCGTTTGTTTGTTTTCTGTATAAAGATTCTTTTTTTTTGCAATGAAAGTCTGACGCAAAATCTCATTTGGCATGTTTCTTTTTTTGTTTTTGAGCCTATGCTTTTACACCTTTTTTTGGTTTTCTCATTTTTTTGTTAACGGTGCTATTCAGTAGAGTTTTGTTTTTCAAATGAAAATAAATGTAATCAGCAATGTAATTTATATTGAATATTATCTTGTTCAAATAAGAATGTCAGAGAAAATACGATCCTAATTGAATGAATACAAAAGACGATAATCGAGCTATCATTTAATTAAAAAAAAACAATTTAACCAGTTTAATTCCCTCGAACCTCGGATTTTTCTGTAGCGTTTTATCACTGATCTAATCGATGTTAAGTGAGAATAAGGAAACGCGCCAGATAATAATCGTAGCTGAGCCACTTAAAAACTTGTGCGTGAGACGATGTACTTGTCTATGAAGATGAATTCAATTTTCACTCGTTCATTTTTGCAATCATGCAAAGACAATATGTAAAAAGCAGATTGAATATTTATATGCGATGTCCGTTTCTTATAAACTTGTAATGATTATAGAAAGAGCCGAAACAAAGGCGTTTATCTCATTATTCTTGGGATTGGACTGTAGACATGATTAATCATAGGGATAATTTGATGAACAATAGAATCAGGACAATGAAAAATGACTAATATTGGCATGTCGTCAATACAAATGGTTCGATCCGATCGTTTCTAATATTACCGACACAGATAAAAAAAATCACATCGGCCGGATTCAATTCTGTCGCAACCAATTCTTCGTGAATGATCATTTATCATTGAATTGAGCAATGAAATTCGATAAATTACTTGTTCTGAGCAAAAACCGCTTTCATGATTGATTTTATGGTCAGGCGAATTCTCTGTAAGTGTAGCTTAAGCATGACACTATTATATGGTGATTTTTGCTTTCTTCGTTTTTCCTCATTATATATCCACACAAGTTACTTAACTTTCTCGTTCATCGACAGAATCTATAATTATATGAAATTGACATAAGTAAGTCGACAGCTAAGTGATTTTCTTTTCTTTAAGTTGATGTTGACATGTCCTGGAAGTAGACGACTTCTCCCCATTTGTCAAAAAGTTTTGAAATGTTTACATCATTTTTGGTAACGCAGTCCATGTTCTGTGGTTATTAAAACGGAACTGTGAATTTGTGTTCCGTCTTGCAACCAACAGGAATCCATACTGAGTTCGATTTTCTAGGCATGAACTCGAACGAAAATGACATGTTTATTTAAAAAGATATTGTTCAAGAGAAAAATGTCAATATGTGAGACAGACTTGAAATCCTGTATTGGATGCATCAGGGATGTGCGTCGTCACTTATCAATATATAAAATATTCTATTTCATTTTTTGCATCCCTAGATCGAAGCTTTAAGAATGTAAAATTAATCAAACAGGAAGTAGTGATTAGCATTGTTCATATTATGGAAAACAGAATAAACAATGAGAAGAGGAAACTGAAGCCAAATAAGAAATTTGCATACATGGTTAGTTATGTAGTCTCTTTAATCACAACTTAACAATCTTTTTCTTTATTCTGTTTGCGTGGTTAGGCTAATATTTTTTTTCTTCTTTGTTTCTCTTTTTCTTCGTTTTCTCTTATGATTAAACTACGACGTACTGAAATCATTTTCTTGATCAACGAGACACACATCAGATAGAAACCGACAATATGCAGTAAGCAACTGAATAGTTTAGTGAGACAAAGATTCGAAAAAACATGAATTTTTTTACTTAAAATTAGTTCGGTTTCAACATTCATTTTCTTCATGGCGTTACTCATCGTCGTCAATGCTCGAGTGAACTCTTCGCCGAATCGTCGCCGTTCATGCCCGGAAGAATATCGAGAATTGCGTCGTCGTGATGATGATTCAAGTTCGGATTCAGATGATGATCAATGGCGAGAAGATGTTTGCGAACAAGCCATGGATATTGCTGCACGACAACATGATTCAGTCAAGAATCGAGCAATTTTACGTGGCTATTGTGCTCATTATGATGAATCGTCGGCATTGGAACGAGAAAATAATGATAGCGTATGCGAAGATAAAAAACGAGAAATCAATATTAAACGAAAACGTCAAGTATTAAAGAAGAAACGAAATGGTAGTGATTCGGACGATAGTGATGATGATGATGATGACGACGATGATGATGATGACAAGCGACGTGCGCTACGTAAACGAGAATTCACTAAGCGTCTAGCTTTGAGATTTATTCGTAAACGAATGGCGTGATTTTTTTTCGAAAAATATTATGAATTAATAAAATAGTTAGCAAAAAGAAATGCATTAGATTTTCATTTCCATGAAATCTTATAATTGCTTGAAGATTATATTTTCTTGAAAAGAATGATCTCAATTGAATCCAAGATAGCAACAGAACAAAAACATAATTCGAGAAAACTTTCATATAAAAGTTCAAATGAGGTCAATGCAGTGATGTGCGAATTGGACTTTGACTTAAAAAAAATTTGATCAAATTAAGAATAAGCATTGAAAAAAATGGTTTGAAATTCAAAACCGCGTTAAAATAAAATCTCTTTTCACTACTTAAGTGTTACAGAACCATCGTATTCCATTGTAAATACGCAGCTTGAAAACAATAAATACATAATACAAATATATATGTAATTTCTTCCACTCGTCAACTTTGATTTGGTTCACTCATTCATTTCTTTTTGGTTCAAGCAATTTTTCAATGTAGTTTGCTCTATTTCATTAGACATTTTTCTTTGGAAATTTATAGAAGTTGACGCAAGCTTCAGTTTTGCTTTCGAATTCATTCGTCAGTGATTGCTTACAAATCACATTATGGAGTATACATAGAGTAGACGTTTTCTATTGACTCATAAATATCAGTAGGAAATCAAAATATATTTCTTAACGGGTAAGACAGAAGAAATTTCCGGCTTTTGATAGGCTTTTTCTCTAGTTAGACTCTACTGAAAAATTTGGTTCTGGTGCTAAAAGGTAGAGCATTTCAAGCAGATTTTATTGATCTATTCAGTTTTGAATAGATATGTACTGTTCTATTGTAGCACCGAAAGTATTGAAAGCAACAAAAACGCTATTTGTTCGCCACTTAACTCGAGTAAGGTGTCATCGTTCTTTGCTACATAGTATTCTATTTACTATTTAAAGGCACTATGAGAAAGCGCCGAAGCGTATTTGCTTTTAGACAGAAAAGCACATGGGGATACTAATTTCTACTGTCTTCAAAGCCGACTACAAAGCTACCCAATTATCGATTTTTTGGTGCACTTTCACGGTAGTGAAAACATTTCGGCATTGTTATCCAGTTACAACAAAAGTCAATCTATATCAAATCGAGCATCTTGTGCAGCTTGAAATTCTGAATCTTCGCATACAAAAAGAATAGTTTTTGTGAGTCTAAGTTTTAAGAGAATTCTTTAAGAAAGGTAGGATCCCGTGACCAATGAAAGCGTCGATATTTGCCCGCTGTGAACATGAATATACCCATCGAGTTAGAAATGATGTTTCTCGTAGGAAATCCAATCCAATCAGATGCTAGCGTTTTAAAAATACGATTCTTTGACTAAATCAACGTTGCATGGGATTTTGGATGAATTTATCACCATGTATGTAAATGTACTTGATACGTTGAAAGCACCGCAGTTAACACTTAATATAAAAGAGTTTGACTACTTTTTTTGTATTCTTTTCGATTTCTGGCGTGAACAGTATAAACAAAATGAGTATACAACTTAACTTAAGAAAACTACTTGCGAATGTGCATATTCTCATGATTCGCCTTTCCCAACCGCGAGAGCATTTTATCCAAGGAGGAAAAAGCTGATTCCGTAATTCTACTGATTCTATGTGACTTTATTGATTCTATATGATTCCGATGATTCTATCGCCATAGAATCAGCTTTTCCCCCTTGATTTTATCAGTCAATGTCTGTTTTTATTTTTCCAGTATCTGAATGCAATTTTGGTCATTTGACATTTTATAATTCATAAACACCATGAATACTGAATACTCAATACACTAGATACTATAAGAAAATTCTACACAAAAAAGTGAAAAATATCGAACCAACGACAAAGAAATGCCGAACCCAAAGTTCAGTATCAAGAAAAGCGAAACCGTCTTTCTGCACACGTTTCGTATTTTTTTTATCATCATTTTGTAGATCTCGAAATTCTCTATCGAATAATATGTAAATAAGAGTGAACCGACATTGTTACCTAAGTATTTTGCGAGAAATACCATCATCGGTATACACCTTTACTAGATCTTTTGTATGATGTGCCGGCGATGTCATAATAAAATTCAGTAGCTTTTCTCATATGTTGACATACCATCAAAGAGAGCGTGACAAGGGCTACAATCCGACGGGTAAATTAAGATAAATATGAACAATGATAACTGAAATATTTCATTAAAATGATCGGTTCCCCAAAGGAAATACAGTGGATTTTAGTGCAATAGAAAAAGTAATGCAGATGATGTCTAGATTTTATATAATGATTAAACGTGGCTTAAAATGTCGATGTAGCGTCAAAACTAGCATAATGAAAAAGAAAAAGACAAGGGGGGGGGCGATTTCGGCTGTTGACGTCCCCCGCCCTTTGTTGTTATAGACAAAATGTAGTAAATATACAGATGTGAATTATTCATTTAAAATATGAATATTGGAAAAATGAATCATAACGGCACAATCAAATAAAAAAATAATTAAAATAGAATTCATTGTAGCAATAAATGATTTTATGAATGGAAAGTATACTGTTTGAAAATGTTTATTTTAATTGTTGGACTTAGGCTTGTTTTCTATTCATATTCCGACTAGTTGATTTCGTAGTAGTTTTCTTTTGTCTTGCATAGATTTGTTTTTACAAATAAATTGTAAAGTCCCATATTTTGATTTGAACCAACAGCTAATGCATAGCCCATGCTGTTAATAGCTCTGCGTTGAGCTACGTGATTAAAGTTATTATCATTGAAACATACCTTTTCAGTAAGTGTTGTTGCTTGTAATTCATTGGATTTTTCACTTTCAGACGAATCTTTTACTGAAGAAACTTGATATCGATAACTAGTTCCAGAAACCAAGTTTTTATCAGCGTATGATGTGAGACTAACACTGGTCAACTTGTTCCCATCGCGATAAACATTATATGTTGTTACACCGGAAACTGAATTCCAATTCAAAGTCATCGAATTACTAGATATATCCGAAGCTGTTAATCCGTCCGGTGCACTTATAGCTGGTGGTGCACCTGTTGTTTTACCAGTTACTGAATTGGATGCCGCACTTTCAGAGCCTGCCGATGAAACAGCTTTGACCGTATATGTATATGATGTACCCGAATTTAAATTATTATTTGTAAATGTTGTACCAGTTATTATTCCACTATTAGCTTTAGCACCATTTCGGTAAAGATTATAACCAGTTGCACTTGAAACTGCTCTCCATCCAAGAGTAACTTGATTGTCAGTAGTTGCAAGAACCTGAAGTTCTGTCGGTGCATCGATGGGATTAAAACCGCTCGTGATACGATCAATCATTTTTTTCGCAGCTGCAGATTGTTTACCACTTTTAACGCTAAAATCAGCTCCGTACCAACCCACCCAATCCCAGCAACCATTCGGGTTTGGAATTGATGCTCCACCTGCTGAGTTGACTGTATTTGTTGCTACCGCTTGTGGATATAAAATTATGAAATTGTTGGTATCAGCCCAACGATTGTATCCTGTATTTTTAACGTATTTATCAGAAATTTTTTCGTAGCCTTGCAAGCAACCATGATAAGCAAGATGTAATCTACAAGTATCTCCATCAGAACAACTTTTAGGTACATAAACCCACGCCGTAGTACTCATTCCGTTAGCTCTGGCGCTGGCAATGAATTCGTCTTGATTAAATTCAATAAATTTTCCTGTTAATGCTCCATTATTTCTTGGTTTCAATGGTCCATAAATATGTTCAAGTATAGCTCGTGCTCCATCAAAGCCGCAATTGCTTATGTAAGGACTACTTGTGGATCCACAACCATTATTACCAGCACTATCAAAATCAGTGGGAAATGTATGTGCCGAATTCAGATCTTTTTTGAATACAACATTTTCACTTGGAATGAATTTACCGTCAGTTACATAGTATTTATATAATTGATTCATGACTGAAGGACCCACAGTGCTGTCTGCAGTTCCGGAGATCATGTAAATTCTCTGCTTTGCTAGATTTTTTATGTCATCAATTTTGTTTCCACTCCATGATTTTGTATTTGAAATAGATTGAGTAATTGATGGACTACTCGTGTACATGCAACCTGTATAACTCGTTTGCCCTGCACAATTATATGGGCCACCGGCTACGATTCCCGCACCTTTTATTGAAGCCGAAAATGCTACGTGCATTTGTGTGGCAAAAAATGCACCAGATGACAAACCAGAGACAGATGTTTCACTTGGATCGACATTGTACGATGATAGTTTCTAAAAAGAACAATATTATTATTATTATTATTATGACATATAATAAGAATAATTTAGCGTCAATTAATTCATTTCTATTTTAGCGTTTAGATCTTGGTGCTCATAGATTTAGTACTTATAAAAGATGCTTAGATTAAATGAAGTCTTACCTCAGCTGCATAACAATAGCTGATCAATAGAAAGAAAAGCTTTATGAACATTTGATTGTTTGTTGTTGCCAAATTTGTGTATACAAAGTCTGGTCGACAGAGAAACTTGTTTTATTGTATAGAATAACAATAGTAATTGCAATTATTGAAAGAATCTAAAAGGGGTGTATAGATATATAGAATTCAAGATAATCTTAATACACTCTGTGGGACATAAAATATGAAAACCGGGGCCTGCATTCGCATCACCCTCGACGTACACTGCTTGCTCATAGTATGGACCTGTAATCTTCCATACAGTACACAACTATATCAATTGCTTCTATGATATAAGTATATCTTCCAGTATTATTTAGCCTATTTTTTAGATATTATTCAAAAACTCAGTACTTTCCACAATTTAAACGTCACTAATTTTTTCGTCGGTCAGCTTATGAATAGTCTGCAATTTAATTCATTAAGAATTATGCACTTATATAGAAAAAATGCAACTTTTTTTATTGGTCGCGAAAGTCGATTATTTTGGAAAAGAAATATTTTTATGCATCTATAAAGTATGATATTTTATCAGTTTTTCTCGAGTATATAGATATCGTTTATTGCTTTATCATAAATCATTGCAAAATAAGGTATGCAACCGAGATTAGATCATGTATCGAACGGCCATTGAGTAACGAAAATGCTCGTAAATCTTTACAAAATACAACGTAAGATACTTATTGAAAACTTGAAAAATGATTAAGTACAAATAACAAAAATACGACATTTTGTTTTTGAAATAAGATCGATTCGTGTTTTTAATCACATGAATGATTAACTATACAGAGGCTTTAGAGCTGCAATTCCAAATTTTGAGCAGTGTTAAAACTTTAATAGTACTCTCGCAAGAAGATTGAATTTATAGTACTCGAAACTTTCAATTTTTAATACTGTATATGTGCAGAAATCGATCTTCTCTTTACTGGTATCGAACACTGACAGAAGGGTGCGGTAGTGGGTCAATGTAGGTGTGAGTCCTGTTGCACGCTCAACACACAGCACCACCGCATTTCATAATTTAGCATTGTTTATTATATGCTAATTAAAATAAATTCGTGATATTAAATATATTTCTGGCAGCATTTACTAATGATGGAATGAAATGTCAAGTATTATCTTGATTTGAAACAACTGATGCAAGTTGTCTTAATGTAAAAGTTGTGGGGCGGTGTTTTTTTTTATTGAAGTATATTGTTTACATCTGAGGTGCTTCTGGTCTCTATCTTTTTATGTAAAAACATTCTGTTCCCATGTCAAGCTCATCTGTATATATTGTTTTAAAGGATTTACGTTAGATACGAGTTTAATTCTCATTCCTTGCGAATATATATAAAAATAAATAGGACCTTTATCCCTTTCCTGTTGAATGTAAGCGAACGAAAGGCAAACGAGAACAAGCAGAGAAAATAATTTAATATAAAACGGAGGGTGTGCCAACTAGCAGATGTTCATTAACGAGAGAAAAAACACATATAGGTCGTATTTGTTTTCTAAGAGTACTATTGATTATGCAGATTTTTCGTGAATTGTAAGAAGTAGCAATGAAAACATATGTTAAAAATTACAAATAGTCCCATTTGAAGAATAAATAAATAGTTAATGTTAGCAACAATACAGGTTAAACAGAATGGTAAATAAACGTCTGGATTGAAATCAACGCTGCGCCTATTTTTATCTCAAAGATATGTTCAGAAAAGATGCATTACATGATGGCGCTACGTAGGAATGTCATAATCAAACTCCATAACTAACTACTATTTAATGGTATAGAAACAATAGATATTGTTCTGTCATATTTAATACTGTGACGCTCTATGGTGAAAACGTTTATGGTAAGGATAACCGTGAAGATATTCTATTCAGTAATACTCACGCACACAATCGCTATTGAAGACTAGGCAAACCGGACAGATCCAAGTTTTTATTCAATAACGTCATTCATTTTGTATTGAGAAACTTTTCTTGTTTGCGTTTTAGTTTTTTTGCCAATAAAAATTTCTGAAGTCTCTGACAACGAGATGAGAATATACCAAAAATACAAGATTCACGAAGAACCCCATGAGAAAAATAACTTGAACTCAAAACCTAAGCAATAACAATCAATCAATTCGTGAACTAATTTTCTAAACTTTTAGTCAACTAAATACTTGCATAGCTTTTCGAATGTCAACAATTCTATAAGTATCTCTTCTACCTTAGATTGAGGTTGACCTTAATTTCACTATTTTGTGTTCTCGATTGTCATTTAAATTATTCTATGGAAGTAAAGTATAGTTTAATTAGAAAACATCCAGTATTACTTTTTTCAATTGTTAATCTCGTTTTTCTGTAGAAACATTCGTTTCATTCGCTTACTATGATTTAGTCATATGTGAATGACGTTGTGCGTTTTGCGTTCAGTAGAATTTAAGAAGAGATAATAACGAAAATCAAAATTCCAATATAATCGAAATACTGCTGCTCACAAGTCATGTCTATTATATATACGTACATATGGGCCCTCGGCAGTGCGAGAGATATTTTCTACTACAAAGAGAAAGTAATTTTTCGTTCTCCGTATATGTGATTCGTTCACTTGTCCTTTCTATTCGTTCTATTTATTGGATAAGGCAAATGCAAACAAAAATGTCTACTGATACCGTCGGAAAATTCGAACAAATGAATAGGTGAATTCTCACGATTTCATTAAATCTTTCACATTTTATTTTATATAGCCATACTACGAGTAATGATGAATTAATTGCTATCGAACTAGAAATAGTTGAAATCGATGATCAAATAAATCGACTTCGTCATCAACGTTCCTGTTTAATTAAACGAAAGCAACAGCTAAAAGTAACTATTGAACAATATCAACCGAGAACAACAGGAGATGGCAATGAACATTGGCAACGAACGGGTAACTCACAGCAAAATAAAATATTTTTCACAAATTATTTTTTTATTTTTTTTTCTTAGATTTTCCTTGGAATTCAAAAATAGATGAAATGCGTACAGAAATATTCAAAATAGATTCATTTCGACCATGGCAACTTGAAACTGTTAATGTGACACTTGCAGGTCACGATTGTATATTGATTATGCCAACAGGTGGTGGTAAATCATTGTGTTACCAATTACCAGCTGTTATTTCCGATGGTAATATAATATTCAAAAATAAAAGTTTTCGATCAATCTAAGAAATCTAAATTTTGTTTTAGGAATAACAATAGTTGTTTCACCATTGTTATCTTTAGTTGAGGATCAAATGTATGCTCTTCGAAAATTAAACATCGATGCTCGTTCACTTAACACATCGACACCACGCAATGAACAAACAGAAATACTGCAGATTCTTGATGGAAGAAACAGTTCTGTGTCAACATTAAAAATTCTTTATTTAACGCCAGGTATGTTATACAACGTAAAACAAAAGATACTGAATTGTATGACGCTTTCGTTTTTGAAGAAAAAATCTCTAAGAATAAATCAATTATGGCCAAACTACAAAAACTCTACGAAACAAACAGATTCTCAAGATTAATTATCGATGAAGTTCATTGTGTTTCACAATTCGGACATGATTTTCGACCAGGTTTAGTGTCATATTGATTCCATTTTCTCAGTACAGTAAAAAGAATATTAATCTTTTCTAGATTATAAATATTTATCGATTTTTAAACGTCAATTTCCAAAAGTATCTATTTTGGGTTTAACAGCTACAGCAACATTAAAAGTGATCGATGACATTCGAAACATTCTTAAAATTCCACGTTGTGTTTTGTTTCGAGCACCATTCAATAGAAAAAATCTCTTCTACGAAGTATATCACAAATCGAGCGTTGGAAAAAATACTTTAAAAGATCTTGTAAATTGTATTCAAAATCAATTTGATAAGCAGTCAGGTATAAATTTAAAGCAACGCTATTTCAACAAACCAATCTTATTCTATTCGATTTTAAAAACTAAAGGTATTGTTTATTGTTTATCACAAAAAGATGTCGAAGATGTATGCTTTGAATTACAACAAAACAGTACGTATCTAGTTTTAGCTCAGAAATCCTTCGATTCGAGATCAGCAAATAGACTTTTATCACCTAAGAAAAAAAAACTGGTTGCAATCATTTGTTTGGTCCTACAATTTCTAGAGTATCCACAACTTACGTTAGATGAAAATTGTAATAGGTAATAATGAAGTAGTATATCGACAATCGTTCAAAGTATGTTAATAAAATCTGAACGATGAAGCAGCTGATTTTTAAAAACCATAAGGAAACTCTTTTATTCTATTTAGTGTCCCGAGAAAAATTTTATTTCCGTACTTTAAAATTGCATTTAAATTTTGTTTTCTAATCATGTAGTTTCGAAACCATCAGAATTTATTAAATTGTTTCAATTCAGTATAATAACTATATTCATTTTTGTAGATATCAAAGCCGGTTGCTATCATGCGGGTCTTTCAGCTACAGCTCGCACACAAATACATGAAAAATGGTTACAAAGCAAAGTTCATGTTATCTGCGCAACGATTGCATTTGGTTTGTAGAATTCGTTTGTTTTCAAAAATTTCATTTTCAATCTATTTTCCTAAAAATGTTTATAGGCATGGGCATAGACAAGCCCGATGTACGTTTTGTTATACATCATTCAATAAGCAAATCAATTGAAAATTTTTATCAAGAAAGTGGGCGTGCTGGTCGCGATGATCAACAATCGCATTGTATACTCTTTTTCCGGTAGAAACAAAAGAGAATTTGCTTTTTTCGATATAAGATATTCTTCATAGGATTATTGTTTTTCTTTTCGAAGATTTACTGATGTTTTCCGACTAGCACCTATGGCATTTGCCGATAAATCAGGAAATGGTCTTCAAAATCTATATTCCATGATATCTTATTGTTTAAATGAATCTCAATGTCGTCGAAAGTTAATTTCAAAATATTTTGATGAAGTATGGCAATCGAACGATTGTAATCAAATGTGTGATATATGTAAACGATCGTCAACATCGATAACACAACGCAATTGTCGTGAAGAAGCGTTGATTATAATTGATTGTTTAAATGAAAATAAAAAAGAACGTTTAACAGCAATTAAATTAATTGAAAAATTGTCAATTAAAACAATGGCTAAACTTGATTTACAAAGACTTATTTTACAGTTGATTGTGGAGCAATACTTAAAAGAGGATTTTCATTTTACATCGTATGCAACTACTTGTTATCTTAAACCAGGACCACGAGCTGAATATGTTAAAAATGAAAAATGCCAAATTTTACTTGATATTGTTGAAAACGCCAAAAGACCAACATTGACTACAAATAGAAAAGGAGCAAAACAAACAGCTAATAAGAAACTTTCAACAACAACAACAGTTACAGGTAAATTTAATTCTTTGAGATAAATAGATTTTTTGAAGTAGTCTCGTAGATGTCATCTGGGATTAGTTTGTGTTAACGCGAAATTTAGAAGATTGATTCTCATTAATTCTTAAATCACTTTTCAACGCTTTCAGAATTATTCAAATTTTGAGCTTCGCTGATGTATTAGCGTATTACTTGAAAGTACCTCAACAAATTGATTCGATTCTCTAGCGACAAATGCTTTAATTGACTGATAGAAACATTTCCTTACGTTCAAAATAATCAAATAGTAAATTTTGTTTTCTCTCTATATTCGGTTGGTGCATCTGATCATTTAGTGTTATTTTTATCATTTTTGATTGAAAAACAAGAAATCTCATCACCCTGCGTAGAATTCATCATACTGATTTCTATCTGTCAACTAGAGATTTTTAGTCCGAAAGGCATATTCTAGTCTCAAGTATTTCTTATCAGAGAAAATTTGAGACCGCTGAAAAATTTACAAAAATGTTTTACAAAATCATACGATCCTTTCTAGAAGACCGGCCAAAACTACAAATGGTTACGAATACAGAACCAGTCGCAAGACCTATTCGAAGAAAACGACGAATTTTGGAATACGAGGATGATGAAGACGATGATGACAATGATACGAAAAATATACCAATCTTAAAAAGAGCGAATACGTCGTCAAATGATAACATGGATGCATCTTAAACGAACCTCTTTGATCGTAGATTATTTTTCGTTAATTTATTTTTTGTTAATTTAATATAATCTCGTATTTATTTAAAAACTTATCAAAAATACCAATTGATTAATTCTGTACTGCCTAGCATTTGTGCACTAGAACTGGTGCTGAGTTAACCGTAGAAATAATTTTTGCTGATATTTATTAAGATATCGATTTTAGTCAAATTTGACAGAAGATATTTTTCTCTGAAGCTCACGAATGAGTTGAGTCCACATTTTGCTAATCGCTATCATAAATTCAAATAATTAGACAAATGAAAAATAATCAGTTGACGATACATACCGAGAAAAATCAATTATACAATTTATAATCTTGAATGTGTCATTTTCTTTCTGTTGGAAATGAATAAGTCCTAATGACTTGATTGCAATTGTGTGAAAGTAATTACAAGTTAACTAGGGGTTTATTTCGTTTCTAAAATCGATGCATTGACAAAATACATGTTTATCAGTTATTTGAAATTTTTGTTAAATCAAACGAAGTCATAGTGGTGTGGATTCTCAACTGTGGAAAAGAAGAATTATTCTGTGACAAAGGATGGCATATTGAAGTAGTACGAGCAGTTCGTTGTAGATGTTTACGCAGCGTTCGTTCGTTCGTGGCAAACAATGAATACTCGGAGCAAAAAACAATGAATGAAGTAGTGCAGAGTTTAGAAAGAAAAAAAACGTGAAGTATTAGTCTGCTCACTTAATTTTATTTATTTCTAAAAATAGTCTTAATCAATTGTGAATAATAAATTGAATGCTCTTTAATAAACTTTTCTTATATTTTAGAGCGCGTGTAAGAATTGATCATATCTCTTCTGCGGAGGAAAGTTTCATCTTGACGAAATTAAAGTGTATTTACACACACTCAGTATTGCCATGATATTCACTATCTTCATCATGTGTATGAATAGTATACGTGTAGATTTTTATTCAATTGATCGTGAATCAGAAAAAAATCTATATTCCAGCATGATGGGTTTAAGATTTTCAGGTGCGATCGAATCCTACTGTCATAATCTTATTTAAACAACCGTCGTGATTACATGAGAAACTCGTTTTTTTCTCAATTTTCATATTCAGTAACTAGCGCACTCTACAAGTTTTCCCGACTAGTACAAACTAGTCACATTTAACGTTTTCGATTTCGATTTCAAGTTCGCTTCTATAGTGTAATAAGCGATCCTAATTATTTATGAAGACGACCGGTTCAAAGAGATTATTTAGCATGTGTTTCTTTGTGTTATCCTATACCTATTTCATTTGAATAGATAATGAAAAAAGCGCGTTTTAGTAGATAATAACAAATACTAATAAAACTGTGGAATTTCTTACTGCAACGAATTTAGCTTACAAAATATACATGTGAGCATGGCATTTTTCATTTAAACAAGCAAAAAAAATTGTATTTTTCGAAGACGTTCTTCTTTTTCGTTTGTGCCCGAAGGGAATTTGTTTTTTTTATTTTGTTAATTTATGTTTTAAATGTAAAAGAGAAGCAATGTAAAATGAACAAACGAGAACTACATTTTTCTTTCTACTATTTACTTTGTTCGATTACTAGCAGAAGAAGACACGAGTGTAGCCTCAGTGACAAACAATGCGTTTATGAAAGTGTAGCAAATAAATGGCATATATTGTTCGTTAAGTGAGTACCTCTACATTTCCAATGAATGGTAAGACAGTAATCAATTCATCAATAAATAATATTTAAATTTTCCTAGCTAACGAGACCAGAAAAACGCCTATGACCCGCGGAAAATATCAATTAGAAAAAATTGTATGCAATCCATTAGGAATTTGTTTATTGACTTTTTGTTTTGTTTTACTTTTTAATAATCAATTAAAGCAAAAAGCTAAACTCTCATCGAAAACTGTCGATAGAGCAACAAGTCCAATCCGTTCAGTGCAAATTGAGGTTAAATATAAATGTCCGAATAATAGATATAAAAGAAAAAGTAATTGAATATTTTAGGAGTTTTTTAAAGCAACTGAAGATGGTTCTATCGAACGACTGCAACGATTGTTCGATGAGCAAAAAGGTGCCGACCCTAATATGACACACGTAAGAAGAGAATTGTAAAACCATTTCTTTCGAATACATCATATGAACAAAAATGCACTTCGATGATTGCAATAGTTCTTCTCACAAGAAATTTTCATTCATTCTATCGCTAGATAGAATTATATTTATTATAATTTAGTTTATGGAATCTCTTCTTATGGCAGCCATTAGAAGAGAACGAGTTGAAGTTGCTGAATATCTTATCGATCAATTAGCAGTTAATGTTAAATATGCAGCTAATCTTCATGAATTTCGTGTTCGTAAGGCAAATCCTATTCGACAACGAGCGTTTTCATGTCGAGATTTAGCATATGAAAAAGGTATGATGGAACTTGTGGATCTAATTGATATAACCGACGATGAAGTCAAACCAAATATTAAACGACATTTACGTAAACGGCTTCAAGCACGTCTCGATAGTATTCGAGAAACTTATTTAAAACGCCTCGCAGAACAGAAAAATGTACAATTGATGCTTCCGCCAACTGAAGAAAAAGACACTAGTGGATTATCGATTACCGACAGAAGTGATGATAAAATGACACAACAATCAACGTCAATATTACCTATGATTGAACGTCCGCAAAGATCACGTATTGTTGACACAGTTCAAAGTATTGATGGAACCATGGACAGATCAATTGATGAAACAGGAAAAAAATCATTTCACTTTTCTAACTACAGTCTTCGTTTTCGTCTTGTCGAAACGCAAGATAAAGATAAAAAATTCAAAGAGCAATCTAAGATAGGCACCTCAGTACCGTCTCTTCCTATAATTAAATTATCGTCATGTAATTCGCCACTACTAACAACAACAACAACAACAACAAATAGTACGCGTCGTTCGATAAGTGAAGCTAGTGCACGTCTTTCAATGCGTGACAGATCGACATCAGGATGTAATTCCGTTCGACAAGCAACTATACCTGAAACAGTGTCTATTGACAATAAATCCTCAACAACAACTACTGCGAGTAAACATTTTCGATCCAAACATGCCAATGCAAAATATATAAAGCCTACTTATATTCCCCAACAACAAGATACTTTTTATAATAAAACAGAACGTTTTCTACCTGTAACTTTGAAAGCAACTGCTGTTGGTTTACCGTCCGATGCTCGAATTATTAGAGATTGATGTTTTGCTTGTTATTCATTAAATTTGTAGAGATTCAAAAGAACTATGATTATGATAATTATGAGTTCATATGAGGAAAAAAATATAACTTCATGAGTTTTATGTGGATCTTTTTTATAATTTGTTTTACTAAATATTTTATAAATTAGTACTTCAGCAAGGGACCATAGTTTTATCTGTGAACATAAATCTCTACGAGCTGTAACAATAGCAGCATTACCATATGATCTGAAGCTCGTTATAGCTCCTGTTGCTTAGGGTTGAAAGCTTTTTTTATTCTATCTATTTTGTGACCAACTTTGTTCCCCATCCCATTTTTTAAAAATACTTCAATGTTGTAGTTTCTTGTTTATTATGAGTTTAACAAAAAAAAAATATTTTTTATCTAGTCACAACTCTCTCTCTCTCTCTCTTACATCAAGATCAAGTCACGTATAGAAAAAGTTTAATAAATGAGACTTAAAACGATCGTGCCATATTTTTTTTTCATTCTTGTGTAGTACAGCATTTTTTTGGCAAGACGACCGACTACTAAAAACGGTGGTACATATTGAGAAGCTGGTATGTTTTGTTCGCTTTCATTTATTGATTCGAGTTTTACAACTTTGTAGGAATTTTATATCGAGTCAATTGAAATTATTAATAAAACAGAATTGAAAGAGAAAACTATCAGAAATAAGATTGTCGCCATCTTTTAGGCTTACTTTAATAGTTAAAACTTCAAATATTTTTTACTCTCATAAATCATGAGATAGCACAGCAGGGTTAATGGTTGGTATGTAAAAAAGACAGTTCTTAGATCTAAAAAAGAGTAGCTGCCTAATTCGACTTCGAATATAAATGAAATTTTCCAAAAATCCTATTGTGCACGGGCAGAGGAAAAAGATAAATTTTATCCAAAATATAACCTTTATAATTCAACTTTAAGCATTCATATAAGTGCGGCAAAAAAGCAAAAAGTTTAAATTTTATAATTCAAATTGAGACATCCATGTATGTCCAATCGCACCCTAACCAAACCCTTCGCAGCACCCACAGGTGCGAGATGTAACCATACTCTGTTCGAGCAAGAATAGTCGTACTTATCGCAGTCACTCAGTAAGCAATCCCCAATGTGTAAGCTACGACCATGCGTCAGTTTCCAACAATTCAAATCAGAATGCTACGGGCCTGTCTGAGTTTACTAATTGGATTATTCAGGTTTCTTTGAGCATTCCTATGATTGATAGTAGCATTTCTGAGATTGTTAGTCGGATTTCTGAGACTGCTAGTAGCATTTGTGGAAGCCGTAATACTATAGTTGTGATTACGACGCGCATTGCTCAGATCGCCAGAAACAGTCGTTGGCCTGTTAGCTGTATGCTCTAGTTTTGTGAGAAAATGGCTTTCGAACATTCAGAAAAACGGAGGCGCAGTTTCAGCAGCTACGCTATTGCATCTGTGGCCTCAGATATCCACTCTGGAATCTGAATTCAGTTTCTAGCAAATCCTGTCATAGTTTCAATACTTTAAGGCAGGAAATAGATAGTTGTGGAATAATTTAGGTTGCTGAGAGATGATGTCTATGTTTGAATTATAAAATTTATAAATAGGATAAAATTTAAATGTTTGCTTTTTGCTGTAACTGTATGAGTGCCCGATTTTTTTATTGTCGAAGTGATATCGTGTAGTTGAAGCTTCATTTATATTCGAATTCGAATTCAGCATCTCATGGCATCTCATGTATCAAATAGTAATTTTCTTGTGTAAAAATAATACATAACAGAGCATCAACCAGGTCACTAGGCCTGCCTACCTGTGACAGGCCAGGTCGAACCCTCGTCCAGGCAGCTTAAAAACACCAGGCCGCCTGGCTTGTCTCTATTCTTTATATTTATAATTTTATTTTATTTTTGATATAAACTTTTTTAATTGAATGTGACGCTAATAATCAGATGAAGCATAGAATAATGTTCTGTGTTCATTTGTGATTGATCCAAATGATGACTAGTGTTCAGTTCAAATTGCATAGTTCATTTTCTTTCTACATTCGCTTGCTGTGTTTTCATTTATCTGCTGGACTAGTTGTAACAGAACGTCGTTCTTCTTTGGATCCTCAATTTTTAAATGATATTCTCTTTGTGAGATCCATTCAAAACATTCTTGAACAAAAACAAAACTTTTTTTCTTAATGTTATACCATGCTGTCTCTGATGTATTCTCTTTGTGTACACAAAAAAATGAGTCCACCCTAGATTCGGTCAGTGTGTCCAGCCGTTAACACGATAACTTTTGAAAGCCTCATTCAATTATCATGAAATTTTGTACACAGAATGATCTCATCAATATCTCAGTCGAGTTCGAAGATGAAAGCAATCCACCAAGAAATGGCTGAGTTATCGAAAAAGTTGTCATTATTGACCAGACCATCCTTGAGGGGGGGGGTACAGGGATTTTTTCAAAAACAAAATTTTTTTCTCAGAATTATTCAAAATATATATAAATCGACTCAGTTTTTGTAGTACACAACAATCGGATGCAAATCCGATGTTTCCTCATTTTTTGTATGAAAACTTCGCTAAGTAAATGCTTAATGCAGTCATATTAAATTAACTAAACTGGTTTTCTTCATTCTCAACATTAACTGCATGTTTCTATTCTATCCTCGTAATGGTGTTAGCATTAAAAAGATTGCCAGGCAGGCAGGCCAGGTCAAGCAAATTAGCTGACAGGCACAGGCAGGCTTGAAATGCAAAGGCCTGTCACGGACCGATCAGGCCTACAAAAATACGGCCTGGTTGATGCTCTGATACATAATCTTTATACGATCTAAATAACGGTGCTGTTTCGTCTTATACCCAGGAGAATGAATCCTAGCTTAGGATCCGACGAGTTTCGATCGGTTCCTATTGTAATCCGACGGAGCTCTTCGGAAGGCGCAAGGAAACTATCGGATTATCGTCGGATTCCTGGTTCCGAAATCGATATCGGATCCTAATATCGGAAACTAATGAAATCCGACAGTAACCGTCAATCGGAACCGGAACGCTTCGGTTCCGACAATNCCGACAATCGGATATCATTGGAAATACGACTGTCGGATTCGACATTGATTCCTCAACCAGGAATTCAACGGGATTTCGTCGGATGGTAGGACCCCATAGAATCCGATGGGATTCGGTATCGGATTGATTCACCTGGGTACTATACTTTTTCTATTTTTGTAAGCATATACGGTAGTTTTATTGAATCATATTTGAAGAGATATAAAACAGAATGAGAAGTTACTCTGGCTTCTGATTGAAGAAGAAAGTAAGTGGCGTAGTGCGATATACTAGAGGAAGCTTTTTTAGCTTTCTCACAAACATTCTAAAACATCACGTAATATAATATTTGCTAAATAATAAATACAGTTTATTGAAGTAAGTAGTATTGACTGTTGTGACTATTGCAATCAAAAAGCCTATGGTAAATAATTTTTCAACTAGTTGATGTTATTAAAAGTAAAATATATGCCTTAGAATATAATTTACATGTGCCTGCTTATCTTCATCAAAATGAGTGCGTATAATTGTTCAAGGAAGTCGTTTTCTACGGATGTTCATTGTTTGATAGAGTAGAAATGAATAAATAAATGTACGACAAGTAATACATAGTCGATCGCTAAATTCATATAAAATTATCAAATGAAAATTCAAATAAACCAATTTTTGAGGCATTCAAAATGAAATTTTTCTCTTCAAATACAAAAGTCAAGGGTCACATTACAAAACGAATTGACTTTAACAAACAAAGCATTATTATCATATATTTTGAGTCATCCAGTGTATTTGCTTGGCTAGTCTTTTATTTCATGTACATTTATATCTATGTCGAATTAGATATCAATCTCCAATCATATGCATCAAGTTTTAATGCATTACTTGTAGACAATTTTTCACTAATACGCAGACAAAAATGAAATTTTGTTGTTTTAATGTCATTAGCCAGTAGACAATTATTTTATATTTAGTTCAATTTAAGTCACTTCGGTACGATTTTTACAATGAAATTTTTGTTGTTTACCAAATAGGAAAACCAGTAATTAAAGTAGACTACTAAAAATTTGATCATTTCTCTTTATAATATAGAAAGCAGCGAAAATTTTATAATCAAAATAAACATTCATTTAAATATAAATTAGTTTGCTGTTAGTAAAATAAAATACATTTATTTGGCTGTTGTAAGACTTACTTTTCATTAAAGCACTAGAAATTATTCTTTAGAACAGAAAATTCCGAAGATGACAAGACTAACGCTACGACGGGATCTTTTTCATTATTCAAATTCATCAACTTTTTATTTAATATATGCTGTGCTTATATTAAAATTTTCATTGTTTTGTTATATAAGATGATGTCAAGCAAGCATTCGAAACAAAATCAACCTTGGAGTGAAAATAGAACAGCCGTGCCTTTACATTCTCCTGCACAGGGTGCAAAATAAACTGTACAAGCAATACGTCTTTCAAATCATATTCCTTTTTATGTCTATTTATGTACATAATGGAAGCCTTCAAAAATCTATGATGTCAGAAGTTTTATTTTTCTTTCATTAGAATCGAAAAGTAATGGTGTCCTGTATATTGATCGATTGAATGGATGTAAAAAAACAAGCCATTGATAGTTTGTCAAAATACTAATGCAATTCAAGCATTCATTTCACGACTACAAAAAAAATTATACTATTTATAAACTCCTCATGTTCATTGTCTTAGTTTGATAGAATTCATGTTTTTGTTTAAATTAACCAAAGTAGCTCATTTGAAGTATTCAAAAAATCTGAACATTTATGAGATGACTTCCGCTCACTAATTAATTTAATTAGGAAATTTCTACAATAAAGAACAGTCAGAAAATGGTAGAATTTCGACCCATAGTAAACAAAAGCAAATTGAAACCAGAGAGAAACTTTTGTTGGCTTGACAACCTATGTGGATAGTTTGTCAGATTGAACTTTAAACTATGGTCTCCGAATCTTGTTATGTTTTATACGGACATAATAAATTCAAATTGGAATTGGAAAAATAATATTTATTTTAATATTTGAACTATATTATTGAAAAAGTTTGCCTATACGCTTTGAATTCCATTCTATGGCCTATGAAAATAAGAATATACGCTTTGAATTCCATTCTATGGCCTATGAAAATAAGAATAATTCTACACTTCTTTTACAATAGGATTTTTCTTTGCATTTTTTAACGACATTACCATTGAACGAACAGTATTCTTCTAACCTTTATTGTACTAATATGAATTCAAGATCATAATCTTTTTTTAAATGAACATACCAAATAGAAGCATAAAATTCATATTGAATACGAAAAGATTTTCACACATCAATGAAAATTTTCAATCATTAAATTTTCATAAGAAATCACTTGGAAAAGAAACTTTGTTTACTTTTTACAGCGATAACACCGCAGAAGCGTATTTGTATGATTATGAATCGAAGCAAAATATTCTTAAATTTTAAGTTCTTTTTTTGCTGTTGCTAGGGAAACAAAATACCAACTAAAGAACATAGTGTAACATGGTGAATTCTATTAAATGAAAATATGATTCAAACGTGAGAGAAAAAAAGTTTAAGAATAGAAAGTAACGAAAAGCATCACCCGAAAATGACTGGTTTGTTTTTACTGAAACCGTTAAAATCATTGTACACAGAACGAACCCACTCCCCCTCCCCCATTTGTTGATATGTAAGAGCATTTCTTTTTTGTAATATTCATTCGAGACCGTGTCTATGACAGTATCTTTTGTTTATATAGATTTTTTTATATTACTTTTAAAACAAACCTCTGCCTACGTAGCTTATGTTTGTATACTTTTTCTTCCTCTCTTACCACTGCTTTTTTTGGACTTCTAGATTATAAAGAGAAGAGAAAGAGAACAGAAAAATGAAGGAACCATATATAAGGAAGCCGATCAGTAGAAACGAGTTGCATTCGATTATTTTAGTGTCACCCGAACGTACATAGCAACTGTATAAAAACTTGTCAATTTAAAACAAAATCTACAATGTCTCAACCATGGAAAGGTGATGGATTATCTATTTCGATAAGTGAATGATATTCTATTTCAATGTTTCTCTCTTTTTTCAGCCGGTTTATTTGGTTGCTTTGAGGATATACCAATATGTTTACTTGGTTGGTGTTGTGGTTGTTATTTATTTGGTCAAAATGCTGAGCAAATCGATGGATCAAACAAATTTGCCATGTGTTGTGGTTACGCATGTTTATCAGGTTGCTCTCTCTGTTGTCTCCTTCATAAACCTCGACGAGAAGCTCTTCGTGCTGCCTACAATCTCGAAGAAAACCCAAGTGACTTCTTGGCTACTTGCTGTTGTAGCGGTTGTGCCGTTTGTCAAGAAGCAATTGAATTGAAACAACGAGGTTTGCCGCGAATCATTTTTTTAAATAATATTTTCTTATTTTTATTTCTGTTAATATTAGGAGTATCACCAGGTTCACGCATACCAGTTTCTTCTCAACCTCGTTAAATACTATTTTCACCATTAACAGAAAAAAACATACATTTACGATGCTCGTGAATTTTATCGCCCGTTCTTTTTTTTCCTCATTTTAAATATTGATTGGGCTGAATAAAAAATCGCGGCTGTATTGATATTAGATGAACTTTTGCCTGTTTTTAGTGAAAAATACAGTATGAAAATTTTAATAAATAAATTCAACTGAAAAAAAAGAGATTTGTTTATAGAAATATCGGTGAGATAGTAATAAGGGTAAACTTTGAAGATTGATTTGAACTCGTTCGTTTCGATAAATATTTTTATTTTTCGATATGACATTCAATTTCTAGAAAAATTTCAGATAATAAAAAGCAAATATTTCTGAATCAAACTATTCTCGAAGATCAAAATAAAAAGTTTTTTTTTTATTTCTCCTCATCAAAACAAAAAGAAAAGAAAAGCCATAGTAGAGCGAGCAAACAACAAAACCACTCTTCTTACCGATTTCGGATAGAATTCATTGTTTGAGGAAAACAATAGCCATGGCAACTTTGTCTTTATCATCATTTAGATCATCTCGATAAGGTTTACAGCTCATTGTTTTTAGAAAAAACACGTGCGCGAATATTAATAATCGTGCTCGGACATGAGTGAAAACAATAGGATTTTCTTGGCGATGTGTTTCGTATAATTCATTATGAAAATGTTTCAATATCTTCAAATGCTAACTAACAATTCATTAAAATGATAAAATCATTGTGTAAATATATTAGTAATAACAAATAGACGATGCGAAGTAATATGATTTAGATGAAGAAAATATTATTCTTTTAGCTAATCTAATGAGACCGTACTGAACGTTTTGAATTCATTTCGATCTACAGCAACACTTTGTTGGCATTGTCTGTGTTGATGAATGCAGTTTACTTGACTATTTGTTTAAAAGTCGTTATTTTAATTATGTTTTCCATGTCAATATTCATTGAAAAGACGCAAGATTGAAATTATTCTCTATAGAATATTTTTTTTATTATTTAATTTCCGACGTACTAGTAAAGAAATCGATGAATAAAACAAAATATTAAAAAAGGAGAAAAAAGAAAAGAAATGATAATGTATTTTTCAAGGTCACAAGCGAGTAGCACTAAGACCAGCAACAGTATTTGCCTGATTCTTTGGCTGGTTCGACGAGTTTTTAGATTGTTTATCTAATAAGTCGGAGGCTTTTAGTCGAGAAGAATTTTCCTTGGGGTTTGTTGCTGCTGCATCTTCACTCATATGTTCACTTGATTTTCTATAGGAATTACTAACATCTGCTGTTGTTAAATCTCTTGGATGAAGATTAGGATCATTTCGATTCTTTGACGTTGATTTAGGCAATGCTTGAGATGTTAGTTCAATATCATCACTACTTGCTGAACGACGCCATGGACGGACACGTTCAGCAGCGGTTGATGATTTATCTGATGAATAGAAAACAGAAAGAAAACATTGTTTTCAAAATGAACTCTATTAAATAACAATAATAATTATCGTCATTTTTATTCTTACCACGCAAATTATTAGGAGTTAACACAATATCAGAATCATTTGATTTTGTTCTCGAATTTTGATTAGGTGTTAATTCTGTTTCTGAATAATCATGAATTGATGGCGTAGCTGTTAACGTTGGTGATTGATTAGAATTAGCAGACGGTTTACTAATTGTGCTAATTGCATGCATTTGTTCTCGGGTAAGCCGTATGGGTACATATCGAAGATCCCGATGATGAGATAATTTTTCGAAACGACTATTGAGTTCATCCTCTACACCAGCTAGTTCGTCTTGATTTCGAAGATGCATAGTTGCCTATAAATATTCATTTTTTTTCTCGATAGAAATATTCCTCCTATTCAGAGTGTTTATACGAAATTTGAATAAAACTGCCAACTCATAAAATCAATCGAGCCAATAGTATAAAGAAATCATTTTTCTCTGCATGCTAATAGTCTAAATAGTGTTCGCTACTAATACAATATTCGATTATTTCTCTCGTGATATCGTCATATTCCAAGTTTAACGTTAATATTAACCGATAGAAGTAGATTTTTATGCCCCCCCCCCCCCGCAAAAAAAAATACCCTTATACTATGCCTATTTAGTATATGAGAGTTCACATATGAGTATTAGTAATGTTTGTTCGTTGTTATATCCTCCCGCCTTCAAACAACCTGACGGACTGTTGAAGTACTTAATGGAATAAACACTTGACAAACTTGTTTCTATAGTATTTTTTTCTGAAGCTGTCAGTATTATTATGGTTTTCGTTTTGATTACACTGATATTATTCAAAGAATTATGAAATATTGTGAAAAATTAAAATATTTCTTGTGATATACTATATGAATAGAACTAAAGACTCGAACTTCATCTACGTTTTTTAACTGTTTCATGATTATTATCTTATATATTCAAGCATGTATTTCTGAGTATTATTTGTACTTAAACAAATATTTATCTTAAATCACAACGTTTCTTTGCACTACCATCGATAGTATTGGCGATTTACATCTTCATTTCTAAATGCAACTTCAAAATAGGTATTCAATATGGATAGAAAACAATAATGCCATGGAATAGAGGCAATCATTTTTACCTACACGCATCATAGAACAAACAAGAGACGTACTCTAGACACTGAATAGTAGATCGATATTCAAGTGATTAGACCGTTCAGCTTTCTTTTTCTACATTCTTTTATAAATAATCTTAAACGTTTTTGGTATATAGATATAGCATATGATAGAATATCTAGCAAAGAATATCAACAGTAAACAGCAATATACTTTACTGCACGGTGACTAGTCAAAAGCGTTTATTTAGTCGAGCACTCATATAAATTCACTTACTCTTCGTCTTGCATGAGGAAGATTTGAATCAAGAAAACGATGCATTTTTGCATCGTCACGTTGATGGTCAGTTCCCTGGCTTTCGAATAACATTAAATCGGGCACTGTTCGTTGAGGTGAACTGCAAATGAAAATGAAATGAACCATTGAAAAATGAAATAAACCATTGAGCAAACTTTGGAGTGGCAATGTCTGAAAAATGTCTGGCTCTTCGTTCTGGCCTAAAAGCGTTTTCCGATGGTAACTGCTGCATAGCTGTTGAAGATGAATTTGGTATAAGACCTTTCGATGTATCGTGAACTCGCATAGCTGACCGTACATTAATACTTTTAAATTCTTTTAGTAATTTAATATCCACTGTTTGTTCTGGCTTTTCACGTAATAAAAAGCGTTTAAAATAATTTCGGTCAAGATTTCGACATCTGAAAAAAAAATATCATATTAAACACATCGTTTTTCGAGTTATATTTTCATGTGATTTACTTATCACGTAGTGAATTATTTCCACCGCTGCCAGAAATTTCCTCTAAACAAGTCATAACATGATCCATCATCTTTAAAAAACAACAAAGTAGACGAAAGAAATCAATCAAGTATATCTAATTTACACGACTTGTTAATTTAGCTGACATCGTTGGTTCTTCGACTTGTTTTCGTCTTACATTAAGAAGTTTCACAAGTGGACCAATAGTAATACCCTACGTAGAAAATATGAGAAAATCTTTATAAAAAAAAGTAAGCTGTAGTTTTTGTTTTAAATTTTACTTGTAGAAAAACAGTAAAAAACACTACGGCTATTGTTGCTGTAACAAATTCTTTTTTTCGTTCAATCTTTGTTTCATCCAGAACAAGTGCAAGCGCAAATGCAATAGCGCCACGTAAGCCACCATATGACATAATCAACATATCAATACGTGTTAATTCAAGTAAACGCCAACAATTAGCTATATTAGCAAAGATTATAACGCCTAGAAAACAGAAACGAAATAGAAAAGTCAATCTATCATATTTTATATTCATACCAATAACTCGATAGAGAAGACAGAGAAATAATGTCATTAGAACAAAGCCCGTATTCCACGAATGATTATCACTAACTGTTGATAAACCCATAAACATAAATATAATAGTTTCCATGATAGAAGATAACATTTTAATAACATATTCTGTGGTTGCATCGGATTTCTTTGAAATATTAAATGGTATATATTGTTTCATTACCATACCGCAAAAAGTTAAACTAAAAATTTTATAGAAGAATTTTATTTCCTAAATAGAATATGATCGACTTACGCTAAAATACCAGATACTGAAAGCATTTCTGATGTAAGATAAGATAAATATGCATAGACAAGAATAATCAATGGCTCCAATACAGGTGTGTGTTCAGTGAATTTCGTTGTAAAACATCCAATCACTCCAAATACAATTCCAAGTAGAACACCACCAAGAGCAACGACAAAAAACGATAGAAAACCCAAAACAATATCCATTACAATTAAATTGTCTTGGCCGATTTTAGCAAATGAATCAAACATACGATATAGAACAACTGAAACAGCATCATTGAGTAACGATTCACCAAAGACAACAATATACAACATATCATTAACGTGTATTTCAGTAAATGTTGCTAGTACAGCTACAGGATCAACAGCTGATATGAGTGCCGCAAAAACAAGACAAGGTAGCATTTCAAATTTAGTACCACCGTAGATTGGTGTAAATTGAAAACCCCACAATGTAAGACCAATACATATTGTATTAAATAAAGTATTGACTATAGCTAATAATAATATTGTACCAAGATTGTCAAAAAATGGACGGTTAGGCATAAAATAGCCAGCTTCAAAAATAATGGGCTATAGGAGAGAATAAGATCAAATCAGATATAAAAATTATGATCAAGGAAATAACTTTCTACAACGAAAATTTTTATAAGATAGAGTCAGAATATTGACAAATTGATTCGGTTTTCGATGGTGACTTCAACCATATTATCAGTCTCGTTTCGTATCGTATTTTTCTCCGGGAAATAGATTAAATATTAGTGGAAATTTCTGTTCTAGAAATGCTATTTAAAATTCGCGACTCGATGTTTCGTTCGAACAAGTGTGATGATCTATAACAAAAAAAGTGCTTGAAACGAAGTGTATATTTTCAAAAAATAATCGGGATCTATTAGAAAATACCCATTTGAATTTCCACAGGAAAAATACTATATGAGTTGAGACTAGTAACAAATTTGAAACCAGTACTGACATCTGAGTCGGCGTATCAATTTTGCCAGTTTTTTTAATTTCAATCGAAACAGTCTTAGTCGTCAATTTCTGCCTATTTAAGATCACTACAATGGACTTGATAGGTTCATATAACTGCCATTAAAATCCCAGAAAGATACACGAGAAATTCCCGTCGTTAGATAGATCATCTAAATATTGATTCTTGCTCGATTCATACTATCGTTTGACTGTAGAATACTCATAACATGCTTTGACGCGCAGATGGTTAAAAAGAACGTCTGTTGTTAATATGATTATTCATGACGAAGATTCTAATTTCTTTCTATATTTGTTGAATTAACTACTTCAAGAAAAAACCCGAGATATCATTATGAGAATCATACATTAAAATTAACTGCAGCCGATCGATAGAGGTCTCTCTAATATTTTGATACACCGTTGATATTTTCAATTTTTTCTAAGTTTCAAGTCTAGTTAAAGGCTCGTACACATATCTATTCTAAAGATCTCGAACTAGACAAACATAAATTCAATTATTTTTGTTGCATCAGTTCTGCATCTACTAAAAACCCACGTGCTTATAAATACAAGAGAATATTCTTTCCACTCATGGTATCATTCTGTTGCAATGATTGACAAATTGACGTTTTCAAGTTCTCTTCTCTAAAGTAGATTCTTACTCAATCTTATCTTATCGATATGGATTTATGATTCAACCCGAGAGTTCTTCTTTTTCTCAAGACATAATTTCGAAAACACACGGTTATGCCTATACTATATAAAACAAAACAAAAATATTAATTTTTTTCTTACTGGTAGAAGAAACAAAAAGAATGTATTACTATCGAGTACATAAGCTTTTTGTTCTGCTAAATGAGTGCCATAAAGTAGGCCGCCAACAATAAGACCAAGAATAATTAGAAGACAACTTTCAGGAAACTTCTCAGTTAAACGATGTGATAAATGAAAACCTACGAGTAATCATAATGACGTTCGCTTGAAAATAAACTATCGATACTTACCAACTTTAGCTAATGAACCAAGTAAAATCCATAATGTAATAGAGTAGACATCAGCTACATGATCAAAATTAAATTCGGCAACATGAAAACGCGCTTGTTTAGCCTCTTTATGTTGATATGTTTGTTCTATACAACAATATTTGTGAATAAGTAAACCAAGTATGACTATAAGAATAATGTGCTTATTATCCTGATACATTATTTTAATACAATATTGAACTGAACATGAAGAAGAGTTCTAATATATTGAACAACGCTTTTTGATTGATTTCAAAATCAAGCCTAAAAATCAGAATAAAGAAATACGAGTGTTAAATGGAGAATTGTTGCCGTTTGCTAAGCAGAACTTTCTATGTTACACAATCCATCATACACTAACAACGAAATCTCGAAATGAAAAATACAACAAAAGAGAAAATGTTGGTGATAAAGATCATAAATGACTTTCCTTCTACACAGGTATACATAGAAATGATACCCTTTTAGAACGAGACACGATATAATGATAATGGCAATAGTAGATTTTTATTTTGCCCTTTTCTTTTCTTCATCAACAGAATCATAAAATCAAATAGATATGGATACACATCAGTAGCATGTATTTTCTTCTTAGTTTTCAGAAACACAACATGTGCATAGATGAATTCAATACAAGAATCATATTCCAAGCAAACAATTGATATTCAAACCATACCATTTACATATTGCTGGCGTTATTTCTCGAAAGGCTTCACTTGTACATGAACAAGTACAAAACAAAAAATTTATTTGATCTTTTTCTCGTTTTGTTTGCGCAACAAAAATTTGAGCACGTGCAGCTATATCAATGATAACACTTGGAAAGTAGAAGTACGGAAATTAAACAGAAAAAAGATCATCTAGTGAAGAAAATCATAAGCTGCAATGGTGTAAGACATTCATTGAGGTGAACAAATTTTCTTTCCGTTTATTAAGAACCATATAACGCCCATTTTCATGCGTAATCTATGCACGCATCGATGCAAACAAAAAAAAGAATCTTTATGTTTTTCACCTTTTATTTTATTCTTCTTCTCAACCTTGTAGAGATGTATCGCACAATCGATGTACTTCAAATGTCCAAATAATTATCATATGCCCTTAGACTAAAAACCATAATGATTTGCACGACAATGTTAGATATTTATTTGTTTTTCACTTTGAAAAAAAACTTATTCAATGGAAAAAATCGATAATATAAATAATAAATGAGAATGTGAATAACAACAACAACAACAACGATAAAAAAATCTATTCCTCGTCACTTTCACTTTCGGTGGCGAATTCTTCATCTTCTGCTTTATTATTTGTTGCTCCTTCTTCATCGCTAAAATCCCATTGAGGATGATTGTCGGTCATTTCTTTTGCCGCTTGAACATCGAACTAAAATATTATTAAAAGAAAGACAAAGTAAGGGATTACGAGTCATTTTTTTATTTTTCGTAAACTTACTGCAAGATTTTCCATAACATCAACATCGAAATATGAATCGGATCTTAATATAACTGAATAAACATAATGACCAGGTATTTTTGGTGCAGAAAATTTTATTTCGATTTCTTCTTTATCTTTTAATGTGCATAGATAGACAGGTGCACTAATTAATGAAAAATGTTTCTTATCGGCGACGTATAACCACCAACATTCTTGTTTAATCTAAATATGAAAATGAAAATAGATTATCTACTATGTTCATCATTGAACATACTTCAGGATAGAATGGACAAAAGACTCGATGACTAATTTTAGCTTTTGTTTCCAATGTTTCACGTTTACGTTGTTGTTGTTGAAATCGCTCGAGAAACGTATCTTCGTCATTGTCGGAGTTTTTTCGTGATTTCTTTAAATTTGTCGAAGGAATTTCTTCTTCATTATTATCATTTTCACTATTATTCGTTTCGTCTTTGGATGGTTCATGACGTTGACGTAAAGTTGATGGAGAGTCTAAAGACAAAAATGCAACGAATTTATTGAGTCTTCTTTCAACTTACCATCAGAATGTTTCGATGAATCATCATCTAAATAAGTGAAATAAAAAGAAATTAATTTAAAAATTGAACTACTCTTCTATTATCTAAGAAAGAACTCTGTCAAGGCGGAGTTTAAAATCTATGGACATAAGAATTTTGCTATTAGAAGGATAACTTATAAATAAAAATTTGAATAGTAAACAAAATCGATTCAATACGTACCACTTGAATCTTTATCTACTGGTTTCGATTGATTTTTATTGCCAGTAGTGGTCGTAGTAGTAGTAGATGCCGTTGTTGTTACTTGTTTATTCGATGGATTATGACTCGTTTTTGTTGCGGGTGCGTGTCCTTTCTTTTTTGTCTTTTTCTTTTTATCTGATTTATTGTTCCAACCTTTTGTTGCGTTCGATGCGGTTGCAGCTGCTTTAGAAGTTTCATTAGTCTAATCGAAGAAAAATAATCGTTTTAATTGTATATAAAAGATTTTTTTTTGTGTGCAACCTTCTCTCGATTTTCTTTATCGTCTGCTTGCTCTTCATTTACTTCATAATCAATAGTATTCATCGCAGCCAATGTATTTGATCCAAGCTCTTTGTTAAATACGGTTGACATATTTTCACGTTGTAAATGTATTGTTAATGTAACAACGGCACCTGTTGTTATTATATGTTCATCTTCGTCATCAAATACTAAATGGAAAAAAAGTTGGATAATAGTTAAATATGATTATGGATTTTTCGTTTTCAGCTAAGATTAAAATACCTCCACATGATACAGTCATTGTTATATGTGGATAAATCGAAAGAACATTCATGATATCATCATACTGTTCATCTGTAATACTACGTAACATGGAACGACGTTCTTCATCGTTCATGGCTGCGAATTGTCGTATTGATTTAATGGTTCGCTAAAATAAAAATAGAAGAGCTAATTTTTCAGCAATAAAATATGAATATGAGAGTGATTGTCAACATTTTCGCTTCATAGGAGTAAGCAATAGGAGGGGGTGAATACTGATTTGTGGATACATTTGTTACACAGTATGCTATGCAATATGAAGAAGATGGGTCAGTTAAGATTTCAATAGTTTGACACTGAGCGTTATCGAACATGTGATAGCGAAGTTGGAACAGAGTGTTTCTATGGGCTTCTATCGAACAACATAACGATTGAACTATGGCACTCGTGTGATAAACATTAACTTGAAGTGGGCGCGGTAACCAGTCCATCTTCAGTAGTGCGGCCGCGTCGTAGATAGAGTGTTGCTAATTTTTATGCAGTGACAAAAAGAAGTGTAAAATGGTTAAATAAGAATTTAGTAAAAGGCAGAAATAATTATTTACTAGTAGTTTAGGGCAATTTGTGGATCACATTGGATTAGTGAAGAATTATTTAAGGACTTAATGCAAACAATTAGAAGATGAGTTGATAGATTCCAAACAATTGTAGTCGAAAGCTTACCATCGATAAATAAAGTGAATAGATATGAAGTGATCGAACAATCAAAAGCATCACTCTAACTGGAAATTCGATTTCAAATATTGAGGCGTGTCTATAGAAGTTTTGTATAAATCATATTCATATATATTACTCAAACAAAAATAGAACATGACGAAATATACTTTCTATTCTAGATTTTATCTTCGAAAGTTAAATTTACGTTTATTCAGAAGAGAAGAAAAAATACGATAATTCTCAACATGCTGAAACTTATGATCGATTAGACAAAATTCTGCATAGGTTCGTACAGAATGAGAGAGATTAAATTTCGTACCTTTTTTGTTTCAAAAAATCTTAGCTGACTCTCAGTTATGTGTGGTAATTGAAGTAGAGGACTTTTCAAATTCCCTAATGCTTGTATGATCATTGGCGACAGTTTCATTGTATTTTCAATTGTATCAAGACGTGGCGGATTTTTCACTAAGAAAAAAAAAGACAGAATTTTTTTTTCTTCTTCTTTGAAATCGAAACTTCTTACATCTTCCAACATGTCCCAAAGCAACAAGTTGAGCTTCAATATTAATCATTTCATTGATTAAATATGGAGATTTCTTCACAATATATCGCTTATCTAAGAAGAAAATTATAATAAATAAATCTTGGAAAAGAAATTTTTTCTTTACCTTTATCAAGATCATCACTTAACGTCGTAAGTCGTGCAAGATGAGCATGAAGAAGTGTACGTGATTTTAAGCAATAAGGTAATTGAAATGGTCTTTCTTTTGTTTTTTCTTGAACATCGGGTAATTCTCGAAATAGCTAAATATGAAATCACTTCTATATACACACACCAATCATTTCTATTTGAAAAACAAACCTTTGGCAATTCAACATTATCACTTAATCGATCGACAATAAGAGGATTACGATTTCGATCGAACTCTCTTGATGCACTAAGAATCATTATTGCGCCTAGAAAAAGATCAGCGGAATGAACGGAAAAAGAATTTTACACTGGTACGTCGGTATACTCAGAGTTTCTTTTGCATCAAAAGAAATATCAGAGGATTGACAGATATAGAAACTAAATCATCATTGTATACCGTCAGGTAGGTTAGAACATGGGTACATTCAAATCTCATACAACTATTTCCACTCGGTTAACTTACGTTTCACAATTATCGACGCTGTTTTGCTTAAAAATATCCAATAAAGTTGAGTCGTATCAATTAAAATTTGATCACCCGAATAACGAGCAGATTTTTGCCACCAAACGCACTTTCAATGAAAATATTTATAAAAAAGAAAAATCTACTATCATTATTAGCTTACAATAATAACAGGAAGAACGATCATAAAGATACCAGCATAAACCAAAAGAACGAATATAGAATTTTGATGATCAACTAACCATTTTGGTAGAGCAATGCCAAAATGAGTCACTAATGATTTTCAGAGAGAAATTTCTATTTTATTTTTTGTTCAAATCATAAAACAAACCTCCTGGTCCATCAGGATTTCCATATTTTCGCCAATTTTCTTTTGCTTCTTCATCAGTTAACGTTTTATATGCTTTAGCTATTTCTTTCTAAAAAATGAAAATTATTATTTTTCTCGAGAATTGTTTGTTTCGGTTATTTCACTTACAAACATTTCTGCATCTCCACCACGATCTGGATGATGTTTTTTACTCAGATCACGATAAGCGCGTTTTATTTCAGGAAGAGTAGCTTCCTAATAAAAGACAACGATTTTATTTTTCTAGGAATATTCAACAACAATAAGCACGTACTGGATCGATACCCAACATTGAAAATGGATCGTACTCCTTATGTTCGGTTTCAATTAATGATACTCGATAAGCAAGAGTTAATAAAATAACCCATGCTAACACTAAGCCAATTTTACTACAATAAAGAGAGAAAAAATAGTGTCATATACAGTACAACAAAAGTCTAAAACAAACGGAAGAAAATTAGGTCTAGGTCATCATTGAGATATGACATACCTTTCTCATTCGTCTAGTACGTACAAAGATTTGAAACATACAAATGAATATCTTACGTTATTATGGCGCGTCGTCTTCGATTGGGTTCATTTGCATGAAACAATTGATGCTTTTGTCGACAAGTAGGAAAATTAGATGTATCTTCAGGATGTGGTGCACTTTCTATACATAATAAAAGAAATGAAATCTTCGTTACTCTTGTTGTTTCCTGTAAAATGTACTTCTTTTTTCTGTCTTAGGCCATAACCAATAGGTTGCTGGTATGAGAATTAATGCGTAGACAGCGAGAACAAAATAATAAAACTTTCCACCACTTTCATCGTACTAGAAATTCAATAGAAATCTTTTACAAAAACCAAATCTAGGAAAGGTATGATTTCACTGACTTCAAATTTCATTCCAGCCATAACTATTCAATTTTTATTAATTAATTCATCTGAAATAAAATAAATAAATTTATTTATATTAAATAGAACTAAAAAGAAAATTATGAGAAGAAAGAGATCATCCTCCCATTCTTAGAAATAAAAATTAAAAAAATGAGAAAAGAGAAAAAAAGGAAAGATCATCACATTGAGTATTGGACGCGGAATTCAAAGCGAAAAATTAGCACGAAATAAAAATCGATGGGTTCTACTGTATTTTGAATTGAAAATTTTGTTTTTTAACGATGTTTTTCAAGCGATTGAAGAACATATTTTGAACTAATTTTTTTGTGATGCTTTTTCAAATATTCTCGACCTCCATTCTTAAGCCATTCTTGTTCAAAATCATTTTCTAGTATTTCAGCACCCTTTTTCGCAGGTAAGCCTGTTTCATCTAAACTTAATTCACACATATTCATATCATCGATACCTATTGACACAAGAAAAAAACAGCTTGAACTAATTTTAATAAAAAAAAAAAAAGAAAATTAACCTGAAACGAGTAAAACGGGCTTTTTGTTCGGATGAATTTCCATTTGACGAGCAATCCATTTATCTAGAGAATGTTTTTAAATTTTATTTTAACAGACAAAAACAAATTGTTATATCATTGTTTTTACCATCGAAATGAGCATACCACCAGCCAGTCTTTTTTTGATCACTGGCATCACTACTTCGTTCATTGGGGCGAAGAAATGGAATGCGAAAGAAACGCTGTTCGCTAGCTTTACCACTACCGCCGCCTTTAGAATTAGAAGATGCTGTCGCTCCTTGCCCACCTTTTTTCGACGCACTGCTTGCCGATGACACAGACACAGCTAGAATCATAATAATAATAGTATTGTAAGTTTTTATTTTTTAAAAATCATTCATAATCTTTTGCTTTCGATAGCGAAACATTTCATCTCCAATCTCTCTTATACATATCAATTCTATCCAAATGCGTCAGTCAAGTCTTACTGGCATCTATTTCGATATAGATTTTAATTTACCATTATTTAAAATAGCCTGCGGTGCTCGATCTTCATCCAACTCATCATCTTTATCATCGACCGCCGATAGATTTTTTCCTTTTCGATTTTTTAATTTCCACGCATGATAAACCTTCAAGCGTCGATGAAATTCTTCACGGCATGCATCAAGTAAGTCGAGATCTAAAACATCAATAAATAAAATTACGTTTATTCTTCTTTCTTTTCTGTAGACATTTTACCACACGATGTATTAATTAGATCACGTAGTTGTGCATAAGTATGTCCCCGTAAATCATATTTTGGATTGATATTCGAACGAGATTTGCGTTGTAAATGTGGTAAATCAGCTTCACTACCTGTTTCTAAAGCAATACGTCGTGCTAAGTCATAATCACGCCGTTCACGTTCGTTCATTTCTGATAGAAAAGCTTCTTCCGCCAGTTCCTGCTCTTGAAGTTCTTTCTGAAAATAAAGTCAGTCATCATTTGAATTTGTTATATTGAAAATATTTCATTCTTACTCGACGGCGAGATTCTTCAGCATTTACTTTACCCATCAGTCTTTCTTGTTCCGCTCGCCGTTGTTCTATAGCTGAACGCCTTTTAATTATAAGTACATGAAAATAAAAAGAACACTGGAAGCAATATCAGAATCTTACTGTCGAAATTCGTCTTTTTCTTGTTCGAAACGTTTATCTTCATCAGATTTTATAAGTTTTTCATTTTCTAATGCACCCTAAAACAAAATCCACCAATATTCGTTATTATGAAACTGAGAACTATTAAGTATACTACCTGAATCTTTTTCAAACGTTCTTGTTCATCTTTCATTTCTTGTTCAGCAGCTACTTGTTTTAATCGGCGAAATTCTCGATCAATGGAAGCCACAAGATCATTATATGCATTATCAATTTGTGTTGCGGTCATGTGAGTGTTCTAGATAGAATATAGCATGTAGACAATTTTCGAAAATATAATTGCTTAGAAACAAATCCTACGAAATCTACGTGCCAAAAACTTTTGAGAAACTCGCTACTCTTTCGAAAGCAAGCTTTTTTTCTGTATAAAACTTACTGCAATTTCATGAATTAATTGATCGATAGACTGTTTCAATTGATGTATTTGTTGATAAACTTGTTCTTTATTCGTTTTCATTTGACTAGCAATCTTTTCCATTGCTGCTACTTGTTCATGTAATGCTTTAGCTTTAACCAAACCTCGAATTCTACGAAGAGAAAAAACTTAATAATCATGTTTGTTTGTTTTTTTTGAAATACTAAATATAGCATTACCTTGGTGCATAACGTTTGTAAACTAAATGCATGCGAGTATGTCGTTGAATGTCAATTAAACATTTACGTCGATAAAGAATTTTATTTTTGACTAAAATTAATCAATGCGAATAATTTTTTATTACACAATAAGAAACTTACGTTTAATGACAGATAAAGCACACCATTGAGCTGTTTTCCAACGTGTCCATAGAAGCCATTTTTTAACCTTGGATATGAGCACAGCTAGATTTTGCGGATCTGATTTCATTAGTTCATCGAATTCAGCAAATTTTCCAGGACGAAAAAAAACTTTTGTTAAGCCAAATTTAAAATCTGCATCACGAAGATTCAATGCTTTAAATAAAGCTTTACAGAAAAGACGTGGCTCAAGTCGAGCTAATTCAGCTGGTAGATATTTTTTATACATTGAATATAATTCAGAGAATTGTGTACGCGATGGAAAACCTTGTTGCATTAAAGCTAATACTGATACCATGCCTATTTAGAGAAAAAAGAATCAATCTTACTCAAATGACTTCTGCTTTTTGTTGCTTACCACTGCACTGCAATTGACTTAAAATTTGACCACCTTCAAATAGATTTGCTACCATTTTCAGATTTGGTTTAATACAACGAATGAAACTAATGCCCTATAATTTAACAAAAAAAAGATGATTTCTAGATAAAATGTTTTAATATGAGAAAGAAGCAGATAGATTTTTGTATTCTAACGAACTAATGACACATTCAATAGTCTAAAGGGCTTCCCGGTGGATGATAACAGTTCTAACTCGAATTAAAATTATAGTGTGGTACAGTATTATTGAGCTGCGAAAACAGTAAGTAGTCCGAGACAGATAGATGTTGTTGACTTTTCTAGATCGATTCTATGACTAGTGTTATCGATGTTTTGTTGATAGGTGTCAATTAATGCCGATCTTTAGTCCTGGCAGAATGAGATGAAGGCAGCTACTGCGTTGAATCGATAAAGATTCGAAATTGACATTGTTGAAAAAATATAAAGTATGGCTATTTCAATGTAGCTATAGGTGTATGATGAAGAGAAGAATTACACTGGCACAAACATTCGCATAAGAGCCTGAAACTCTACGACGATCAAACCCATAGCCTCGTACGGTGAGCAAAGTTACCGGATAAGACTTGAACTCATTCATAATTTTCAGACGTATGGTTTTCAGGTAAGTTCTACCGGTTATCATAACATAAAAAACCTACTGTGCTTCGTAATTTATTCATAAGTTCAGCTAATTGCGAACGAAATTTCGATCCAACAGAAATAAAATTTAATTTTCCTGCTGATTGTTCCAGTTCGCCTTGGTTTTGAAAAAGACTCTTGATGAAACTATTTTTACATCCTTGAACAAGCATTAGAAGAGATGTATGCAGAGCATCGTTATTTTTTTCAATAAATTGCGCCTGAAATAGGTCAATAAAATAAATAATGAATTTTAATTCATTAGGAAAAAACTTACGGTTGAATAGACCACACCACCTGCAAAATGTTGAATAAGAAAACCTTCATCATCACGTATTTCACGTGAAGCTCGTAATTTTGACTTTCGTGGAATCTAGATTCAAATGAATTATTTGACAACAGTTGATTAGACTTGTTTCTTAGCTTTCATACATCAAGTCTCGGATGACCTCTATTACGATTGTGAACTTCACTTGTAAAATGTTCAGGTTTTGGTGTCGGTAATTTACTTTCTTCATCTAGTAAATCAAAGCAACCAATTGTTTTCGCTTCGATCAACTCTAAAACAAGAAACGATGTTTTTTTTTTCAAATAGAAAATAGAATATCGGAATATATTTATATGTCATGCAAATAAGACGCTAAATCATGCTGCCTTCACAAAAAGAAAACATTTCAATAGACTTGTTATAATCTCGAATATACGCTTTTAGAGAAAACCTTGCAGCTGATAAACGCTCATCAAATCAAAACATAGGTCCTACAGAGTCTTTCAAGGGTTTTGTAGTACGATAAACTATCTATTATAGTAGATATATTATCTTACAATATTATCAATATGAAATTTTTTGTAATCGATCGATTAGAATTATGCGCTGTTTTATTTTAAGATTCATTACAGTACATCTTGTACTGTGCCTTTGCATATTCTTCGTCGAGTTTCAGCATGACCTTGATGAAATCTAATTCAATCATCGAGTGACTCATTAGTAATGCAAAATCAAAACCAGACTCATCGCTCGCATTTATTTTTATCCAGTTATTGTGTGCATATCTTGCGCATGTAAACAACCGATAGGAAATGTAGAATTACCTGTTGAGTCATTAACCTATTATTTCGAATGAAATGTATCGCTACAATACTATCCTGTAGTGAGTTTCAAATCAAAGGTTGAAGACATCCCCATAGGTCATTAGGGTCTCTAAAATTCAAATAGTCTCGGCTTAAAAGCTATCAATCAGTTACGAAACTTCCTTCACCAGGATTTTTTTTATACAAAAATAAAGATATTTACAAAATTGTAACATGATCATCGAAACAATAAAGCTTGAATTATAGGTGAGATCAGAGGGTGTGTTGTTTTTTTTCTTTCTACGTATAATGTATCGATATTTTATTACATCTCAAACTATGACAAGTCTATGTTGAGTGTAAAAAATGTTTCTTTAAATCAATATCCTTTTCAAAAAAGCACTTTCATGCAGAACATACACTCAAATGTGATAAAAATTCGTGCCTACCAGACTTCTAGTTAAATTCAAATAAAAGAAGAAAGAAAAAGAAATATACTAAAATAATACAGGATAAAACATACCAATACAATCTTGATTATCAATGAATTTTATTTTCTTTAAGCCAAGGCCTTCCTTTTCATACAATACTTGCTCTTCTTTAAGAATTCGTTCGTTAAAAAAATGTTGTAATTTCTCATTGCAATAGCTAAGCAAAGAGAAAGTATTATGTTTTTAAAGTAAATTCTATTGGCGATTAAATCATACTTAATACAAAATTGTTCAAATGAATTTATAGGAAAATATTCAAAACCAGCTATGTCGAGAATACCAATGTATGAATTTGATGAACTATACGGTATTGATTTATTCACAAAACTAACTATTTGATCAAATAATCGAACATATAATGCTTTAGCCAATGCGTCACGAGCATTTTGTGCTTCATGATCTTTTAATGGAACACTTAAAAACAAAACATAATTTTTCTTTATTTTAAACAAGCGAACTGAAATTGCTTACGGAATCATATTATCTTTATTATTGCCTCCTGCTCTAGTCATTAAAACTCGTGTTATTAATGCATGACGAAGTTCACGTACATCAAGACCCAACATTTCAGATGTTATGCTCAATGATTGTTCAGTTGAGTGTGTTATTTTAGAGCCACCTTTTGTACTTTCCGGATCGTCTTCAAAATTAATATTTCCAAGATGAAGAACGGCTGCAACTGTACTATAAATATTTAATTTATCTTGAGTTGATAAACCCATATGATCCATTGATTGATCACATTCAATAAAATCATTGACATCATCTAATTGCGGATCACGTAATGGTCCTTTTGAAAGGAACTAAACAAAGTACGATTGATGAAGTTTAAGAGAAATCGAGTGAGCGTCTTTAATTTAGACCGATATATGTAGGGCATGAAATCTAGCTTGCTATGAAAAATAGTACTCAACATTGGATTAGTATTGACGAAATTGTGTTCGATTCAGTATTTGTTTAGGAGGAGCAGATCTTCAGTAATAAGGCACTCACTCAAAATACCTCCTTACAACCATCATAGAATATGATTTAACAAATTGAAAGAACAAAAATATAGAAAGTTAAAAAGTTCATGTGCGCCGAAATGATATTATCCTGGAGAACTCGCCTCATTCTATTAATACAGTGAGCAAACCGACCTTTAGTTACATTCTGCATAATTGAATCTTTTATATTTTTTAACTTACTTCTTGACTTAGACGATTTTTTGACAATTTGTTTTCCGTTTGGCTATTGCAAAAAAATTGTGTGCAACCTCGTCTAAGATACTATATAAAAAGAAAAAGATAATTGCAATAATTGAATAGGTTCATTTAAATACAAACATGAAAATTATCTGGTGGAGCCAGTCGTAGCGCACTTCGAATATTTTCAGGTGCACCAGCGCACAATCGATAGAAAATATGATAATTTCGTTCGTCTTTTGATTGAACACATATACGAGATTTTTCAAGTAGATAATGAGATATATATCCGCCGACAACACGATACTAAATAAAATAAAGAAATTTCATTGGCTTTCAACAACAACAACAACAACAACAAGAAAACGAGTTAATCACTTTTTCATTAAAATGAACTTCAATAAATTTACCAAAACGGCTTGAATTATTATTACGAGTTGTCTTTGCTAGAAAATTTAAGTTTTCGTAAGAAATGATAAAACAAAAACTATTTAATTACCATTGCCAAATGCTTCTAATAATGGATTAGCTAGACAAATATACAAGACGAGAAATAATATTAAACTAAATGAAATTTCTTCTTTGTTTTTACATTTATTTATACGATCTTCAATTTGACCACTATGAGAACCATATGATTCGGTTAAATATTGTAACACATATTTCGCAGATTCGGTTTTACCTAAACGAAAAGAAAATTGAAGAAAATCAATTACTCAATAAATTTATCTACGAACCAGCTCCTGATTCACCAGAAATAATGATTGATTGACTTTGTCGAGTTGTACGCATGTCACGATAAGATTTATCACCTTAAATATGTTATAACGTTTTTTAAGTGTTGTTCTTAGAAATAAGCAAAATGAGAATCACATGGATTAATACTACGGCAAATATTTTCAACAGTAAACTAATGTTAGAAAAGTGATCGTCGAAAGAAAGAAAAGTGAAGAATTTTTTTCTGAAGCAAGTATTGCAAAGAAATCGTTATCCGAAGAATGTTTGTGGTACTATAAAAAACAAATCTTTTTTTGATTGTGAAATGATGAAGTTTTTAGTAATATCTAATTCAGATTATGAGAAAATGTCTTGGAGAATAAGAAGCAATCAGCTCCCATAAAAATTCTAATTTGTGAGTTATTCTACATGTGGTTAGTACAGATTGCACACAGAAAAAGTAAAGCTTGATATTGTAATTATGATAAAGAACCGTGTCATTTAATAAACAGTCGATGCCTCATTGAAAAATTCATCAATAATCGTTTCCTGATACTATTTGATTTATCATTCATTGTTTACTGTAGAGACATACACATTACCTATTGGCTAGAAAAATTCACACACACACACACATATATATATATATATTATCACTTTTAAATACTATATTTAATGGTATATCTATATTTGAGTTCGGCGGTATTGATTACTTTTAGGTGTTGCATGTATTTCGATAAGTTTATCTTTTGTAAACAGCTTTTTTACTGTTTTGCATAAAATATTTCTTCCATAAATATTATGCATTTTTCATATTACGAAACTAACATTTTTTTTTTCTCATTAATATTCTGTATGCACCTGCCGCCTTTATTATGATGTAATACTATGATACTGCTGAACCTTATAGAATTTAGTCTTCTTTTTGCATTAGCTGAGGCCCTGATTCAATTCTAAATCGGATTGTGACCAATAGAGTACCTTCTATCAGATATATGATTTATAAAAATCTAATAATTTGAATGCAATGAAGATGCACCATACTTTCTATAATCATCCACTAAAATGTGACGTCCTCGAGCAGGAAGTCTTACATCAGCATGACCGTAAAAAGTAATTAACACCCTCTGGCTGAGCGCGAACTGTTGAACAAATCCTTTTGATTTTCTTAGCATGAGTTTTGAGAAACACTTCGGTCTATTAAAAATTTCACTGTCATATTCGATCCATAATACCTTTGAAGACCATGTATCTAATTTCGATTTCAATCAGATAACACTTTACAAATGCGAAAGGCATACTTATATTGAAAATTAAATTTACTATTTTGTTTTTCCTATTCAAAATAGTTCACATATCATAAGTGACCTATTCGTGAAATACATTTATTTTTAAAATCGAATGGGTTAATTAGAATAAAAAAAAACGTTTTCTGTTAGCTATTAGCAGGATAATCAAACCGATTATTGTTCTACAAAGATTAACTACATTGCTGGAAACTTCAGTGTAAATCACATTTTATGATTAAGAAAATAAATGTTCACCATGTTATTTCGAAGTGACACTTTGTGATTCATTCTACGTTTGTCGAAAGGTAAACATTTTGTGATTTCAATAGTGACTACCTTTCGATACTTTTATTAGCCATCATCTATATTTTACGACACTGTTAGATGTAAGAAATGACTAGCTTTCGATGAAAGTAGTTCAGTTATGAATATTGTTTTCTTTTCTTCAAATCTTTCAGAAGAATTTTATTGCTCAATTGACTTAATGATAAAAAATATACCATACCGATAGCAAATACATGGGGCGGCATGACTCCAAGTGATTTGCCATTAAATCGTGTCATGTTATCGACATTGTAAACACCACGTAGTTCTTTATACGGATTGATGGCGATTAAAATGTTAGCTACATAAGTCTATTAACGAAAGAAAATATAAAATAAATATAAATTTACACAAAAATTTATATTTCAATTACATAAATCATATCTTTTTTATAACGACGGCGAAGATTATTCAATAGCGTAGCTTCATTAAGATACATAAGCGCACCTTCAAAAACAAATCAATTGTAAAAATTTAAATCAATTTAAGAATCGCATATTTACAATTATCATCCGCATCTTTGTCATATTCTTCTGCTTGAAACACTGAATCGTATGGGACAACAAGCTTCTAAGAAATGGAAATAAAATAAACAAAAGTTATAAATTGAATTTGTTTTGGCAAACTTTTCCATTGTCGCTGGGTTGAACGGTCACATTATCGGAAGCAATATCGCTAATTTTTCCAATTATGAATCCGTGTTCGCTATCTCGGATCCACACTGGTTTGTTACCATTTAGTGTTATCATATTTCGGTGTAAAATAAATAGGTTTGAGTAAACGTCATCATACGCGCATACACGAACTACTTTTATTGGCTAAAAACAATGAACCAATCAAAAATGAATCGTTAATAGCATAATATTTATTTCGAAAAAAATAATTTTTATTGAAAAAATTAATCATTTTTGAATTCTTTTTCTTAAATTAAAATTTTATTGAAATACATCGTTTGTGGCGCTTGTTGTCATAATGCTGTGATCAATAGTCATACGGAATACATGAGCTGTTTCGCTTTATAGTAATATGATGGATGAAACTGACAATTCCAATGGTCAGGTATTTTTAGTAAATGGTCAAACGGTTGTCAGTTCATTAGAAGGAAATGGTAGATAATATATCTTGCTATGTCTTAGTCGATCTAGTCTTCTGTTTTTATTTTTTTAACAACAGAAACAATCGAATTGCCAAATACAAATGATGAAAATGATAATAATTCGGATTCCGGGATAAGCCCTAATGATAGTGAAGTTGAAGCACTAATATCTAATGGTAGGTTTCATAAGGGAAGAGACGAAATTTTTAAAAATAATACGTTTTCTGTTGTTTACAGGAACTGTTGTACGCTCTCGGAAAACAAAATTATCATCCGTATTTGATGATGATGCTGAAAAATGGTATATTGTCGGCAGTCAAGTTTTTCTTCCATTTATGATTGCTGGTTGTGGGATGGTCGCTGCTGGGCTTGTTCTTGAACGTGTTAAGGTATTGATTAGCTGATAGGGTGTGGGGGGTGGGTATTTATTATCATCGTACATAGTAGATATCAAAACTACTTTATAAATGAAAGATATTCATTCGTATTATTTCTTTTGTTGATAAGACTTTATCTATTATTTGAATGCAGTATCTGTGTTTAAAAAAATAGATCCTAGCAATTGAATTAGTACGAACCTCCTATTCGTCGACAATGAATCACGAGATTTTAGTGAACTTTTACCGTTTGTTTTGCAAGAGTATGACTGTCGTATAAATATGAGAAGTACTTTCGATGTTTTTGAAATGTAACTTATTGATGAATGTAATCAATGCTAATAGTTGTAATTTAAACTAAAAGAAATACTCGTATTGTCGACACTGTAGCAGACTCGGATCAACGCGTGGGAGGAATGCACTATTGAAAATATCTTTCGATCAACTTTAACTAGTCTACTGTTATTGGCCTTCTACTATGTACACATCAACTTTGTTTTCATCATCGAAAATGTAAAACATTGAGTGATTTCTTCTCTATAGAATCTAGAGTATTTCAAAATGCATGAAAAAGAATTAATTTTTTTGTCGATAAAATGCTTCAGGATTGGTTTAATCAAGCTGTTATTTGAGTAAATATCCAAGCACGCATAGCTATGCTTACCTAAGCTAAATATATTTGCTTTAAGAAAGAAGTGTTTCGAATTGTCTCTGATTACGAAAAAAAAACCACAGTTTGACGAAAACAAATTTGAGTCTACAAGCAAGAATTACTCTTACGGATTATTTTCGAATTGAATGATGTAAGAAAAATAGTGAAATCTGTTAAACTTTGCATCAATGGGAACTGTTTGAATAGGAAGTAAAGCTTTTCATGACATTTCGCCAGTTGCCTTAAGTAAATAATCAACATTCTTTAAAAAAGACACAGATAAGAGATGAGGACAAACTACTTATCGTATCAAGAATTTCCTAAAACTGCTTATCAATGGAATGCGAAGATGAAAATAATCTAAACTCATCAACCTATTGAACAATTCAACTAAAAACTAGCGTGTTTTCGATATGCTAAAAAAAGCTTTAGGTAATATAAATTCATCTCTAAAGAGTAATTCGAAGATTCTCTGGGCTGAAAAAAGCATTTATTTATTTTTTTTCATTTCTAGGAATTGAGCGTATTTAAAGAAATAACTGAAATTTACATACTTGTGCCAGCTCTACTTGGTTTAAAAGGAAATTTGGAAATGACATTAGCATCACGTCTATCTACACAAGTATGTTTCCGAAAATTGATTTAAAAAAAATTTAATGTGGAACTCACATGTGTTGCTTCAAAAGAATAATGCTTTTAATGTTCAATGGAAAATACTTTGTTCTTGTCGGAATTCACTTGTAAAAACCTTTCTTTCACATCGACAACAAGTATCGATGTTTATCTATTAGATTATGATCAAAAATTGTGTTCTTTTCTCTAAAATTTTAAGAAATGTTTCGAAATATTGCTTAAATTTTATGTTAGAGTCATTCCGTTGTTGTTCAAAAAACAACGATAGATTATGAAGGTTCCCACCACTATTGCGGAACTAAATTGATTTTCGTTCGTACTTGTAAAATTCTATTCACATATATCCTTAGTGAAATATTTGAGTTTCACAAACGACATTTTTCACTAGAAAAAAAACACACGATTTTCGTTATTTAGGCTAATATTGGAAATATGGATAAAAAATCTGAACTTAAAAGTATGATTGTTGGAAATATAGTTTTAACACAATTACAAGCTATTATTGTTGGGTTTTTGGCTGCTCTTGTCTCACTTGCGATGGGCTGGGTACCACAAGGAAATTTTAATATACGACATGCACTTGTTCTGTGTAGTAGTAGTGTTTCAACAGCATCCATTGCTTCGCTAGTATTAGGTTTGTAATAGATATATTGTCCATTTTGAGGGATTCATGAATTCGCTGTTATATCGAAAAGAATTTCTAGTCACTTGTACCTTGCGTTCAATTTTTATTTAACAATACACGTGTGGTGACCAATCGTAGAGTTTAGGTTCCGTCCACATGATGTGTCCTATGAATTGTTTTTATTTATCTTAAGGTGGCATCATGATTGGTGTGATTATCGGTTCACATAAATGTAAAATTAATCCAGATAATATTGCGACACCAATTGCAGCATCACTAGGAGATTTAACAACGCTTGCTGTTTTAGCTGGCATTGGCGGTTTTTTATTTAAAATCATTGGTAAGACTAGGATAGATTTGAAACGATTCGTTGAAACAAAATTTTTTGTTGACCTAGATAATTATACATGGTTACCTATCATGATAACAGTTATATTTTTAATTTTAACGCCCGTATGGATTGTAATTTCTTATCGCAATGCATATGTTAAAGATGTACTTATTCATGGATGGTAACTAAGCAGATTTCCAAGAATCTTTGTATTCTACGAGTCTTTCAATTTTTACAGGTCACCAGTTATAGCTGCAATGTTTATTTCAAGGTAAATAATTGTTGATTCAATATAAATCTAATTCATTTTCTTTTCAAATATATAGTGTGGGTGGTCTAATATTGGATTTTGCTGTTCAAACACTTCGCGGTGTTGCCGTATTTCAACCTGTTATGAATGGTAAATAGTTTTCTTTACTCATGAAATTTATTTCTATCGTAAGGAAAGTGAGCTCATCATGTTTGATATATGAGTAAAATACAAAGTAGAACTCCATGGAGAATATAGTAAATACGTGTGAACTGTAAATTGTAGTAATTCGAATTATTTATCATATAGAACTCAAATCTTCATCCTCTTCCAACTGCAATATTAATATTGTATGTCTATTTGTGTATAGGTGTTGGTGGTAATTTAGTAGCTGTTCACGCCAGTCGACTTTCCACTGCTCTTCATCAACATGGTAAACCGGGAGAATTTAAAGATACATCACATTATTATGCTGCAAAAATCTGTCCCAATCCATATAAAGTTTTTCTTTCCAACCGTATGCTTTTTCATATTTATTTTCTAGGAAAATTTTTAACTAATTGAACATAATTTCTAGAAAATAATGCATCAACAACGCGTGTTTTATTGCTGATGGCAATACCGGGTCATTTAGTGTTTGTTTCTATTATTTGGCGATCAGCAGCTGATCATCATGCATTTTCGTTTATTTTTGTACTCCTTTATCTTCTAGCAGCACTGATTCAAGTACGATTTGTTTTCGAGAAAATAAAAATGAAAATGAAACATATATCTTATCTTAAATAGGTTGCTATACTTCTCTATATCGCTCAATGGATGGTAGCTTTTGCATGGCGCCATGAACGTGATCCAGACAATGTGTGTATTCCATATTTGACAGCGATCGGCGATCTACTCGGCACTGCATTACTTACCTGTGTCTTTCTTTTATTGCCGTAATATTTTATTTTTTATTTGTATATAATATCAAAAATAAATATGAGACTATTTGTTATTATTATTATTGGTCGAAAATTTATTGTTTTTTCCTATAAATTGTGAAAAATTGTTTTTTCTTTTTTCTTTTTTTATTATAATATTTATCTGATTGTTTAAATAAGGATGATGGAAATAAATAAATAATTACAAAGTTGACAGAATATTTTGCATAGTTTGTTTTCTTTTTTGGTCAAAAAACTTGCTGTTCTATTCCTGCATTGAAATAGACAATTGATTATCAATGTGTTTATGAAAGAGCGAAGAAACCGATAGAACTAATATTTCTTTATTATTCTTATATTTTGTTTCGGCTGTTAAGACGCAGTAATTTTCAATTGTTCTTTTAGTATCCGACGCATTGCTTTTAATTCAATCACGGTCATTTGTATAGAAGTTTGCGAGATGAAAAAAATATACAGAATACAATCGAGTCTCGATTCGGTCAATTTTCAAAGATATTTGATTTCGATTTGACTTTTCCGATGCGAATTATAATCAAAATATATCGGTGGCATTTTAACTGGCTAGCCAAACGATTTTACATTTCTCTGTTAATCAATATTGGATCCAATTTTTACTCATGTACGACTGATATTATCTATGGCATGAATAATATCTATTCCAATTAGTGTTACTATTTATAGAAATATGATAATAGAACGCATTTACTAGAAAACGATTGCTTTAAAAGATGAATCAAAAATCTTAAAATAACAATGTATATTATTCATTACGAGTGCACTTATCGTGCTTTGGAGTAGCATTGAATTCGATAATAAAAACTGAATTATCTATTTGTTTTTCATTATTTATCTTCAGTATTTTAGCGTGTTAAAAATTATTTCTTTGGAGTGGATCTTTTAAAATGTGGCGGTTATGTATCTCAATTTTGATTTATAGTAACGAATATAGATGTATGATTGATAGCAAATGTTCTATCACAGTTGTAGTCATATTTCATTGCGAAAAGAAAATGACAGACTAGGGAGAAAGAACAGAGATTTTCTCGAATCGATACGCTTATATCGAGTATTTCTTTTTGTCGTTTTTTTTCTTTTTGACAACAATTATTATTTTGCTTATGTTTCGCTTAATGGTAAAACTACATTATATTTCTTATCACGATACCTTATCCGCTTTGATAAGTAGACTGCTTCATATGTATAATATATCTTTGATTATAAACAGTAGCATATAAGTATTCCCATTCGTATGTCAGACCGCTGGCGACCAGAACAGAACTGACAACAGAATAACGATCAGAAAGATCAAGTACATGTATACAAATTACTTCTAAAAAAACGGCAGATCTACTAGTATAACAAACAAGATAATCATGTTTAACCTTTGTTTTTTCGTTGTATTAAACATTATTTCAACAGTCGATATTGGTATGAGTAAAATTTATTTCGTCGAAATTTATATAAAACAAAAGAAAGTTTATTTTAGTATCATCAGTATCTTGTTATAAATGTTCTTCCGTCAATGGTAGTGATCCTCTATGCGAAGATTTCTTTCAAGATAGTCTGGGGGATACAGCGCCACTTCTGCACAGTCCATGTTTAACTACTATGCGTGGGCGGCACGGCCTTGTTCCGGCAACACATTGCATTAAATTAGTCGCTCATACCGGAGGTATCAATATGAATAATAATTATTTTGATTAGTATAAATATTTATTTTAATAGGACCTAATCCAGTTCAATATGTTTATCGTACATGTGGTAGAGACGAAGGTGATGATAATGGAATAACTCGTACGAGTCATTGTGGTTATATTAAACTTGATTGGATTAGTCAACATCGACGATTTCGCGGGTGTTTAGACATATGTGATAAAGATGCATGCAATCAAGCGAATTATCGTTCGGTTTCGAGATGGAAAATAATAATTTACTTTAATTTATTATTACTACTATTGTTTTAAATGTAAGATAGCAATGCCAATGTAATTTTCAAATGATATGTCTTTCTTTGAATACACATGAAGTGAGATAAATCTGTTTAAATTTTGTTTTTACTATTATTGATAATTCAGAAACGATATCAAATACAATAAAACAATCAAATTCATCTTAGATCATAACGATTCCGAACAGATGAGACATTCTTGGAATGAGAAAAACACATTCTTAATGATGAATGCGATAATAATAAATAGAATTGCGATTCTATCATATGTTTATTTTATTCTAGTCTAAGCTTTTGTACGTCGCCGATATTGTTCTAATTTCTTCAGAAGTATTCAATTACAATATGTGCATAGAATTAGATCCGAAGAATACGATCAGTAAAAAATGCATCGCAGTGATAACTTAGTCGTAGGAATAAAAGAACAAAATATAACAGTGTCAATTATAATCATCGGTCGTATAGGATTTTTAATTATCTGCTATCCATGTTAAAGTTTTTATCAAACACTCGCTAGAAATATAATATTGAACTACTGAGTTAGAAACATCGAGTCCGCGTCCGTTATAAACATCAAAGATAAGCTTTAAAAGAGTGGGCCATCACAGATTATCATAGACGTAGACATAGAAACGGCACAGATGTTCTTTGTTTTCACTAATGATTAAGTAAAAACAAATGACGGCGTTATATAGTTCAAAATAGATATAGTATCATAGTGCTCTTTTATAATTAGCAACACAAGTTATACATTTTCATACCATGGAGATTGCACTAGCAGTTTTTATGGATGTCTGGAACAAGTCATAGCGTGCACCTGAAATATCAACCAGAACAAGCACACACGGTGTCACTTGAGTAACGCTATAGTGTTATATGTGTATCGTTCCTAATCGAAAGCATACGATGTTCTATAGAACTTTCTTGGTAAATCGAGGATTCGTCGAATATCAAATGACTTTCCAAAAATTCAAGGTAGTTTTGTGAAACAAAAAGTGTACATTTTTTAAAGAAGCGTAAGAAATTTTTGCTGAAAGAGATTTAATTATTATCTTATGAATATTGGGTGAAGTTAAGAGTGACAATCAATGCATAGTACCTGTCATCTTTAGATGATGTCAGAAACGCACAAAGGAGACTTTGTGTTAATATCTCAGGTGAATAAATGTGCGCTGAATTGTTTTTAATATTAAATTCATTATATCGTGAGATCTAAAGCACGCAACTTTCTTGTGAATTGTCTGGCGATCGATCGAGTTTCGTGGATAAAAAAAAAAGAAAAGAAAGCATTAAATTACCCAAGAGAATTAAAATGCAGTCTTGTTAATTTTCAAATTTGAATAACAGAATTGTTTATGATATATATGCTTAGCACAATATGAATAGGTTTTTGTATTTAGGAAATCGTAGATGCTCTAATAGAGCAAGTTCTGAATTACAAATAGAATAGTTTTCAAAAAAATTGATATTTTCTTAACAATTACGCAGCTGAGAACAATTTTAATTCTTGCGTTTTGCTTAAACGATCCGTTTACCTTTTCCATTAGGTTTTCTATCCATTTTTAATTGACGTGAGTCAACCAGAGAACAAAACGTCGCCGAAAGGACTGCATCAAATGTAACAATTCACGACGATATAACGGAGTTCCCAATGTATATATATAAAAACTTGTACAATGATTGACATTACAAAGAAGAACAGCAGTTTTGATATACACTACTAATTGACGATTCGAATTGAATTGATGCGTATGAAGTAGCATAAGAATAGAAAATGGTAATGTACAAATAATTGTTGTTGTTACATACAAAAAAAGTATTTTAAGTAATTGATAGTTACGGTTGCAGCGGTGGTTTTTACTTGGTAATATAATTTTTAGATGATACTGTTTTTCTTGTTTTCTACGATAACAATGCAATAGTATTAATGTCCAACTGGAAAATATTGACATTAGTAGAGGTGGTAAAAGACAATAGAAGATTAAAATAAAATAGCCAAGAACGTGATAATAAGAAAAATTTCGAGCAAAACATTTCGAGCGATTAATATTATATTGAAATAATATATGACTATAAGCAAGAATTACCATAAGAACTGTAATTATTATTATTCGATGCGCTTTCGATGGAGTCGCAATTTTGCGTAACGAGCTATATTTCGATGTTCGACATAAACGATCAATACAAACCAAAACAATGTAATAGGGCGACATAGCATATAGAATAAACATTGCATATGTTCGAATTTTACAAAACCATACATATGTACCACTTGGATCCCAATGAAATTGATCATTCAACCATTGCGTTAATACAATTAAATATAATACAAGAATATCATTGATTGATAAAGCTCGCAAATAAACTGTACACGAAGCTTTTTTTATTAATTTTCTACGATGAAATAATATTTGATTTAGCAAAGCACCTATTGTACCGAATATAATTAATACGGGTTGGGTATAGCGACTTAATTGAACATAGATATTATCATTCATAATGGTAATTTTATTTCATTGCCGATCGTATGAATGGATATATGGGTCTTATTTTATTTTATGCTAGCCGGTTCAATGTGACTCTGTGTCATTGCATTGCATATTAGAGATTTTCATGTTAGAAAAGAAAAAAATTGGCAAAAGACATACATGAAGACTCCTTGTTAGTAGTAAAAAAAAGAAGAAGAGAGAAGACAATGACTAATGAGGACATTCGAAACGTGCCAGATTATTTGATGATATATATGCATGCATATTTGATTGAGTAATTCTTTTATTAGAAATCTACCATAGGATTAGTGTCAAATTGAAAATGAGCGAATTCATTTTATTTGTACCAATATATGTATAAATGCTATTTTGTTTTCGAGAACAAAAACACATCCGATAATTGACTTGTGCAATAGTTTTCTTTCGTGAAACAATCAAAATGCGCTACAACTAGTTCTGTTCAATCAGATACACCAAATTTGAGTTTTCATTTTAATATAGTTTTTAACTTTCTCGAAAGTCATTGCCAGAATTGCGATGCGTGCTTGTCCGCTGAAAAATAGATTATGCGGACGTCATTTATTTTCTGGTTGATGTAACGAATGCCAAAGTTCAAAGAACAGAGAAAAAAGTTTAATATCGAAAAAAAGGATTTCCTATTTCGTTAATCTACAAGTTTAATTGTCGCGTGCAGTCTATGCCGTTCCCTGTGGCAGATTATATAAAAATGCAAGGACGAAATACTCTTAATCATTCATTGAGATGAAGTACGATCAAATATATTTTCATCATCTTTTAAAATCGAAGTCACGCATGCTTTTCACTACGTACACAAAATAGGTCATATCGCTTTGACAATAGCTTTCAGGCAGGAAATAGATTTCTTTGATCTGTCTGAAACAAAATATCATTGTCTACAAATTGAAATTTTAAGAACAAATTATTCGTCATGTCTGACATCAATACTAAAATATATATCAGCTTTAAGCTGAACTAATTTATTTAATTAATTGATAGTAGGATTGCTAAGAAAGTAGTGATGGTAGACCCAACGAGAATAGCAAAACGAAAGTTTTTGATAATCCCTTAGTTTGACGAGAAACTAGAGTAGTGACTACAATTCTTTCGCAGAAACAACCTTAAATTTATCTTCTGACCTGTCAAGCTTTATTTTTAACAATTTTTGTTTGAAAAAAATTGATATAATTTCTCAAAAGTTAGAAGAACACAATTTTTAATTAAAAAAATCTAGTCTTTACTAAATATTCCTTTTTCGGTACGTAATTATTTAGAACAGAAATACGCACATTTGAAGAGATATTATAGGATCAAAAATCTCTCCAAGTACTGAGGGGCGTGACTACATTGTGTGACTTACAGACTGTCTGATAGTGACAGCCTTTGTAACTGTTTTGCGGTTGTTGCCGATGTCGCTCGTACTCACTTTTGATAGTGTCATGCACAGCATTGGTTTATTTAAAAAAAATATATTGCTACAAATTGATATGCTAAAAAATTCTTTTTCTACTTTTACAACAGATCTTCAACAGGTTCTTTACTATTATTATTATTATTATTATTATTAATGTCCAAGGCAGATGATTGTAAGTCAAATAGCAATTTTGCAGTAGACTTATGTTCTTTATTGTGTCGGTGAAGATCACGAAGAAATTTCATGAGCTTTTGACTTTTAACTAAAACTCCTGGGTGATCGTGTTTTTCTTTGACATGATAATACTCAAGTATAGAACCATTTTCACGTGGTATTGAATTATGACATTCAGGTATTTCATCAATAAGATATTCCACAAAGGTTCGACAATTATTGCATACAACATGATAATTCGGATGATTATTTACAAAACTATTTGCAGATTGAATGAGATTTTCATATGCTTGTGAAGATTTAATGTGACCCAGATATTCAATTCTTGCAATTTTTTTCGGTATTTCATTTAATTCAACAATATTTAATTTCATACTTTTCTTGATACCCTTTTTACTATCACCAACATCGATCTCAATTAAAACCAAAGGATGTTCATTCGTTGATGCTAATAAAAATGTATGACGAGCACGACCATCACCCCATAAGCAACGTTCAATCGTATGGCCTAAATAACCAATACGATCTTGCATTGGACGCCAACCAAGAAATAGATGCATGAAGAAAATAATATGATGCTTTCGACAGTTACTTAATTCAATAGCATAGCTATTATTTCTCTTGTTATTCTCTTCCCTTATATAGCATACCGAGTATGACTCAAAGTAAATATACGTCTTATACAACCGATAAAAACAAATCTTCGAGAGACATCACGCCATCATCGTATGCGTCAGCATGCATGATTTGTGTAACTGTACTTCTTTGAACTAGATGTACGCTTACGATAATCGTAACTGGTAAAAATGACGACAATTAATGTTCAAAAATGGATTCGTCTAAATATAGAATTTATTTTTTAATGTATATTCGTTACATAAATTTTCAATAAATCATTATTCAATCTAATCGTTAGATTTAATTTTCATCAATCAAGAAAATCGTTTATATTTTGAAAGGTAAGGTTTATTTAAATCTGCATCGTCGTTTGAAGAATTGCATGCCAATCAACTGAGTCATTACTACTACCGATAGGGAGAAGGTTTCAATAAATCCAGCTAGCATCGATGAGTCATGCGTCGGCCTACACTACTAAATCGTTAGCTATGTAGTTCTTTAATTCAATATAAGACCAATTGAAATACTATTTTTACAATTTAAGATTTTTCTTGATGAAAAATAAATTTATAGCATAATTCGTACGAAGACTATACTAATTCCTCACAAATGCTACATTACTATACATCAAAGAAATATTCAGAGATTTAATTACTGTAGGTGGAAAATTCAATCGATGATTATTGTAGAAGTAAATATGACACAACTAAATAGATAAATATTCTATAGATTTTTTCAATCATCGAGTTTGCAAATATTGATATTAACATTTTTCTTTGATGACAATTTTTACTATTCGAAAAATTCCATGGCATGATTCTTTTTTAAAGGGAAAAAATAGCAAGTCATCGGAAGATTTTCAATATTCATCATATTTATAGACTTCAAGCCTTGATCCCGATCTGTCAAATGCAAATAGAGCGGTCAATTAAAACATGGAATCCTTCGTTTATAATACAAGTAGCGTAATCATAGGTTTTATTTAGACCTTGAGAGCTAATATTCTTTAATTTCTCATTAGTCGAGTTCATCATGCCAACAGCTAAGACATTTTGGTGTACACTTTACGCAAGTTGGAAAAACCGAATGCAACGGTCTTGAATATATATTCATTACTCTAATTAACATGTTTCTTTTAGTTGTATTGAATCGGTGACTTTCAATTTAGAAATAATGATGGTAATATTTACAAAAAACATAATCTCCAAAGTCGCAAGACAAGAACGAAGCTTCTCTTCGTTGATAAACGAAAAAACTCCACATTTTTTTCTCCAGATAAAATGTGCGAAAATCAATTGGTTAAGAAAGAAAAGTCATTTACATTTTTACCGATGATTGGTCAATCAACATTATTCTCTCTACACACATATATATATATATGCACAATCGATAATGGTATTCATGGCCGAATGGTGGTAGCAAATGATAACACCTATGAAACAAGCGAAATATAAAGACATTCAAACAAATATGCATATCAGTCCGTGTCCGTAACATGCGAGACAATTCAAAATGTCTAGTTTTACTTCTCTATTACTCCGTCAGTTAAATTATCTTTTTCTTGATGTTTAATGCGCGTGAAACTCAGATTTCGCAGTTGAAAAATGAAAAAGAAATAAACAAACGTTATAGATTGTATATATTATTAACTAGAAAGTTAGGCATTGCAAATTTTTTCCTATAAAAATTTTTCTACAATCCGAATCGACTGTACCATTGATTGATATAGAATTTGATTTGACCGTCTAACTAGAAGCTGAAAACCCAAGAAAAAGGATAAACAATTTTTTCTGGCGCCTGTGTGCCATGCTGTCTAGTTCAAGACGCTTATTAACCGAAACGATGAATGGGACCACGATTCCTTCTATATCTTGTTCTCGTTCATCAATGGTAAACATCTATGGTCCACATGCTGTAACTTTTGAAGGTAAACTAAAAGTGACTCTCTTTTAATACTCGAGAATTTATAGAAGGACAAGGTCGAATTAATCAATTGGGTGGTGTATTTATCAATGGACGTCCATTGCCAAGCTCTCTTCGTATGAGGATTGTTGATATGGCTATTCAAGGTATTCGACCTTGTATGATTAGTCGACAGGTATTGATCAATTTGTTTCTCCGTTCTAAAATTTCACATTTTTCTGTTTTGATCCATTAAGTTACGTGTTTCACATGGATGTGTATCGAAGATTCTATCACGCTATGCTGAAACAGGTTCAATTGAGTCCGGCTCACCTAACACGGATTCAAAATTTAAAATTTTTCCAGCTAATATCGAACAGAAACTCAATGAATACAAAACGATGTACTCCAATAATCCAATGCTTATTGGGGAAATATGTGAACGGTTAATTCGTGATGGCGTTTGTACACAAGCATCATTACCAAGTGTGAATGTATTAACACGAATGCTACGTGGTAATCAGGAAGACCAGTCGTCTGTCGAAAACAGAAAAAATATAAATAAAATAATAAAAACTCGCCGATATCGAACTAGCTTTAATCAAGATCAAGTTCAAAGATTAGAACACACTTTTCAAGAAACACATTATCCTGATGTTCAAGTGAGAGAAAAATTATCAAGATGCATTGGCCTGAGCGAAGCACGTATTCAAGTATTAAAACGAGTATATTTTATTTTGTTCTTAGTGATAATTCTATCGTCTATAAAGGTATGGTTTTCAAATCGTCGAGCTCGTTCACGAAAGATAGCTTCTGCTCATCAACAACCGCCCGTGCGAACTAGTACTAGTTCATTAGAAATATCTAGTAGACCTATCGCGCGAAGTACTACACATATTCCGGAATCGTCGATGCCATTGCCTGATCTTCATTTCAATCCGAACTATTTATCTAGTAATAAAAATCTATCAAAAGTTACTACTGGCCCAACGTTTCGACCATTAAATGAATTCAATAATATTCTTATGAATGCTAATAATCCTGTTGACTTATTTCTTAATCAACAATCTTCACTTTATCCTCAACATACTAATGGTTCGTCGATTGAAGTTTTCTTCTATTAATAATCAAATTTCTCTTTTTTTGCTTTTCAACATTTAGACTATGAATACTTTCACCGATCAACAGCAACATTTCCATACTCATCGTCGAATATATCTGGACCCATATTCTCATCACAAGCTTCATCGTCATCATTTTATACACCAAATATGTTTGATGCTCGTAATATTTATTTATAAACTTTGTCAATAAAATATAAAGATTTGATGTCTATATCAAATGTGACATACCTATTTTATCAGTTTTTCGAGGAAGGCCTTTAAAAGTTAAACACATGTTTTTCTCGAAATAAAAATATTATATGAGTAGAAGCAAGCTTATTATAATCCATTTTAACCTTAAAATTCACATATATTCATAATTGTTTTTACTGCTTTTTACACTATGTTAGCTTGTATTTGCTTACAGCACCTATTAACATATGCACGTTTTTCTTTCGATATTTATTCTCGTTGTTTTCGTCGTACAGACAATAAAACAGCGAGTGTTTTTTAGAGTAATAGGCGTACAAGTAGTGATTTAAAAGAGAGAGAACAACAAAAAAAACTACATCTATTTATTACATTAATCTTCCTTTCGTCTGCAGTAGACTACTTAAAAATATTTACAGTAAAAAAAGTATGAGTCATTTCTACTGATTAAATAATAAGCAAACGTTTTTTTCCCACTGTTTAATAATATGATGCACTAGGCAAAAAAAAGAATATATCCTTGTTTTCAGCGAACGAAAACTTACTATGGTTAGTATATTTTTAATGAATCATATTTTCTATGCATACTTTATCTAGGATGAGAATATAGCAGAAGACGATGACCATGCCATCGATTATAATCGTCAATTTAGCAATAGTACTCCATGTAAGATAGTATTTTTTGTATTGTATTTTAATAGAAATGGCAGATTAATTGAGGTGCATTTATATTATAAGTAGCTGTCTAATTCGAGTTCGAATATAAATGGAGAAAAGAAAAAGTTAAACGAAAACTAAATCTATTCCTAGACTTAGTTTTAGTTTAACTTTCCGATATATGCGACATATGAATACATATACCGGGTGGGGCAAAAGTTTTGCGACATTTTTTCTCGTGCAAATATTCTGATACGCAAATAACACACGATTCTAAAGTTCTCATCAGCAGATACAGAATTCAATTCTCTACAAACTCATGTTAACTTCAATTTAAAACAATGAACGAATGTGGCTCATCCAATAGCAATTATTTCCTACTCAATCTTTTATATATTTTCAAGGTTCTTTTCAAATTCTAAGAATGCATCTAAGAAGCTCGATTTCTTGTAATTGGATTCCGCATCGTGAGCATTTTCAGGAATGCCTATAAGTGTTTGAGAATAATCTATGTGGGTATGAAAAAAAGTCACCTGAGTGAATATCTACAGCACAAATAGCTCTTTTCATAGGATTTTAATCTTTTTTAGCTGATTCACTTAAATAAAGTCTTATCTGAGCGTCTCATAACCAGACACATCAATTCTCTATTAAATTCTGATAAAATTAGGTCGACATTGCGAAAGCATTAGCATTGAGGATGAAAATGTCACTTTTTCAAAGAATTGACCTAGTGTCTAATCAGAGGAATGCGTTTTAGAAAACATTATATTGTTTGCAATCGATAGAGCTTTTCGAGTTGTGTCTAGCAGTGATTTATACTTTGAAAATTAAATATTTCTTAGCAGAAAATCGTGTTTTATTTGCGTATCAGAATATTTGCAAGAGAAAAAATGTCGCGAAACTTTTGCCCCACCCGGTATACCCTTCACCCGCACCTCGCACCCACGCCATCTTAAACTAAATCTATTTCTATCACTTATTTTCGAATTGATGCCATGCAGTTGGGTGTCCATTTATATTCGAATTCGAACTAGACATCTCATGTATATTATATAAATAGTTCCACCGAGATGTGAGAATGAAGTTGATGGTATTTTGGCATTGTCAAAATGTTTCAAAGAACGCTATGAAGATTGTCCTTTATTTTTCGAAGGCTCTCTTCAAAATGCATGTAAAGAAGCGTTTAGTTCGATCCCGATTCAAGAAGTTCGTTCAAATTGAATTTTTTCTTCAAATAAAATAGATCGATTTGCCCTATTTTAGCGTCGTCCAGTACTTGTTTACATACACAACGATGAAAGTGAACTTCGTAAAAAATTTTGTAAAGATACATTTTGTTCAGAAAAGATAATCAACTACTTACTTGAAAATTATATTGTTTGGCCTTGGGATATAACATTTCAGTGGAATAAGAATAAGTGAGTTATAAAAATAAAATTTAACTGTAAGGTTGGTTTTTCTTGGAATCAGATTAATAAAGTATTGGGAAGAAACATTTTCTACTGAGTTCTGGGATGAGTTTCTCATTGGAGAATGGCCATTGATGATTGGAATCATGCGACGATTCGAATTTAAAACAGACGCATTCATCACAGCTAAATATCAATTTAAATCACTACTCAAAACTGACGATTTAGTAGGCAAACAGAAACCAGCTATGTGTGAAATAGCTTTAAGTGAATTGAGCCATTTCAAAAAACTATGCGATGAAAACGAACAAGATCTAGTAAGTCTCTTTTTTGATCAAATGACTTCGACGTCAAAAAAATATTCATTTAAGTCATTTGATTTTTGTGGAACCACTGGCCTTTGTTGGGATATTATTCTTGAAATAGCCCAATATCTTTCATTAAATGACACAATCTCTGTATTTTCTACTAATATTCTTCCTTTATTCAATGATGGTTCGAAATTTCAATTATCAAATCCTAATATTCCATTTATTAAAATGATTCTTTCAAGAAGCGACCCAACAAAAATTGTTTCTTTAAAACTTGACGGAGATCGAATATGGTCAGAAAAAGAATTAACTCTTTTATCTAGCTTCAAAAAAGTTATATCAATGACTCTTTTAAATTTAACATACGACAAAAACATTTGTCAATATGGACAATATTTTCCTGAATTGACTTGTCTGTCTCTCTGCTACGATAATGAAATTAACTTAAGTGCATTTAGTAGTATATTTAATCAACTTTGGGAAAAAATTAGACGATTTGAAATTCGTTGTGCGGGCACACTCTGCACTCATTATGATTATGATATGTCTCAATTGGTGAAACTCTACAAATTTAATTTCAGTGTGAAATATTTTCTATTTGATATTGGCCAATTTCCATGGGCTTCGATGGATGCTTGTTATGACAATGACCCATCGTGTTGTTTGAAATCAATAACTTCTGTGATAAAAAAAATGTTTAATATTCAATACCTTCATTTCATCATCAACACATATGATATTGAGATATTTTTGAATATAAATCCATGGGAAAATCTCGTAAATGATTGTTTTCGATTGCAGAATATTAAAATTCAAACATCAGAGAGTATCGTTCAAAGCGAAGAATTGAAACGAAAAGTTTGCAATATTCAAACGGCTTTGCATGCTGTAAGACAAACAATTAAATTTCAAATTTGCACTTTGTGAAACATTCTCCTAGAAACTATTGTGACTATATAAGATCAAATCATTAAAATATGGATATATATGATTAATTTTTGAAATCTATCGATGGTCAATTTTGTTTTTCTGTACAAATAATTAATTTAGAAAAATACAGTCTATTTTTATCTTCAATCAATTTTGGTTTTAAGTCGGAAATTTGAAGAGAAAAAGGAAAAATCTCTTATTGGCAAAATGGAAATCGATGTTCTTTTCAGAACTCAGCAGCACATATCCTTGACACAACAAGCATCAAGTTAATATTTGCTTCTGTCTCTCTGTGAAAATAGTCTGTAGAAATACTAGATTAAAATATATCCCTATTTCTCCATTATGAATTGGAATGGAGTCGATCGAAGTAATTTTCTTTGCTTTTACATGCATGGTTGAGTGAAGTAACATAAATGTAAACTGACCTTCGATTTCTCTCCTAAGAGCTTGCTAAAATACAGATTATTTATATTTATTAGCAAACCAGCTTTGATGAGATTGGCAGATATTAGACAAACATTTGAGTTAGTACGAGATTCAGCGCTAATTGATTGAACTAACATGTGAGCGTTGTTACAATGTCTAGCACCTCTGCCATAGTGCCCTGAATCGCAGTCATATTATTTTTTTTTTCGACAACCACATGAGAAAATCATACATTTGAATGATAAATTTCAATACAGTTTACAGCAACACCAATGAGCATTACAAAATTTTCTTTGAGACATAGGATCAGGGACGTTTTTTCTCCTGTATTCGATATCTATAGAATTGATTGCCTGTGCATCGGCCTCAATGAAAGCATAGTTTCAGAACATTTTCTACACTAGACGCATTGATATTGCTATGCCTCTGGTCAGGTTTAATAATGACAACAGGGTATCTCTGTTCTAGTCAACGCCATATATGTGGCACGCCCAATAAAACTTGTTTTCTCAGTGAGTGAACTCGTCTCCCCTCATTTGAATGTTACCAGCATCACAATTTGTTTACATCAAAAGACCCTCTTGAATGCGCCCAAAATGCAACATCTGAGGAGTCCAAATGCATTTACTTTATCCAAAAACAAAATAAGGTGTATTGGAATCAAACCGAATAGTAACATGTTCAGACTAAAATACTATCATTAAAAATTAATCAAATTGAGCTTGATTGAATAGATTAATTATATGAGTCAGCACATGTATCAAAATTGATTGTAATCTGCCTATCTCTTATCAAAAATATTTATACTTATTGCCCAAAACCGTTTACCTTGTTCTACGTTGCTTCTAGAATTTTAATGATGCGTGCATGGTAAATTAAAGTTGCAAAGTCTTTTTTGTGTCTCACCGATTCTTTTCAAGACAAGCAAATAAATCCTATAAGTATGTTACTTTTATTTCCAACTACATTTTACCTGAATTTCGCAAGGATTTCATTAAAATAGGCTTGTTAACTTATCTTTTTTGTTTACTATAATGAAACACGGCTGGAAATAAAATTTCTTGATTCACACAATAAAGATAAATGAATTTTCTAAGCTGCCGATTATAAGAAAAAGATACTAGTGTCCGTCTCGGTTATGGTAATGGCTATTTTGTAAATGCAAGCAGATATTTAGTTGACTTTGCTTCATCGTTTATAGCTGTTGATGATTTTAGCAAAGATAATACGCTGGATATTGCTGTTACGAACAGTGATAGCAATGATTCGAGTGTTCTTCTTGGATACATAGATATCGGTTTTGTAAAACAAACCACAATTATATTGGGTAATCAATAACGATTTCAAAATGGATATTGCTATTACTAACTCGGGTTCTCATAGCATCAGGATTTTTCTCGGAAACTTAAATTTCTCTTTTATGAATAGTGCTATACATAGCTGTAAACGATTTCAATAAAGATATTCGACTAGATATTGTTGTTACTAATTATGGTTCTGAGAGTGTGAGCATTTTTCTCGGAAATGGTGATAGCTCTTTTACAGTTCAAACCACTTATTCAACTGGTGATAGTTCTTATCCATATTCTGTTGCTGTTGATGACTTTAACAATGACATCAATCTAGAAATAATCGTCGCAAACCAAGGCACATAGTTTGTGTATTTTTGGGACATGGCAATGGTGAATTTTCAATCATGAGAGAAAGTCCGATTTTGTCGTGGTCAATTATGGCACCGATAGTTTATCCATCGTTTCACAGAATTTTTAATTTCTTAGCTCCTAAGCTATCCTGTTCATGATCTAGTACACATATATTATTAATTAAAGTATAGCTATTTCGTATATCTCGAAGATATCTTTTCAATTTGGCAGCTTTGTCTATGAACATTATGAATCATAATGACGCTTTTGCAGAACTAACATACTTTGCAGGTGTATTGCACCGGATTTTTAACTCTGATTTTGCTTTCGTTTATAAGCTACTGAAGATTTTAATTATTTCTCTGAATATGATTCTAGTTTGGGAGAGCCGGAGTTACATTTTCTGATTTCAATTGCTTTCCGATGAATAATAAGTTATTTAATGAGTTTATTTAACTTATTGTGAGCTGTTACAATCAAGGGTGGAAAACTCGTTTGAGCATTTCTTGGCATTTCGACCCATTCCTAGTCATTCGAGTGACTCTGAATGAGTCCCCCTCCCCTTGGAAATACATTTCTTTTGAAAAGACTGAAGTCTACAAATAATACAACCGCCCTTCTCTGCGAATTCCTAAACTAATATGAGTGAATCGGCAAGCTAGTTGGGTATGCAACTTAACAGTAACCCAAACACTTTTTTGAATGCATTCTAAATGATTAGATGTAACTTCAATTCTTCATAGAATCTGCATGAAAAAACTATGAGTGTACAGTGAGTCAACGTAATTCAAGTTAGGAGATGTTAACGAACTGATTACTGTGAGACGCCACTTTTGAGTGTCACCTCTACGTCTCATCGCAAAGTGAATGAGAGCTCCTGTTCTTTGATTTCATTTATATTTAAAATGATAAAACAAGCAGATTCTGGATGTGTCTTTTGAATTATTTCAAATCTGTCGGCAACAACGCTGCGAGTCAGAATATACCTCTATGAAAGTGATGAAATTACCTTTCACATTGAGTCATATAAAGACAAGTGTTGTCATAGTTTTTCCCCCAGTAGTGATAAAGAGAAAGAAATAATACTCGAAAATATATGAATCATGAAAAAAGGCTCTTATTTTCGCCTACCCAGACATATATATATATATGAAGAGCAAAATAGAGATGCGAAGTAAAGCTAATCGTCAGTAAATTGAGAAGGCTGCTGATGACTCATTTATGGTTTTATGAAAAGTTGGAATTCTGCATTGAACTGCTGAAAGATGTTGGGAAAAATTATCGAGAGTGCTGCCTTTTTCTAATTGTTTTGTCGCAGAAACAACTGATACTTGAATACTTCTTGTTGGTTGCACGATCAAGAAGGAAGATAAGAATTTGTTTTTTAAAGAACTATTAGCTAGTCTGATATTTTTGCTGATACTTCAATTGGAGTCATGTGAATGTTTTGATGACAACATATAACAGAAATCGAGAGAGAGAGAGAGAGAGAGAGAAACAAAAACAACAAAAATAATGCCTCTTTCAGACGAACAACTTTATAAAAAAAAAGGGAGTCATGATTGTGAGTGCGGAGAACAAGGAAAAGGTTGCGCAAGTTGGAAAAAGCCATACGACGACGCCATAGGTTTGCCAGTCTGCCGTCTTTCGTCACGTCATTTTTTTTTGTCGCATTATACCTTTATATACCTTCTCTTGTTTTGTTTTTCAACAAAAAGCGTTATTTTTCTGCTTGCAAAATTCTCATCGTTCGATGTATGCTATGTGGTTTCTTTTTTTTAGATATTCATTCTTGTACTTGTTGTTATAAATCGATCATACAAAAACAAATATTCAAACGAATAGATATATTTTCAATGGATATTTATCATTCATTTGAGTCATTGGGATTAGACGATGGAGGTTTGTGATTGAAACAAACTCTATTTGTATTGAATTGATATTCTCATTTTCTTTTTCAGGCATCACTGCACTCGATGCGACCTCCTTAATTTCAATGCCCAATCTAGTAGATTTCTCTTGGACAGACGAAGAGACGTTTGAAAATCCCACGATGGAGCAGTCAATGATATGGACCGAATCGATGGGAGATCATGTCCCGATTGTTTTGCAACAAGAGGTGTTTCAGAATGCAGAAACTAATTTACATGGTAAATTTTGCAAATATATTAGTTGATTTAACTCTCATTCTTATTTGTATTTTCTTATTGATATAGAAGAAAACTACAGTCAAGAACAATGGCAACCAAACAATATCGGTGAAGATCCCACAGAAGAAACTGATGGTTTGTCTCAATGGATAACTTATTTTTGTAATTAATATATCTCTGTTCTTTCAGCATTGTACCAATGTCCTCACCAATCAATACTTCAACAACAAGTACTTATGCAGCCAACAGACAAAGCTGGGCAGATCAACGTTAATGTTGCCAATAATCAAATATCATATGGATCGACAGTGGTTGAAGAATATCCTACCAATGAGAAGAAATCTACAAAATTAGTTAAGTCAGTGGTAGGGATTTTTACATTAATCATCAATAATCGGACAACATTTTGATTCGTGTTCAATTGAAATAGGATGCGTCATCGACAATCACTTTTGCCGAATGTAGTCAGTTATTAGTAACATTTGATGAAGCATCTATGGCAGTATCAGTCCCCCCATGTCCATATCAACGTGCTCGATATGAAGGTGAATGCTCGGGTGCTAATCGATATATTTTCGTACCTTGGAATCAGATTTTTACGATCACTGTGAGTCATCATTCCTCTGAAAAATATTTATCTATAACTTTCTACGATGAATTTATCTAGATTCCAGATCTTCGTCTTGTTTTGGCAGCAAACTTCACTGTGCAATTGCGTATCACTCGTACCACAGTACAACATGGCACAAGTGGCCTCACTTCGCTTCATCCTTATCCGATATGGATAAATAATGACGACGCGAAAGCTCATAATGGCTCATTATTTGTTCCAGTCACTGAACAAAATATGAAAAATGGTTATCTCCAGTACGTCGAGTTACTTCAATTTTCTTCTTAACTGATAATCTTTTTTGATTATCTAGCATCAACAATCTTGCCCTGCTTCGACTCAAACAACCTGATCTGGCAAAAATTACAGCATTAGCCGTTTATTCACCGACACAGCTATCGTTCTCAGGTAAGAATAAAATTCTGCACACTGTTGATCAATTAAATCATTAAATCATTTTTAGATCTACATTCGACAGGAACGAACGGGGGTAAGAAAATAAGAGATGAATATGATCTGCAACGGTCAATGTTAGTGTTTCAATTGTTTCTTGTCTATGAGCATAACATGGCATATTGCACAGATGTTATTTGCAAGACAGATATAATTCAGGAATATGAGGGTATATTTTGGTTATCATCAATATAAAAGTGAACAAGAACAAGTGTTATTACGTCTATTTTAGCGAAAGAAATGAGCAAGTTGAGACCAATTTTGGACAGTTATGGTGCTCCACAACGGTCAAGAAGTCCGATGAAGCACAAAAGAATCGGTCGACAAAAGAAATCGCGAGGGGTAAGTTTATTTTATAGACGAAATTGAGTATCAATGATTGATTTCTATTATCTATAGACATCTTCGAAAAAGAGTCGAGGTGTAGCCAAACGGTGAACAAATGCCTGAAGGGGCTCATCCGTAAACTTTATTAATCAAGAATCTTGCTTAATAAAATTAATTCATTCTATTTTTTTTCTTGTATCGACACACATGCTTTATGTGAGCTTGATTCAATTGTTTATCTTCTACATATTATTCGAGAATATTTCTTTGTTTTTACTGTCCGAGTGTACGTTTTGTTTTCTTGAATGTAATAAAAGTATATTATCAAAAAAATGTAGTTGGGTGATACAGTGCTGATGATTGATGGTTGAAAACGATGTTGCTTAAGGGGGTGTGTATCAAAATGAGCGAAAGAAATAATATCGAAGGAAAAAAAAGCGACAGCATTTAGAGCGAAATATAAAATCCCGAAAAAATTTATTTTAATATTTTTAGACTGCTAAGATGAAGATTTTTTATTTTCTGATAAAACTTTAAGTACACCAAAAAATGAAATGAATGAAGTGTCATCTAATAATTGATCAGCATCGATTTCAAAAAAGCTTTCCGTATATTCGTATACGTATATACATATTGTATCCATTTCTTTCGCAAATGCAATATTCCCTAGACTGAAAGGATAGGGTCTAGAAACCGTAATTCACCTGTGTCTGTCTGTCTGTAACACTGGCACAAATGACCGTTTCTATGCCACAAACGACCATTTTAATGACACAAAGGGCATTGTTACGGCATAAACCATGAGTGAATTCATGACATGATCACGTGAAACAGTCCGCTCTGGAGATGGGGTCAGCGAATGGGCGAGCTGATCCCCCTACGGAACTTTGAGCTAACCATCACGAAATTTCTGAACCCTGTATTTTTGTGGCTAGGTAAGACTCAACCTCTCCGCCGCCTTAAGGGTCTTTGAGTCCCATTCTGTCCGTGTTTCGTCTTCACGTTTAGTGCTTTTACTTGAAACCTTTAATTTTCGTCTAATTCTTACTTCAGTTTCACTTATTCCCACCCCCTTTACAGGTCTGTTTAAAAAGATCACCACCAGCTGCTGACACAAACAACCGATTTTCTGTCCTGTCCATGCATTTCTTCTCCTCAGCGCTGACAGTCTAGGGTCCAGTGAATCGACTTTTGATGTCGATGAACGTTACTTGTGGCTCAAAAGCAATAAATGTATCAGTTGACTGAATAGTTTTTTCACGAAATGGATCTTTCAATCATACTGATAAAATTGTTATTATTTACTTTTGATTTATGAAAAGTGTTGCTCTGGCAGATCGTTGTTTCCAACAATCCGCACAATTTCGTCATTGCAACATGTATTTGATCAGTAAAGATCTTTTTTTTCTTCTAATTATGAAGCTTTTTGAATACTTTATTTTATCCATAAATAATCATAACTACGAACACTGTTTATTTAGTAGTGCATACAAAAATAGGATAACATGAATAAAATATGAACACTAAACAAAAAGGAAATGCACAACAACCTTATGAATATAGCTAGTGTAATGGAAATAAAAATATGAAAAAGATCTAATGTTGATCTGTTGATGCAGTAACATTTCCACCATGACCACACTGAAAAAAAAATCCGTGTAATGATATAATCCTGTACTGTTATTTTTTGTCGATAAACTCTTGAAGGGTTTATGCTTGTGTGATCAATCCTTTAAAGGTTTTTTGAATATGGCGTTCATCAACCATAGGGTATATGAAAATTCAGCGGGTACATTAAAGTTATGAAAGAGTTTTTAAGATGGTATTGCAAACGAACCGTATGTTGCTGAACGATTAACCAATTATCACAATATGGCTTTGAGATTAGCGTTTATCATGATACGGTATGAGATTTATGATTTTATTTTTTCTTTTGAAAGAGTTTATCACTCTACTAATTAAGGTTTATCTTTCTTCCCTTTATTGATCATTATATCATTCTACGGGTAAGGGTTGATTCTTCTCTCCATTGCGTTACAAGGTATATCATCCGACCGAGAAAACTAATCTTGGCGTCGTTCACTTTGTAAGGTTTATCACTGCACGGTTAAAGATTGATTTACCTCCTTCAGCCTACACAGGGTTTATCATTATACGGATAGTGATTGATGACTTTCCATCCTCCTGAGAAGGGTTTATCACAATGTGGATGAGGGTTGATCTACCTCCTTCAGTCTACAAAGGGTTTATCATTATACGGATAGTGATTGATGACTTTCCGTCCTCCTGAAAAGGGTTCATCACCATGCGGATGAGAGTTGATCTACCTCCTTCAGTCTACAAAGGGTTTATCATTATACGGATAGTGATTGATAACTTTCCGTCCTCCTGAGAAGGGTTCATCACAATGCGTATGAGGGTTGATCACCTTCCACCTTTCTACGAAGTGTTAATCAGTGCACGTATATAAGGTTTGATTCTTCCACCTTGTTGCAAAGATTTTATCAAAGTATTCTTCTAAGATATTTTTTTTTTATTCTGAAGAATCTATTATTGGTGACTCAGTATTGATTAATTCCTGATTTATGATAGAAAGAAAATTTTATCAGCAATGCAAAATACATAGTAAAATGATACGGTCGAAACTATATATTAACGATGAATAAAACATTGCGGAAAAGGTGCGTGATAAAATATGTACCAAAGTTCTTTTTATGTTTGACATACCTTTAGTGAAACTATTGAATTTTTCATTTGTTGTACGTTTCTAAGTGCTAAAAGAAGATATCACCACCTATCGAACATTTTTGTTATTAGATGAAATATTCATGCCTGATATAATGGACGGACTATGCAATCGAGGACGAAAACAATTAACAATAATCTTGTATTTTTGTATATCATTCATACGATGATAATGATCCTTTCTTTGGATACTTGTAAACTACTTTTTTTGTTATTTTAGATAAATTAATTATTTAGTATGAATTGGTCTTCTGGACAAGTTATTACTTGGTGCAAATCATTCATTAATGATGAATCAATCTTATCGAGATTTGAAGGTCAGTCTATTCTAATTTATTACACAACAGCATGTTTATCTTTGTCAAATGAAAGCTCGTTTTGTGTTTGTGTGAAGAAATAGATCATCATTATGGATGCTAGAAGTTTTTATTATTAGCATTTATAGTTCGGTTAGTCACCTTCGTCCGTTTTTTTAAACAAAGTAGACGCGTACGTTCGTGTGAACGAAAAGAATTGAATATTGTTTATATTTTTCCGATCCAATCATTTTTCAATCACGTTTTTCTTATTCGTCGATTCGCTTTTAATTTGTAAACAAACAAGATTCCGTATTTTTTATTATTACAGAAAATCACTCATTTTATTTTGATCTTTCTCCTTTATCAAAGTCATAATGTCGCCATTCAGTTGTCCACTTTGTGTATCGAATCGGTGTTTCGGCAGTTTTGCCAAAATGTTCCAACATATAACATTGTATCATCAGCACGAGCCAAATTTCAATATCACATGCGACTTACATAATGCATGTGGAGTTTTGTACAGAAATTATTCTGCTTATAAAGCTCATGTCTATCGACGACACGCATCTGAAGTTCTGTTGAAAAACAAACCGAATAATACTTCAAATGTTACTCCTAATGAAAGTCAACAGCAAGAAAGTATGAATAATCTATTTATGGAATTAGGTACAATCAACGATTGTGATAATACATGTGATCCTGCTAATGATGATATTGAAGCAATTCTTATAGATGATGATTGCGAAACGAATATTTGTAATCCTGAATTGTTTTTTGATTCCATTAACGCCGACGAAAGCTTTTCTGAATTTTTGTTGATTATGAAACGATCGTACTTGCAGTTTATTTTGGAATTACGTGAAGAATATTTACTGCCGCAAGGTGTTACAAATATCATTTCCACGTACATTGTAACGCTTTTTCGTCATTTAGAAATTTTATTGAATAAAAAAGCATTTATTCCATCTACAAATATTTATTCATCTTCAACGTCGTTACCAGAACAAAACAAGAAAATAATTGAAATTTATCAACTGCACGAAATATTCAATGATTTATCAAATATGATCGAATCGATTTCTAAAAATAATTATCAATTTATTAAAAGTTGTGAGAAATATTTCGATTTTAATTTACCTGAACAAGTTGTGTTATCATCACCTAATGAACCTATCGAATCAGCTTATTTTATTCCGATTGATCGAACATTGTCATTGATGTTAAAATCTCAACGACTTCCTTTAGAAATCTCGGAAAATATTCAACAACAACGAATCAGCGCAGAAAATGATTCGGATCTAATGTATTCAATAAGAGATGCGCATTATGGTAATCGTTTCGATGAAGATAGCTTTTTAATCCAGTTGTATTTGGATGACATTGGTCTTACTAATCCGATTGGTGCGAAACGCGACAAACATAAAATGACTATGATATATTTTTCTCTGGAGGATGTACCAGATAAATATCGATCGAAACTCGATTTCATTCAGTTAGTTGCTGTTTGTGAGAGCAAACATCTCAAAGTAAATATTTTAATGATAAACTCGAATATATACTGACAGAGTTGGGATTTAGAATTTTTTTCTTGTTATTATTGATGCAATATAAGAATATGTTAGTTTTTTTATTTCTTTATGAACGCTAACTAAAATCTTAGCTAAACTTGAGATATTTTATTCAAGAAAGAACAGAACATCAATACGATTTTGTAATATCTAATATTTTTCTTATTTGAGAACGATGTTAAAGCTCGCCGCTTCTTCGCGCCGATTATTGAAAATTTAAACAAGTTGCAATTGCATGGTATTTCAATTCATGGCGTTCATCTTACGTTTTCTTTCTCTACCGTTGTTGCTAACAATCTAGCATCCCATTTTATAGGTGCATTTCAATCTTGCTTCAATGGTGGTCATTTTTGCCGAAGGTGTTATATTACATATTCAGAGAAGAATTTGCCAATTCCATTATCGAAAATTCAGACTCGATCAATGATTGATCACGATGATCTTGTTGATAAGATCATCAATGATCCTAATAGAATACCTTTGAAAGGTGTTATTGGACCTAGTCCTTTGCTAGAGTTGATTGGTTTTCATGCAACAACATCATTACCTCGAGATCTCATGCATGATTTCATTGAAGGAATCTGCCCAGTGATTATAATTTCTTTACTCAAACAAGCGTCTTCATTGCGAATTTTAACATACAGTGAGAATATTTTTGTTATCTTTATAATCTTCATATTTAGAGTTTTTGTTTAATTAGATAGTCATACAATTTTCACATACTATGAGGGAAGCGTTCCTCTAAATTAGATTTATTTTTTCGCTGGTTTTCAATTTTTATTATTGTTGAAATTATCGAATTGTTAGAAATCAAAGCAATCTTAATAAAAACATAATATTCGATTTTTCATAAGTTAGATGTAGGAGAATTAATTTCATTAAATGAAATACAGCATTAATTAGGTTCTTTTTTTAATTCTATAAACAATAGCGACTTTTTTTTAAATCGTAGTAAAACTACTTGGTATTATTCTTTCGAATAATTCGTTTCTTATGCATTCATTGATTTGTATTTTTCACATGTTAAGTGCGCATACAAGAACGTATGGAAAACTTTCAATATGGAAAATTTGATTCCAGCAATCAACCGCCACCACTACTTGTAAAACACCTTCAAAACGATCATATGGTTGCCACAGCCGCTCAAAAATTATGTTTTTTCAAGCTTTTCCCTATAATTTTTAATGATACAGTTGATCTTTTACCTTCATTTATAGTATACAAAGTACTACGAGAAATACTTGATCTTATATTGTCTTATCCATTTCGAAAAAAATGGTTGTATATACTTGGTGAATTATGTGATACTTTCCACGAAACAATGCTAAGTCATTTTCCGGAAAAAATAACGCCAAAGGGTCATTTCATTCGCGAGTATAAATACATGATAAATGATTTTGGTCCAGCAGTTCGACAATGGTGTTTTCGATATGAAGCCAACCATTCCTACTTCAAGAAAATCACGGCCCGAACGAATAATTTTAAAAACATTGCGAAGATGCTTGTTACACGTTATCATTTAAAGCAATGTTTGACATTTGGTCATTTATCTCAATTACAATCAAATAAATATTCAGTTGGAATAAAAAAAGCTCGAAGTACTTGCTTCGATTCAGCAATGAAAGTTATCCTACTGAAACATTTCGATCATGCTGACTTTGACACAGATTTTTATCAATGCAAAACGTTAGTTTATGATAATGTTGAATATCGCCGATGTGGAGTGCATATTATAGATTTAAAACCATCTCATGAGCAACCGATATTTGGTCAAATTGCTATGATTATAAAAAAGAATGAAAAATGGTGGTTATTAATTGATGTTCTTGATACCATTTGTTATGATGAAAAATTGTTTGCTTGGCAAATACAATCTACAGCTCGATACTCTTTGATTGATCCTAATAATTTAGTATATTATCACAAAGGACTGGATATTTACATGGTGAACAACTTGAGTTTTGTCTCATTTATATCACGTCTAACATTACATTAACCATAACATGAACATTTAATGTTTTGAACGCTTATTCTCATATAGATTTTATTATGGCTTCATTTTAAAACTTTCATTAATCTTTTTTTATTTATAATCTGCACGTGTCTGATAGTATAAGATTTTATTCAATGACTGCATGGTCCCTTTATGAATACGCATTGTGATTAATGAAGGCATTGGTTATGATTCATGACCAATGAGACTTTATATGATTTAATATTGTATTTGCGTTTTGAAATATCATATCCTTATGTTATAGCTATAAGACTCTTGCACATTGCACGTTTTTTTTATATAACAACGCATACTAACCCAGCTTTCTAACTGTTTCAACTATCTTTTTTTTCAAAAAAAACACGTTTTTAGTCTTTTCCTTATATTTATATATAGGTTATTATTTGTTTTCTAGAACATGATGTAGATGGTCCAACGCTCAAGATGCTGAATAATGTTGAACGAATATCACTGTTAATACCGAAACTGAAACAACAGTTACTTTTCTTAGAAGAACGTGAGAAATTATTTCGAAAAGTTGATGACGGTTCAGTTTCGTGTGATGGTTCGATTTCATATGATGGTTCAATTTCAAGTTATGGTTCAATTTCATGTGATGATTCAGTTTCATGTGATGGTTCATTAATTAATACATCTACAATACCTAAAGCACCAATTTTTACTGCAACAAATGCTCAAACAACACCTGCTGTTTCAGTTAATTCGAAATCACAATCTTCAATTTCTCTGTCAACTCCAAATCTTTCATCAAGAATGTCTATGAATAATTTAACAACTGGTCAAGTTATTACTGTTGCAGATACTTCTTCATCTTTTCCAGATGTATATGAAGTACCAATATTACCAAAAGCTTTATTAAAAGATATTGAATCTGGAAATCTCAAAAGTTTTGGTCCACATTGTCAAAGTCGGCAAATACTAATCGATGCAGTAGTTCACGATCTGATTGAAAATTATAATTTACTGTAAGTTATTTCTACAGTGAAATATATATAGTTGTCATGTTCTTGTATATTTGATCAATCGATCTTTTGTACCCTTTTTCGATAGTTTTTCTTTTAAAATGCAAAAAATTAACTTTCTTTTTATTAATTACGTTGTTAAAATTTATATTTCAACAAATATGAGAAACGAAACCGTTAACTCAAACAGTTTTTGTTGAAATATCTCAAATGATAAGATGAGATTTCTCTCGGTCATAAAATTGTTAATTATCGACAGTTTTAACGCTTGCTCAATTTTTTATTCACGTTTCAAACATTGACTATAGTCCAAGATTGAACAATTAATATAAAACTTCTGTTTTTTCTTTGAAAAAGCTTTTTAAATTAATGTGGAATTTCGCATTCATTTTTATTGTTCATTTTTTAGCTATCTATCAAAAACACAATATAATATCGTTGGTTCTGCTCTTGTACGATGTTTGAAATTACCTTCAACACCAGAAAATCTAGTAAGTTCATTTATCAATTAGAAAAACATATCATGTTTTAATTTTCAGACGATTTGGAAAGATGCTTTACAAACTAAATTAAAACGTACACGTGCTGATTATCCAAATAGCAGTCTTGTTCAAGTATTTCGATTTAAATATTCCAAGGTGGGATCTGGACGTCCAGTCAAACAAAAAATTGGCGAAATTGTTGAACGTGATAGACATAAACAGGTAACTAATAATTAAATATTACTTATAATTTCATTGTTTCTTCTAGATGGTAATAATGCCATATAGCAACGAGCTGTCTGATGAAATTCAAACTAAAGTGGTACAATTACAAAATTTTTCTGAACTTGAAGTAAGTACGCAATTACGGTTATGGAAAGAAACATTTATCTTTCGTCGACAAGTCGTACGAGATCAATCAACAAGTGATATAATAAAGAATTTTCCTGCTTATAGTAATCCTTTTTTGGTAAATTGGTTTCTCAAGATTATCTTCTTTGCATTAAACATTTGTTTTCTATTATAGATTTTCGAAGAAGTAAAGATGTTGATGAACATTGACTTAAGTAAAGAAGTTCGACAACAAGTTCCTATTTTACTAGATAAATTAGTCGAAACTCCTGCATTCATTGCCGGTAAATAAAATAAATGATAAACGTTCATGAATAAACAATTATTGATTTTAGATTCATCTCCTATTCGATTAATTAAAATCTTATGTCGAAAATTCGGCGAGACTGTTCAACATGTATTCTGCGAAAACGTAAGTTTGTCTTTAATATGTTCAAATTTTTACTTAAAAACAGATAAAAATTTATTTGAATTTATCTCAGTGAATAAACGATTGACTTAAGTAATTAAAGAGAAATAAAGGATATTTAAAGTTCCAGTTTTTAAGAAAGACCTTTATCTTATTCGATGTTCTATCGTCTTTAATATCGCAAAGATTTATTTAAAGTTGTAATTTTTCTCAAGTGTTGACTAAAGTTATTAGATGTCTTTAAAACATATTGACACCAGACAGTGATGTATCATGGCATGCCTTTTGTTTTTGTTAGTGCAAATCAAAAAAAATTATCTTTATAGGAACCACCAACGCCTTATCCAACATTGGTCTCGATTGATGGTATCATTCATATTTACGTTGACTTTCATCCGATCGTTTCAACTAGTTCACCAGATGATGCTCTTGGTCTTCTTATCGCAATGTATTCTATTTTTGAATTATCATTTGATAAAAAGAGCAGAACCAGCCGATTTTTATATTGTGTTTTATATGGTTGTAAACAATTTATATCAAATTCAATTCGAGTATTGATAAAGGAAAAGAATATTGATATTCATTGTGAACGTCTTCAACTGCCATCTATCTCGTCCTATTCAATCTCGAACAATACCACAACACCTACTAGTGAATCTCAAAATCAGTTACAAATTGTTACAAACGTATTGGATTCTTCCATTGATAATCGTGATTCTTTTATAATAAGTCAAACAACAGAACCAACAACTTCAACTGATAGTTCTCGTTCAAGTGCAGATATGGCTTTTGATACAAATGAGTGAGTTATATCTTTCTAAATCATATATTTCTTAAACATTTATTTCTCTTATAGATGCAACGAGAACCTGTCACCGTCTGATTGTAATTCTCAACTTCAAACAAGAAAGAAACGAAAACGTAAACAAAACTTAAATGAAGAAGAACATGATGATACATTGATGAGAAATGTTCCAAAAGAAAATACTGAGTCTTCTCTAAGTCGTGTTCCACTTGCTAGTATGACAAATTCAAGTGTTACAATACGACAAACAAAACGTAAACGACGGACTTGATCTAAATGTCTTATATGTTAAAGTATAGCCGATCAAATAACATTTCTCATTCTTTCTTCTTCTCAAACAACATTGTTTCACACATGATCCGTTTCTTTCGTTATTTTTATTCTTTGTTTTTTTTAATGGATGCCAAATAAAATAAAAGCTAGGAGTAACAGAACAATTAAATATAATATTGCCAATATTTATCGAATTAGAGAAAAAAAATTATAAAACATGAACGAAAAAATCTTAGAAGCATTTCTACATTCTTTTTTTCTTCTTGAACATTGTTTTTCTCGTCAAAATAATACAATCACTATCAAATGTTCAATAACCTGATAGGTAAGCATCGCCAAGACAATATTTTTCTTTAATAAATTGTTAGGTTGTACGATACGTAATTTCATCGAATAATCATCCACAAAAAACCTTAAATATAAGTTTTTGATTTTCTTTGTTATCATTTTATTTAGTATTTAGTATTTACATTTAATTCAAGAAATATCACTAACTGAATAACATAATGTTGATATTCATTTTTGTCAATTTTATTATCCTTTTTGTGCATATCATATCCATTCAATTCTCATTTAATCAAAACATAGATACGCATATTCATTCTTGGTTTCTTTCCACTTTTTTCACTTAGTTTTCATTTCGATTTCAATTTATTGAACAAAGTAACAAATTAATTCAAGATTATTCCCTATAAACTACAACTAAAATGAGCGTATGGCGAAACGTTATTTTCCTTCAATATGAAATAATGAACAACACAGTAAGTAAAAAATCTTCGATTTTTTTTCTTTTGCCTTTATATTTATTTAGTCAGTTCAAACAACAACATTCATACATCTCTGCGGTATACTTTCATTGTGATTTTCTGTATATCCATGGTTCGTCAAATACACAGTTAGTGAAATTATGGATCACATTCTTGATAATGAAACAATTCTCTTTCAGCCCTTCATTTACATTGAATCAACTGTTCAACTACATGGTAGTGGAAAATTCCTTATTTATTTTCATTCATACGAAAAACAATGAACAACATAGTGAGTGATACATCGTCTTGAAACAATTTTCTTTTATTTTTCTTTTACATTTAGTCATTCGGTTTGAACAACAACATCAATTTATCTATGTGATATTGATATTTTTGTCCTTATCGGTACGTACTGTTAATTCATTCTCCATTCAGTATCAGGTTAGTTCAAATAATGAATCACATTCTCAGTAAAAACACTCGTCTTTTTTTCAGCTTTTCATCTACATGCAATTTATTATTTTGGAAAATAGCAAGTGGACGATTAATGGTTTATGTTCACTAATGTCAAACAACTAACAACATGGTCAGTGAGACATCTTTAAATTATTTTTTATATTTAGCCACTGACTTCAAACAACGTGATATTGATACTTATGTCTTAACTAATTATTTCGTGTTCATTCATTTTTCGTCACCATCATGAAGTGAGTCAAATAGTGAATCAGATTTCAATTAATGATACTGTTTTTTTATTTCAGTTTTTTTATTTACATCGCATCATTTTATTCCTCTAAATGGCAAGTGGAATATTCCTTATCTATTTTCATTAATATCGAACAACGAACAACCTGCTGAGTAATACATTTTATTGGAATTGCTTTTTTTCTTTTATATTTAGTCATTCGGTTTTGAACAAGAACGTCGATTTGTCCAGATGATTTTGATATTGTGCGTTTGTTGATTATTTTCTGTCTATTCATTGTTATCCAGTATTCAGGTAGTCAAACAGTGCATAATATTCTAAACAATGGCGCAATTTTCTTTATTTCAGTCTTTCATCTACATCGCATCAATTGTTCAACTAAATGACTAGTGGAAAATTCGTTATTTATTTTCATTCATACGAAAAACAATGAACAAAATAGTGAGCGATATCTCTTCTTGAAACAATTTCCTTTTTTTTCTTTTACATTTAGTCATTCGGTTTGAACCACAAGGTCAATTGGCCAATGTGATATTGATGCGTTTCGCCTTCATTGATTAATTTCTATTGTTAATCCATGGTTCATCCCGTAAGAAGCAAGATTACGTTTTTTATTAATCTGAAGCATTGATCAACGTGGTGAGTAATATGTTCTTGAAATTTTTCTTTTTTTTTCTTTTATATTTAGACGTTTCGTTCGAGCAACAAGATCAACTAATTTATGTGATATTGGTATAAATATTTTTACTAAATATTTGGTTAATTCATTGTCCAACGAGCATGAAGTGAGTCAAAGAACAGATCAAATTCTAAATGATAAAAGTGTTTTCTTTATTTTAGTTTTTGTGCACAACGAATCAATTATTCAGCAAAATACGAATTACAAGATCATTTTTTTTATTTTCATTATTATAAAGTATTGATCAACATGGTATAAGTGATATCTTCTCAATTTTTTAAAATATTTATAGGCATTCGGTTCGAACAACAAAATCAACTAATTTATTTGATATTGATATTTATGTCTTTACTAAATTTTGGTTAATTCATCGTTCAACGAGTATGAAGTGAGTCAACGAGTGAATCAATGCTAAAAAAATGACACCATTTGCTGTCTTTCAGTCTTTCATCTACATCGCATCAATTGTTCAACTACATGGTAGTGGAAAATTCCTTATTTATTTTCATTCATACGAAAAACAATAAACAACATAGTGAGCGATACATCTTCTAGAAAACAATTTTTTTCTTTTACATTTAGTCATTTCGTTCGAACAACAACATCAGTTTATTTGTGTGATATTGGTATTTTGTCCTTATTGGTTACTTTCTGTTAATGCATTGTTCATAGTAAGAAGTTAGTGAAAGAGTGGATCAGATTCAAAATGATGATTCTGTTTCCTTTATTTCTGTTTTTCGCGTGCACATGAATTCGATTATTTAGGAAAACACGAACTGCAAGATCACTTTTTTTTATTAATCTGAAGCAATGATCAAGGTGGTAAGTGGTATGTTCTGAAATGTTTTTGTTTTCTTTTATATTTATAGGCATTCAATTCGAACGACAAGGTCAATTGGGCTATGTGATATTGATATTCATCTCTTTACTAAAATTCTTGTTTATTCATTTCAACGAGCATAAAGTGAGTCAAAGAGCGGAGATTTCTAAATAATAACGTTGTTTTCTTTATTTTAGTTTTTTGTTCAATGGAATCGATTATTTGGAAAATACGAACTACCAGATCATTTTTTTATTTTCATTATTATGAAAAAAAGATCATCATGGTAACTGATATTTTCTTAAATTCTTTTCTGTTTCTTTTATTTTTATAGGTATATTGGTTCGAACAACAAAATCAACTAACTTATGTGATATTGATATTCATATCGTTATTGAATTTCTTGTTTATTCAATTGGTCAACCAGCATCAAGTGAGTGAAAGAATGAATCAGATTCTAAATAATAACACTGTTTTGTTTATTTCAGTTCTTTATCGAATTAGAATCAATCATTCAGGCAAGTGGCAACTGGAACATTCCTTATTTATTTTCCATAATATCAAACGATTAAAAAAATGATTAGTGAGACATCTTCTTGAACGGTTTTTAACATTTAGCAATTGAATTCGAACAATAACATCAGTTGATCTGTGTGATATTGATATTCATGTCTTTACGGATTGTCCTTTGATACTCGATTGTTCATCCAGTAATAAGTTAGTCAACGAGTTGATCCGATTCTAACTAATGCCAGTGTTTTCTTTATATCAGTTTTCGTTCAATGGAGTGGATTATTAATCAAAATACGAACTACAAGATCATTTTATTATTAATATCTGAAACAATGATTAACATGGTGAGTAATATGTTCTTGAAGATTTTCTTTTTCTTTCTTTTATATTTAGACATTCGGTTCGAACAACAAGGTTCAATTGGCCTATATGATATTGATATTTTGGTCTTTACTAAATTTTTGTTTATTCATTGTTCAACAAGCATGAAGTGAGTCAAAGAATGGATCACATTCTAAATAATAACACTATTTCTTTTTTTCAGTTTTTCGTGTAATGGAATCGATTATTTGAAAAATAATAAACCGCAAGATCACTTTTTTTAATTTTCATTATTCTGAAACAATGTTCAACATGGTAAGTGATAGATGTTTTAAGTTTTTTTTCTTTTTCTTTTATATTTACAGCCATTCAGTTCGAACAACAACATCGAGTGGTCAATGTGATATTGATGCGTTTTATCTTTATTGATGATTTTCTGTTACGATTTGGTTCATACAGTAAAAAAATGATCAAAGAGTGTATCATATTTTAGATCATAACAACGTTTTCTTATTTTAGTGTTTAATCTCTACAGTATCAGCTATTGAAGTAAATGGCAATGTGAAAGTCTACTATTTTTCTTTATTTGTATCAAACATTGAACAAAATGTTGAGTGATATTTATATTTCGAATTCTTTTAGTTCTTTTTTATATTTAGTCATTCGGTTTCGAACAAGAACGTCGATTTACCTAGATGATATTGGTATCAAGTGTTTATTGATTATTTTCTGTTTATTCAATGTTCATCCAGTATTCAGGTAGTCAAACAGCGTACAATATTCTAAACAATGACACCGCTTTCTTTAGTTTAGTCTTTCATCTACACGCGATTCATTATTTTAGAAAATAGCAGGTGGACTATTAATGATTTATGTTCACTGATATCAAACAATGAACAACATAGTGAGTGATTTATCTTCTTCAAGGTTCGTTTCGTTTTCTTCTATATTTAGTCATTACGTTCCACAACGACATCAATTCATTAGTGTAATATTGATATTTATGTCTTTCTTGATTGTTTTCTGCTTATCGATTGTTTATACAGGTTTCAGGTAGTCAAATAATTGATCACATTTCAAACAAGGACATCGGTTTCTTTATTTCACTCTGCTTGTAGTATACATGCGATGAATTTTTTAGCGAAAAATCAACAGGACGATCGCTTATTATTATTTTTTCATTAGTATCAAACAATGAATAACGTGGTAAGTGATAGATGTTTTAAATTTTTTTTCTTTTTCTTTTATATTTAGGGATTCAGTTCGAACAACAAGATCAGCTAATTTATGTGATACTGATCTCCATGTTTTTACTAAATTTCTTGTTTATTCATTGTTCAACGAGCATGAAGTGAGTAAAGAGTAGATCTAATTCGAAATAATGACACTGTTTTGTTTTATTTCAGTTTTTATTTACATCGCATCAATTATTCAGTTAAATGGCAGGTGGAAGCCTACTGTTTATTTTCATCAATATTTGAACAATGAATAGCATGGTAAGTGATGCATCTTCTCTAGATTTTCGTAGTTTTTCTTTTATATTTAGTGATTCGATTTCAACAGCAACATTAATTTGTTCATGGGACGTAACTTTTGTTGTCTTTAGTAAGCCCGGCTACTGTTTATTCATTGTGCAATCAGTTTTCAGGTAGTTAAACAGTGAGTCACATTTTAAAGAACGACACCATTCTTTATCTCTTTTTAGTCTGCATGGGATCAGTTATTCGGGAAACAGCAAGCGGAAGATAATTTTTGTTCAATATGAAACATTGAATAACTTGGCGAGTGATATGTTTTTTGGGAATTATTTTCTTTCATTTGCACTTAGTTCTCCCACTTGATCAATTTCATCAATTGAATTATATAATGTTACAATTTTCGTGATGGCGGATGATATCTGTTATATTTTTCTTTTCAATTCAACATCAACTACAATTGAATGATGAACTGGGTGGTGAGTGATGTTTTCCTTTTCTTATATAGTACTTATAGTAACATCGCGATATTTCTCGTGTGCGAAGTGATATAGATTTCTTTGTTAGCTTTTCGCTTGAAGTGGCATCCTATTTTTGACCGCTTCCACTAACATGGAATATTTCTTCTCTTCTGTAAAACCGGTGTGACAGACCTTTTCTCGATAAAATACTCCATTTAATAAAGAAACCGCCGTTTTCTCTAGACATTTTTCCAGTTATTGAACTGAAATTTTCTTGGTGCCTTTGAGTCTCGCACGATTTCCTTCTGTTTATGTATGTGTTCCACAGCATTGAACACAATAACACTCATGCAACCGTGTACTTCCCTTTTTATCGAATTTTTCTGATTTCTAATTTCTTTTCCTTCACTCTTAGTGCGTACATAGAAGCTTTAGTGATAAATGCTTCGAATATGCAGCTAACACCTTTGATAGCTTTAAATACGTTCATTCAAATGTGGGGCGTCAAGGCATTTTCCTGTTATCATATTAACGTTTCATATTCGAGTCTTAGTTTATACAGTGTCCTTCTCAATTTTTCTAGTAATTATTACTCTCTTCTATTTCCCTATATTTTAATCGTTATTTATCTCTTATTTTATATCCTTTCTTACAATAAACGCTACCAGTGTCGTTGAAAAATCACTCTAATAGCTTATTCTCTTGAATCAGCGTTTTAACACTCAAAGAGATTCATTCATGAATTTGAGTATTTTTTCATAAACCTTTAAGTACCCGGTGAAGGTGATTGGATACCTGAAATACCCGTTGTTTAATATTTCAATCATTCATGAAACTGATGAACGAAATGAGATACTCTTTGATGAATCTTTTAGTGGTTTATAAAGCTGACAAACTAATTGAAATGCCCTTTGATGAACCTTTTGATAGTTCATGAAGGTGATGCATCAGTTGATATACCCTTTGATAAACCTCACGATAGTTTATGAAGATGATGAACCGACTGATATACCCTTTGATAAACCTCATGATAGTTTATGAAGGTGATGAACCCGTTGATATACCCTTTGATAAACGCTTGCATAGTTTATGAAGATGATGAACTGACTGAAAAACTCCTTAATAAACCTTTCAGTGGTTGATGCAACCAATGAACGTTTCATATTACGTTTAATAAAAATAATACGAAAGTATTTCAAGACAATATATGTATTCATAAACGGATGAGTACACAAAAAATAATTGGTTTTTTAGTTTACTATACTCTTCAGGAAGGTTTATCAGAGTGCAACGTGTCACAATCCCTTAAAACATTTTTGAAGAAGATAAACGCTTTGATAAACCTTTTCATGTACGATTCTCGTGTCTGATAAACGATGTTTTTGACTGACTTAATGGGTATTTGCAGGGGTTTATCAGGCTTTGATAAACGTTAAAAAGGGTTTGTGACACGTTGCACTCTGATAAACTGTTTAAGGGTATATCAATCGACGGATTTTTTTTTCAGTGCAGTCCACTTATGATGAATCCATGTACCAGGATTTTCAAGTAATTCATAGGTGTGTGCACCAAAATAATCGCGTTGGGCCTGTATGAGATTCGCCGGTAGACGTTTTGAACGATAACCATCATAAAATGCCAGTGCAGTACTAAGACACGGAATCGGTACACCGTAAATACTTGCTGTTGCGACTACTTTTCGCCAGCCTTGTTGACATTTATTAATAGCATCGGTAAAAAAATTATCCAGAAGTAAATTTTCCAATGATTCATTCTTTTCATATGCTGTTTTTATGTTTCCCAAAAATACACTTTAATGCAAAAAATAAAAATCGTAACATAATAAAAACAAAACATGATTTTAAAGAAAGAAAAACAACAAACCTTCGAATGATACAACCACCACGCCACATAAGTGCGATTGAACCATTATTTAATTTCCATGAATACTGATTCGCTGCTTCACGCATAAGCATAAAACCTTGAGCATATGATATGATTTTAGATGCATACAATGCTTGGCCAAGATATTCAATGAATTGTTTTTTGTCTCCATCGAAATCCTGCACATTAGGTCCTTTTAATTGAGTTGATGCATGAGTACGTTCATCAATTAATGATGATAAACATCGAGCAAAAACGGATTCACCAATCAATGTTAGTGGTACACCGTATTCAAGTGCGGCAATACATGTCCATTTACCAGTACCTTTCTGTCCTGCTGAATCTCGAATTAAATCAACAATATGTCTACCGTCTTCTTTATAACGTAAAATTTCAGTTGTTATTTGGATTAAAAATGAATCTAATGTTCCTTTATTCCATTCTTCGAATACTTCAGCGATTTCATCATTGGATAGTTTTAAAACATCTTTCATTATATGATAAACTTCACAAATAAGTTGCATATCACCATATTCAATGCCATTATGAACCATTTTAACAAAATGGCCTGAACCTGATGGACCAACCCAATCACAACATGGTTGACCGTCAGCTTTTGCAGCTATTTTTTGAAATATTGGTTTTACATGTTCCCATGCTTTCTCACTTCCACCGGGCATCAATGATGGACCATAACGAGCTCCATCTTCACCACCTGACACACCTGTACCGATATAAAGAAAGCCTTTATTTTCCAATTTTTCAGCTCGTCGTATAGAATCTTTATACATTGAATTACCACCATCAATAATAATATCACCTTGTTCAAGTAATGGAATCAATGTTTCAATAAAAGCATCGACAGCTGTACCAGCTTGAACTAAGAGCATAACTCGACGAGGTTTCTTAAGTAGTTGAACGAGTTCTTCAACGGAATGTGCACCGATAATTTTTGTTCCTTTTGCTTCATTGTTTAGAAAATGATCAACTTTTGATACAGTTCGATTGAAACAAGCAACTGTAAAATCATGATCATTCATATTCAAAATGAGATTTCGGCCCATGACACCCAGACCAATGAGACCAATATCGGCTTGTGCTTTATTGTCTTCAGCCATTGTTCTATGGAATCTAATTCAGACGTGGAATATCTTGATAAGTTGTAATAAGCAATTTTTCTCGTTGATATGTGGGGCGCGATATTTTTCTCGTTCTGGCACATTGCGCTCTTCTCTTTCTCTTTTTTTCCTCTATCCATCAAAGACGTCATCTACAGAGGCTGTAGACGAGCATGTTAATCGATATTAAATATTTTTCACCAAGTCCTTACCCGGGTCTTGTCCGCCCAGAGACATAATTCAGACTCTCTCCCGAATGACCGCTACATCTTCGCACGATGTATACTCAAATTGAGTAGTACAATAAATAGAGGAACGAATTCATTTTTGTAATTTTATTAGGACAAGAGGTTCTCGTATCACTGAAATTCACATCAGACTATTTGAACATTACTTGACGATATCATGTTTTTGTCACAAGATGCTGCGATTGTATTTTTCGAAGCGCTCAATTACACGGTATTCTCCTAACTTCTATTCTATAATTGTTTAATACAAAAAACTGCTAGTATAAGTTTTGTTCCTTCCTCCATCTGGTAATTAATACACGTTTTGCTGATAAATGGCCGCATCTATTCCGCAAAAATCTATGTATAGTAATAGGTAACCGTTGAAATTTGTTGTATCAACCCTCTCTTCTCTGATTCATTGATCAGTTTACACACTACCATCGTTTCATCATTTTCACAATACTTTAACACAGTGTAAAAAAAGAAGAATCTTAACACTGTAGATGAAGAGATGAGTCAGTAACCAGTTATTCTGAAGACGACATCTATTTTCCAATGATTGGGTCTTCGGGTGTCCTTTCTGGGCGGCCCCGTTTATACGTTTAGTGTAAGAACAAAACCGAACTCGCGCTCACTGTCTCATCGAGAATAGTTGCTTATTACAACTTACCAAGAGGTAAATGATCTTTACTGATCAAATACATGTTGCGATGACGAAATCGTGCGGATTGTTGGAAACAACGATCTGCCAGAGCAACACTTTTCATAAATAAAATAATAATATATGTATTCCAGTGCCACATTATAGCAGCCAGTTGTGAGACTGATTTACTAACTGAGGAATGACTATGCATACTTACAACACCCCATTACTCTTTTTTTCCGATATGACTTTCCGTTGAGTAGCTCTCAATATTCATGAACCTCAAGAACAATGTAAGAGCATATGTTTTTTTTTGGAAACTTATTCTTCTGAAGTATGTGTACCCTAATACTGATTATGGTTCATAAAATTAAAAAAAATGTCTACCGTCTTTAATATGCAATATATTTTCATCCCTGGCTTTGAACATATTGAGGTTTTTTAATGAAGAATCATCTGTTCTTATTTGTGAAAAAATAATCACTAGGGTAGCATACAGGCTTCGTTCATGAATCACTGGATATTTTCATTATTTAATAAAAAGTGTTGCTCTGGCAGATCGTTGTTTCCAACAATCCGCACAATTTCGTCATCGCAACATGTATTTGATCGTTGAAGATCATTTACCTCTTGGTAAGTTGTAATAAGCAACTTTTCTCGTTGATATGTGGAGCACGATATTCTTGTCGTTCTGACACATCACTCGCTTGCGTTCTTCCCTTTCTAGTATGAAAAGTGTAAAGACAACCCGGGTGTCGTGCGCCACACATCAACGAGAAAAGTTTCTTATTACAACTTACCAAGAGAAGTCATATTGGTTAATATGGCGTTTGTATTGAATAAAACGCTAGGTCCGATTGTGTCTCGGCGACTTTTACAACGTGTTATAACGACGACGACGGCTCGCCAACAGCAGCTTCGTTTTCGTTCTCGTTTACCATATAATACAGTTGTTCTATTCGTTCCACAACAAGAAGCATGGGTTGTCGAACGTATGGGAAAATTCTTTAAAACTCTAAACCCTGGTTTGAACATTTTACTTCCGGTTTTGGATAGTATTCGTTATGTGCAAAGTTTAAAAGAAATAGCAATCGAAATTCCAAGTCAAACAGCTATTTCAAAAGACAATGTAACATTGACGATTGATGGTGTATTATATCTCAAAGTTTATGATGCTTATTTGGCTAGTTACGGTGTTGAAGATGCTGAATTTGCTGTAACACAACTTGCACAAACAACTATGCGTTCGGAAATTGGTAAAATTGCATTGGATACACTATTTCGCGAGAGAGAATCACTCAAT